ACATTGGTATGATCTCAAGGACGATTGGAATGTTTTGTTATTTCAATAGAAGAGTTTGGTGCCAAATCCAGTCAGCTCAATTCTTTTTATAAATTTTTTTCCACTTATAAATTTTGTAATTGAAAAATGTTGAAGTTCATTTTATGGCTGAGAAGTGATAAGTCTGACAGCGAAACGGGAAAGAGTATCAGTATCAGAACACATCGTACGGCACTTTTAATGCAGTAGCTTATGATAGGTTATGCTTCTCTCTTCCGTTTTGCTATCTGAGTGTAGTTAGTCCTTCTCATCGATTCCATCCTGATGTTACTATTAAAACGAAATAAACTGACGCGATTTTGAAGCACAACTCTTATAATGACGTGCCTTTTATACAGGGTGCGGCAGAGAGGATGGACGGTTTTAAAAAAATCATAAAATAGTTAATTTTTACTCGAAAATAAATTTATTGATGGAATCAGGTTCACAAGGAAATAGCATTTGAGACAGTCGAGTGTGGAAAATCACATCAGACGTATACTCTAGCCTTGAGGTTCTCATTTTGATCGATCAGTGCTTCCATCTCACGTGCGAAGTTCATTCGTTGTGCGTAATCTCCGGGCTGTAACTGTTGCACAATGGCCTATTTGTAGGGGTGAAAGCGGAGATCCATATGCAAAATTCGCCTTACCGAACGATCATTAAGGCGAAGTGCAGCAGCATGTTTCCGGGCAGATCGAGTCGGACTGCGAAGAAAGACCTGTCGAACGCGTTCAACATTTTCAGGAGTTCGAACTGTTCGCGGCGCTCCTCTTGGTCTTCTGTTGATCAGTTCACCACGCCTGCGAAGTGATTCAACCCAACGAAGGATGGTGTTTCGAGAAGGAACAGCTCTATTCCGATGAATGTTGAAGTGGCGACGAAACTCACGCTGTACGACGATGACTGACTCATTATTCCGGACGAAACAATCATAGGCGAAAACGCGGTGCTCCACCGTCCAAGGCTTCATAACGACAACTGGTAAAATAATGCTAGGATCTCACGAGTCAAACGGCACCCTCCACACCTCTCTCGTAGACGGAGGCGGAGAGTACTACCCATCCCAAAAACGTCCGTCTTCTCTGCCGCACCCTGTACATGTGCATGAAAGCAAATAGTGTATGGTTGCTGTATTTTATTTTCGTAAAAACATACAAAATATTTTTTTTGAGGAAGTTCAATTTTGATTTGCTTTTTATATTTATAGAAATTCTGTATACCTACGGTCCGTACGCAATAAAAAAATGTCATTTCCCATTTGTTAACATATAGTTGAGGAAAACCTGTGTACCGTATTGTCTGTACGCGCGCAATAGAAAAATATACTTTTCATTTTTCTACCTATTTTCTCCTTGAATCAACCGAATTCCAACAACTCTAGCTACTGATTTCGTGTTTTTCGGTCCGGCAATACTGGCACTGTTATTATGTAAAAAAGGGCCATCTTGCAGGTTGGGTAGTTTTTAGGGTCATTCTACGTTTGTGAGCGTCCATCTATGGAGGGATGACTCAATTGCATGCATTGTTGGTTGCATATGTTTTGTAAAGCCGAGTAGTCTGTAGTTTTCATCTCTGAGAAGAACGTTGGTTGAATAGCAAAAAGGCATGTGGATGATTGAAGTATTTCTATTAACTGTGCCCGACAGGTTCTTTATATGTTGTCCTTTCTGAAGACAGCTTATGTTTAAAATTATAAATTACGATTTTTTACGTTTTTTGTGTTTTCAAAACCTTTGAAGAGAATTACGGGAAATCACCACCGCGCCTGCGTTGTGTGGAATTACTGATAGCATGTATATGACTTGTAATTCAACAGTGTACAGTGGATATAATTATTTCTTATCTCTCTCATTTTTGAAATTCAGCAAATTTGCATAATTACTAATTTCCAGAATAGATAAGAAAAAGGGGATGCGAAACTAATTTCTAGCTTTGAAGCTCAAGTAAGTGTATTTGAGACAAGAATAAAATGGAATTATCATCAATACATATCATTAGCACACAAATCCTCACTATACACCTATGCATTGCCGCTTCCTTTTAGCTATAGTATACAACTTACAGCTTAGACCTCCAGTACTGCCATCTCTGAAGCAAACGTTGCATCACATCAAAGCCAAATATTGATAACTGAAGCATCATGACGTTTAGGCAACACGTACAACTACAAAAGGAGTTAACACGTGTCCATCAGCTAGTGCTAACTTGACATCTTGTAGAAAAACCTACATAATGTCACAAAAAAACCAATACAATGTTAAAAAAAACGACACAATGTCACTTTTTAAGATACGTAATACCCGTGCAGTTTGATCGTACAAGAAAGGCGGAACGTGACATGCAACAGAAACAGTATCAAGGCCGATATGTGGAGAATACAGTATAATTGCATGTCAAATATCATTCAAGTGATTTGACAGGTCAAAAAACATCACGTCTACAAAATCATACAGGGGAGGATCGTAAGGTAAATATATTACTGGGAACCTATATTCTTCACCTTTGTTCCTCAATATATCTAGAACTGTCCATTAGATAGATTTGTGCCCATACAGCATACTACAAACTCAGCCAATTCAACGTCTGCTATATGGTTTGTGCAGCCCTCTTCCAAAGAGCTTTTAAACTTCGGATGTTCGATATTTCTCTCGATCGATATACAGGGTGTTAATAAAGTATGTAGACAAACTTTAACCATCGAATCCTTAGTGAATTTGAAGATAGAATTTCCATATGAACATGGGTCCGCAACGGCTTTGTTTTCCAGCTAGAGCATATTAGCACTAGAAGAATATGTAGATAATAATTATCCAAATCGATCGATTAGAAGAGGCCGCCTAGATTACCTGACATGAATCCTATCGATTTCTTTTTATTATTAATTATTAGTATACAAGACTTCTGATTAAAGCATGAAGGACTTAAGAGTCAGAATTGTCGACTCATGCCTGACTATACAAAATACTCCGGGTATTTTCAGGAGAGTTCGTCAGTCAATGTGTAACAGACTAGACGCCTGTATTGAAGTCGAAGGTGGCCATTTTGAACATTTATTGTAAAAAAAACGAATTCGATATTTTCTATTGTTGTCGTTCTATTCGAATGTTACTGTTCAAAACTATTGACGATCTAAATGATTTCTTTTTTCAAAAATACAGGATAATTCTAAATTCATCCACGTTAATATTGAGCCTCAGCAACTTGTAAAATATGCAAAATTTATCATAGGTTATGCCAACTGTTCCATAAATACGTTTCATTATTCATAGAAATATTTAGAACATTACTCGTATTTCTTCAGTGATAGTGATCTAGCTCGAAAAGAAAGCCGTTACCGACCCATGTTCATATGAACACTTAGTCTTCGAATTAATCAAGGATTCGATGGTTAAAGTTTGTCTACATACTTTATTAACACCCTGTATAGTTTTCCGCCATCGCTAGAGAGAACTCGAAATAAAATTGTGTATACGTAAAAAACGATTGTACATAGAGAAAATGCTTTGTCTTCCATTTTCCTATGTACTGAGCTGTTTAGTAAGGAAATTAATCTAACTTAATAAAGATCTTAATCGTCCTGAATAAGCAATCATATTCCTCAGCAGTGACCCAAACAGTCACGTCCAAAACTTGCACATAAACTTTGGCTTGCAAATCTAGTCAAACTATAATCATACGTAATTATTACCGGAGATATTTGGGTCTAGACCAACCCGAGGTGAATTTAAATTTTATCGATTAACCGTGCGATTAACGTAATGTCACATACAAGCACTCCGTTAGCAATTTAACGCTTCGGGACATTTAGATAAGAGTGTGAGTTCATAATGGATTTAGATCCAATAGCTGCCAGTCATTACTGATTTTCTGAATGACGAAACGTGGGACAGCGTGTATATAAAGAGTGTTCATTTGAAAACCTCCCACCACGGATCTATCGAAAACCACTGATTAAAAGCAAAAATGCCGAGACACGTCAAATGATTTGTCAAGGGGGACAATTTTTTAACCAAAAACTACTTCACTCCCTTTCACCCTCGGCCCCCCAGGACCTTTAAAATTTTAAATAACAAGGGCTAACAAGTAACAACTTGTTTGAAAGGTCTTTCGAAGTCCTTTATTTTGACTTTGATTTTTTAAATCAGTCGATTCGTTTTCGAGAAAATTAGAAAAATCTTTATTTACAATGTAAATAGCAATTCGGAAGATTAGACGTGGCAACAACCAAACAACAACTCGAATTTTCCGCATACTTTTCATCAACACATATCCTAGGCGAACTGTATTTATAGTTATATCTGTTTAGTTATTTGCTACTAAGGGAAGAAAAGAATTTCATTTGCTGTCAGTTACCTGTGTGATAATCTTGGGATAGTGAAAATTAATTAATTGATTCAGATTTTACTTTAAAAATGGTTTACACACTTGCCGAAAAAGTGGGGATGATTCTAATTTATACTTCGCATAGGTATGTTTTGGACCTTGTTACTAAATTTACGCAAACTGGATCTGTTGCAAATAGAAAACGTGATCATCGGACTTGGATAAAGCAGTTCGATTTGAAGTTTTGGGTCATTTTGGAATAAACCCTAATACATCGTTACGCAAAATTGTTGCTGCGACTGGTATTTCATTAGGCTCTGTATACACATTTACTAAACTCCATAAATTCCATCCATTCTAAATGAAAATATTGCAAGAGTTGACCGAAGATGATATTTTTCACTTCATTTAGAGACTGCATTGTCTCTTCTAGGGATATCTCATAAAATGCCATAGAGTTAAGTACTGTTTCGTCCTCAGCGACAAGATAGAATGAGGTTATGTCGTTTTCTTAATATACCAGGCACGTTACCCTCGCCCATCGTCCCGAAAATGCCAAAAGTCGCGAAAGCCCACCCAGGCTACGTTTCAGGTGTTACATTACTGATTATTTCTGGTGTGAAGTGAAAACAAAGTAAAATGCGTTTTTATTTCAGATATACTGTGATGGCGGGAACGCCGCAGAAAATGCTAGAGCACCTGCTGGAAACACGACTAGACGGAAGAGGGGTAACGCCAGGAGGAGAAACATTCATAATGAACACAGCTCAAGACCCGTTTCTGGATAACTTTCTGCTCACACATGTGGTGTTCCTACCTACTTACCAACTGGTCGAGCAGCTGGAGAGATAATATCCTTTTCATACCGCCGTTATTTTACAAATGAATAACCCCATTGAGCATTGTTTAGGGTGTAATTCAAGTAAACCGTGGATAATATCGAGTTTCAACAACTACTCGATCGAGAATCTAACACTCAATATACCGTTTGGAGGCAAAATACTGACAAGCCGTCTCAATGAAGGTTTTGAAAAGTACCGCATTTTACACATTTGAAAAAACATAATTCTAGAATCAGTTATCAATTCAACCTTGTACAGGATATGTTTTCTATAAAACTTAGAAAAAGTATATATTTTAGTAGGGTGGTACTAGAAAGGAGATGATTCACAAATTCAACCAACGACAATGCGTTTTGAAGTAATGGATCTAATGAAGATGGTCGTAAAATATCTCTCAGACTACGGAAAAATTAGCTTTGCTTCCACCTTGTTGTGAGAAATCTGTTTAGAAATCCGACACGTGGAATAGTTTTAACAGCCCGAAAGCTTTTAAAGCATAATAAAAATACGTATTAATTTAGGATTTGTGAAAGCATTTTCCGGTGCTTTGCGGTTGTATTTTCCCAAAAGGCGTAATAAAGATAATATTACTCGTCGAACTGCATGTTAGGGTTTCGTATATCTGCGTTCCAGGTAACAAAAAAGTCATAAACTAGACTCTGAGGGTAGTTCTAACAGCTATAAACACACATGTGTTTTGATTTATAACTTGAGAACCTCTCCGGGATCATAACGGGTTCTGAATTGATCATTTGCATAAATGAATCATCTTCGATTTCGGCTTGTACGGCATTCTGAAAATTTTTGTCTCTCTCCGAAATTTGTTCGGGTTTTTTGCGTCTACTGTGTTGTACTGAAATCTAATATTCAGTCAGCTTATCCCCATCACACACAAGTTTTTAGATAAGAGAGAATATAAAATATGAGAATCCCAAAATTATAAGCGATCTGGTGGTGAATTTTTCAAAACTAAAAGAACAAAAAATCCTCTTTTTAGAGAATTCACTTCTTATTGTATAAAAACAATCAAACAATTCATTTGGTGGTCTTTTTTCGCTTGTATTCGCAAGGAGCGGTTTCACGTTTAATGGTCCAGCAGAAGCCCACCAGCATGTTTGTGGTTCATTTTCCACTATAGCGCTTCTCCATCCAAGCAATTTGCTGGTGAAATATTTTGCCTTGCTCGTCTGAAACTGCACCCAAATTTTCGGGGAAGAATTCTAAGTGGGAGTGAAAAAAATGCAGCTTAAATTGCAACCTAAGGCCTTATAAGATTAGATAAGTTTTTCAACTAGATCTTTGTAGTCCGAGACGCGGAAATTTTCACACCTTTTTGTAAAAGGTTCGATTGCTGCAAACGAGATCTTTTGAGAAGATCTGAATCACGAACTAGATCATTGAGCTCTTCCTGATATATAAAATGTAGCTGTTTGCTGCTACTGCATTCGAAAACGTCTTCCTCTTCAAAACTTGAACCGGCTTCTGATTCCTGTGTCAGAATTATCTGGTTCATCATTCTTTGGAGGCTTAGGAACAGGTATGCTAGAAGAGTCATGAGAAACAGGTCTACTGGCTGAGGGGATATTAGGATACACTATTTTATGCTTGCTTTTACTAGAAATTTTTGTTAAAGAAAACTAACAATCATCAAAATGATTCTTAGGTTCCCGCCAAATCATTGGCACTCCAAATTTCATATAAGTGTGAGTACCCCCTAGCCATCCTGCTACGGTACTTGAGCAAGTGCGGCAGCATGTTTTGGGAGCACAAGTTTTGTCTTGATCGACAACTTTGAACCCAAAATATAACTCGTAGGCTTTTCTTACAGGTGGGCCCAAGGTCTTTCGCTGAGGATCTAGTGTCGCCTCACCACAAATATATCATAAACTGGCATTGTTTAGCTCATTATATCCACTGCTGAAGCCTGTGATGCCCGACAAGCGGCTGGCTGCTTATATACCCATTTCGAACATCTGGTATTTTCTGAAAACAGCGGGAATCAAGGGATCGGAAACGATTTTTGTATATAGGGGCCATTCAATAAGTACCTGTCCGACGACTGGAGGGTACGTTGAAATCTGGAATTAAATGGGGTTCAATGGGTATCTCCTTTATTTGAAGCACTAGGGGGTTGAGACTTCATAGATGAGGGACAATCCCAGATACCCCCATGCGGTGTTGCCAGATTGTACGTACTTTCCCTAGACTAAGAGAAAACGTAGACTTGGCAAAGTCGTACCCATTATGCTAGAGAAAGATACGAGGGCGGTTCAATAAGTACCCGTGTTAGAAATGAAGACACCGTTTTTTCCAAAAAAATTCTTTTTATTTTTCAACATAATCCCCTTTTAGAAAGATACAGTTTTCCCAACATTCCTGCCATTTTCTTTACCTCCCAAAAAATAGGATTTGTCGAGCTCTCCAAAATACGCCTTTGTTTCGGTGATGACTTCCTCGTTTAAGCTTAATTTTTCCCGCGAGCCATTTCTTCATATCAGGGAACAAGAAAAAGTCGCAGGGGGGCAGATCTGGGGGTACGGCAGCACTTCATAATGCAATTAATGCAGTTTGGCGGCGATAACTCCGGATGAATGTGCTGGTGCGTTATCGTGGTGAAACAGCACCTTCTTTTTCGTCAAATGTGGCTGTGTCTCCTTCAATTTTTTGTCGAAGCGGTCCAATAACTCACTATAGTATTGTCCAGGGATCGTTCTACCTTGTTCTAAAAAATCCACGATGATGACGCCGTTCGCATCCCAAAAAATCGTCGCCATGACCTTTCTGGCCGATGGGACCGTCTTCGCCTTCTTTGGAGCAGATTCACCGGGAGAAATCCATTGTTTTGATTGTTGCTTGGTTTCTGGTGTGTAATGATGAATCCAGGTTTCATCGACGATGACATCTCGACTCAGAAACTCCTTTCGCTTACATTGCTCCAAATACTGCTTCGAGGTTAACAGCCGCGTCCGCTTGTTATTCACCGTGAGCAATCGCGGCACCCATCGGGCAGACAATTTTTTCATAGCCAACTTATCATACAAAATATTGATTGCCCTTCCGGTCGACACACCTACGGCCTCTGTTACTTCGCGCACTTTCGTTCGTCGAACAGCGAGAATCATGTCGTGGACTTTTTGAATGATTTCCTCGGTAACCACGTCCACCGGGCGTCCTGGTCGATCCTCATCAAAAACGGAGGTTCGTCCACGTTTAAATTCGTTGAACAAATATCTAACTATGGTCATGGATGGCGAAGTGTCCCCATAAACAGCATCCAACTTTGCTTTTTTCTCCTCGCATTTATTCCCATCCAAAAACAAAAAGCGAATTACCGGGCGATACTTCTCTTTCCATCTTAGCGAAAATCACGAAACACGTGTTACTCAAATAGCTGCCAAAATCAAACTAACCTATCAATCAGACTGAAATTTGTTGTGCCGTCGTTTGATAGATGGCAGCACACGATGATAACATTAACTTCCTTCAGTCAAACACGGGTACTTATTGAACCGCCCTCGTAAATATCTCTCAGGTACATTCTTACACCTGCTTAAAGCAGCATTTTGTTGGTACTCTCTGGACTCCGTTACATGATACGACAATTTAAAGGTCGGTGTAAGTATTAAATTTGTAGAACTTATCGAAATAACGTATTTGTTTGGTGGAGAGGATTTGTCACGTGCCAAAATCACGTAACCTTTTTTTTACTATTTATCACTTATCCGTAATTTGAATTTCTCTTCATTGATAATAGAATGCCCATTCCTAGGCCAAACCCTTTTCAATGATTTTCTTTTGGCAAATTTAATAGTTTATTGATTGTATATTTCACTCGTATTATATCTTTCTTTCTCAGCGATTCAGTATGGTGTTGACGATCAGCAAAAAACACTGTAGTTTTTCTCCGTTAGTTGGTATCCTGTAAAACATATATTCTTCAAGGCCACTCAAGATACCTTCTTCTAGAAAACGTTACGTGTTCTGCGTGATTCGCTTTTCTGTTTCCGTTGAGGTCGTGGTGCAGTCATCTTCCGGACTCTGGGATATTAGGCCCCAAGCGCCAATTCACGGACTAGCACCCTTTTTTGTGTAACTTAAGTTTAGTCATTTTGGTGTTACGTCTTCCATTTTTTTTATGGGATTTTGACCCTCAGCGTCAAGAAACAGAAGAGAATCATCATCCTTTCTCCTCCAGTTGGTTGCATCTTGTTGCAGTTTTGCAAATTGGTGGAAGCCATCCCCTTGAAAAAAAAGGTTGCGTGATTTTGGCACGTGCCAGATTTTCGTGCAGAACAGTGTAATTAGTTCCTCTGTGCAATTTTTGTTTCCTTAATATTGTCCATTTCATTGGTTACAAGACTGACACCCTTATAAAATGGTACTATGACAAAAGAGCTAAAATCTGGCAATACATACTAACAGTGTTATTCCTTAACACATTCATCGTGCACCTATAGGATAGACACATGCAAACAAGAAGATCGCGAGTTTGCTTTGGCCTGCAAGCGGCGTGTGGTTCATTTTGTGTATCGTTGGGTGTCCGCGGTACGACATCCAGTTTTTGAAGACGAAGCCGCGGCGGATTTCATCGCAGAGCTCGCGGATGAACTAGAGGAGGATGTCATGAGGTACGGCGCGCTAGAGGAGGAGGCGGCTATGATGCATCATGTCATGACGCAGCTCAGAAGGTTAGTTCAGATATAAGGTTTTTTCCAGCAAGCAGCTCCCAACTATTTCAGAACTAATTCCAAATTAGTTTTCTGTGCATGACCTAGATTAGTGCAGTTCAGAACTAGTCCAGAACTATTATATTGGAACAGAGAATTGCATGGCTTGTATAAAATGAAGTATTTAAAATTATCAAGTTTTCGTCTGCTATACGTGAAACTGCTGATAACTCATTCGATTTATTGAACTTGAAACCTTTATTTTGTGTAGATTATTTATTTATTTTATTTATTCATTCATACACTTCTCAACAGCAACAGCCATTTACAAAGCAGGATACAGTCCGGACAAAAAAACAATTATTTTTTAATACACGCAAGAATGGGTATTATGTTATATACAGGGTGGCCCATCCATGTGTGGACGGAATATTACTCATAAACAAATACATTTTTGAAAAATCTATTTATGGGATGTTATACATGACATTTAAGGGCACATTTCTAAAATATTGACCATTATACAGGGTGTCCCAATTTCGACCTACATATCAAAGTTGTGATTTTTCAAATAGAATGGCTCAAATTTTATTGCATATTTGGATAAACCAATTCAAAAGAAGAAAACTGATATAACATACTATGGGGTTTTGGTAATTAGCTATTGAGGTATAATTTTTTTGGTCTATAAAAACACCCCACTTCGGCAACCCCTCAGTCCGCCATTTTAAAATTTAGGTTGCTGACTTTTGTATCGAACAACCTCAGCTTTTATCTTGTTTGTTACTTTTTCGAATTTTAATTTCTGCTCATACAGGGTGGTCAAAAACGCCAATTGTAATTTTCCTCAAAAATTTGAAATGCACCACCCTGTATATTTGTGCAAATTTGGATTCTTTCCAAAGAATTATTCACAAGCATAGGTACCATCCATATCACCTATGCTTGCATCAAGAAGGCCTTCATCCTCAGGATTTCGCAGCTCGAATAGAGTTTAGTAGAATAATGCTAAATAAAGTGAGTGAAGACACTTCTTTCTTTTTTGATCGAGCATTTGCCTTTACTTTTGGAGGATGTCATTCTGCAAACTCGGATGCATATGTACTTCCAACGTGACGGCGCACTTGCGCATTATCATAATCTTGTGCGTAACTATTTGGACACCTGGAGTAACAATCGTTGGATCGGTCGTAATGGGCCTATATCTTGGCCTCCTAGATCGCCAGATATGACACCGATGGACTTCTTTCTATGGGGCAACGTTAAGCAAGAGGTTTATAGATATCCACCATCTACCCCGGAAAATATGAAGGAAAGGATTAAGGATGCTTTTCTGAATATATGAGAACACATGTTGAGGGATGTGCAACGGTCATTTATCCAAAGGCTCCGGGTGTGTATTCAACATGGTGGAGATATTCTCGAGCAGTTTTTGTAGATTAGGTCTTGAGCACTGATAGTTGTTTGATTATTTTGTTGTTATAGTTGTTTTTCTCTATTACGCCTGAGGCTGATTTATAATGTTATGATTGTTATTAGTTTTTACGTCAAATCTGTACTCTTAGTTACAATATGGAACTAGCCCACTGTTTGTCTTATGTTTCCATGGATGATGTGATTTTCTTCCTTAATTTTGGTGTGTTGTTCTATTAAAAGCTTAATAACTCAAAATGTTATGTTTTTATCTGAATCAAACATTATACCAAAAAACGCTTATGAAAAATTGAATCCAAACTTGCACAAATATATAGGATGATGCATTCGAAATTTTTGAGAAAAAGTACAAGTCGCGTTTTTGACCACCCTGTATGAGCAAAAATTAAAATTCGAAATAAAATAAAAGCTGAGGTGTGTAAGTTTTTTTTGATACAAAATTCAGCACTCCAAATTTCAAAATGGCGGATTGAGGGGTTGCTGAAGTGGACGGTTTTTCTGGACAAAACATCTTACACCTCAGTAGCTAATTAACAAAACCCCATAGTATGTTATGTCAATCTCCGTCTTTTGAATTGGTTTTCCATTTAAAAAATCACAACTTTGATCTGTAGGTCAAAATTGGGACACCCTGTATAATTGATAATATTTTAGAAATGTGCCCTCAAATGTCAGGTATAACATGCCATAAATAGATTTTCCCAAAATGTGTTTATTTATGAGCAATATTCCGTCTACACATGGATGGGCCACCCTGTATAGTGCGCTTAGCTTATATATAAACAATGAATATTATTTATATCAAAATAGCTGAACAAATCTATCAAAATAATCAATGAAGTTTCCATTTCTGGACCTTGAAGGTTGTATAAATAACTCAAGATCTTCATCCTCACTTGAATCTATTCTAAAGTCAACTTTTTTATTTTTCACTCCAATAATATGACCCCAAATGCATTTTGCGTTATTTTTGATGGCGAATCCATCGATCCCATCCGTTTCTTACAACTGCAAGTATGTGAAATATCAAAACTACCCTCCTTCAGTCCCACTTTTGGGGGTTGATTTCTCCACTTAAAAACGTCTTACCGTGGGTATAAAAAATGCGAGTCTCTCAGACTGTCACGTAGAATCTCATCAAACAGGAAGCGGAGATATAAGACGGTTTCCTTCTGGATATATTTAGCTAATAGTTTAACCATATTAGCAAATTTCTCCGAAATAATTGTAGTCTGGTTTTATTGGTGCAAGATGTTGAAGGGGATATTTAAAACATGGACGCATTAAATAGGTACACCAATTTTTGTGGGAAAACTTATTATTCAACAACAAAGAATAAGAAAACGTGTTTTTTGGGATACAATCGAAAGTGTTGACAGGAACGAAAACACTTTTTATGTAAGACTTTTAGGAATTTATGACCTACAGAATGAGACTGCACGTGAAAAGATCCGACTAATAGCAAAAAAAACAGGCAAAATGCAGGTTTCCGCACTTGTTGGTAATGCAACGATAATTTTACGCAACTACTTGAAATTCTTCAAATCCGCAGGATTCATACTTCTGAATAATTGGAGTATAATGGTCAAGTTTTCTGGACATCACTACTGGTTTATTGAGCTATATACAGGATTAGTTCGAAAAGCATTTTACAGCAAAATACACTAATTTCCCTTGCCGGTATGAATTGTAAACCATAAGATAAATGCTACTTTTATGCGAAAAACAAAGTTTACGTCTTTTTTCTTCAATGCAAATTCAAACATTTCGTATTTGTGAGTAATTTAACAAATGCGCTAGGATATTCAGAAAACATACGTTACTAGACACATTTTAAAACAAAGCGGATGCATCTATCATCTTTTGTTGTGAATTACTCACAAATGCGAAATGTTTGAATTTGTTTAGAAGAGAAAACTTAACCCATCCTTTTTGCATAAAAATAACATTTATCTTCCGGAATGGTTTGCGATTTGTATCGGCAATGAACTAGTGTATTTTGCTATAAAATGCCCTTTGAACTAACCCTGAATATTGCTCGATAAACTAGTAGTGATGGCCGGAAAACAGGTGTTTTGTGATAAGCAATTAGAAATTCCTAAAAATCTACTTGACCAATCTACTCCAATTTTGTTGTGGTTATTAAGAATTACGAATCCTACGAATTTTAAGAATTTCAAATATCTTCAAGAAACCATCGTCGCATTACCGACAAGTGCCAGAACCTGCAGTTTGCCTCGGTTTTTGGCCATAACTTTTTTGCTATTAGTCGGATCTTTTTACGTGTGGTCTCATTTTCTAGGTCTCATAAATACCTGAAAATCTTATTTGAAGAGCTTTTTCGTCCCTGCCAACACTTGATTGAATCACAAAAAACACTTTTTCTCAATCTTCGTTATCGAATAAAAAGTTTTCCCACAAAAATTGGTGTACCCATTTTATGCGTAAATGTTTAGAATACCCTCTTGAACAACTTGCAGCAATAAAAGCAGACTTTACAATTATTTCGCAAACCAGGGATATGATTAGACTATAGCGCTTTTTTTCTTATCATTGTTTACTTCAGGGGGGAAATGCAACTTGTGTTAATAGCAATTCGATTTATCAGGTTAGTAGTGAAGCATTTTCCATGCTCGAACGTAAGCAGCACCGCCAACCGACTTAAACGTCACATGTTTTTTTTTTAGTGGCTGACAGTCTCGGCGATGCAGTTGCTCAAGTCACAATTTTTATTGCTGCCAAAAATAACTAATAACAGCAGTATCCTGTCACGTTATTCAGTGTGGTCGGAGAAATTGAGGGATCAAGTAGTTGCTGGTTGGAACTCAACAAGAAACTAGTCAGCTGTATTTGAAATATTTGGTAACCTTCCGCAAAATCTTTTATTCAGACTGTACGTTTTTTGTTTTTATAAAGCTAACTTTTTAAAAGCTCAGATGCGGTCATTACATCAGTGAGTTTATTTCTCAGCTCACTTGTTAGGTTACAGTTGATCAAATTTACGGAGGAAGCCTCTAAGTAGGGTCCACTGATGCGATCTCCTGGTAAAGAAAATTCAATAAAACTCCGTATAAAACAGAGCGTGTTCATCCGTTACCTCTACAGCTCTTTGAAGTCAAAGGGTTCTCGTAACTCGTAATTTGATTGATTCATTTACCCCAGTAACTTAGTTCCAGTCGGTAGTTCGAGTTCGGAATGGCTTTTAAAAAAATTTCATTAGGTCGCATTTGGAGCTCTCTACGGGTGCATTCACTGCTTTGTGTTCTTAGCCACAGGCTCTAGAAAAATGGCGTCAATAAGGTTGATTCTACACTTCCCACGCAACGCCCGTCATCTTTGAGAAAGGACTATGTTCAACACAAGTTAGACCCTCTAAGAAAAAAGTTACTCACGAACATATATAACAGAGAAATTAGACGGCTCAGCTCAGGTTCTATGCCATAGGCATTCTTTCCCTGCCCTACTGTTCATCTGGCAACGTCGCCTCACCACCACACTTAACCGCATGACGCGGCACAACATTAGTAATGTCAGGACATTAATCAAGGTAATAATAAATAAATAATAATTACGGGAAATGTACGGAGAGATCTATGATGTATTAAATATGTCTAATGGTGCGGAGAGTTACCGGGGGGCATATAATTATAGAATATCAAAAAATTAGGGTGTACCCTCCAGCGTTGCCAGATTCGTCGCAAGAAGTAATAGTACAAGTACATCGAAATTATTGCAAACAGTGCCGTCGCTCCAGGATTCATATTCAGGCAGGATATTTCCGTTTCGGGGGTGCGCGGCCTCCCTATGCAATCTGTTGATGTTAACTGAAGAGCGAGGTGGTTTAGGCGAAAAGCTACTCCAAGGAGAATGAACGACATAGACTATATAGACAACTGTATTTGGACAGCCCTCGCTCACCAAGCCTGTTGGTGACAAATGGAGAGCGGAGTGGGAGGTAAATTGATATCTGGGAATAAAAAAAGCTCGTACGCAAAATTATCGTAAATTTAGCTATTACCGTACACGTAGTAACGTACATCCGTACAATACTTGAGTACGATAATTATCGTTCGTCTAGAAACGCTTACTATCCTCACTAACCAAATTTGAACCCTTACAAAAATTTATCTGAAAATCACGATCAGCGGCCTCTGAAACTTCGAAAAAGGAAGCGATTTCTAGTTTCTTAATTTTTTGCTTTGCCACTACTGGAAAAGATTTTCAAAAATACAATGCTATTTGTCCTTGTGTGAAAATTTCATCCAAATCCGAGCAGTACTTTTAAAGTTATTGACGAAAATGAGTGACACAGTATTTCGCGATGTGCATGTCATTTAACATCCAAAAACATAGTACCTCATTTTCAAAATGTTTTGCGATCACGATACTTTCTCGCCAGTGACGTATGAAGTAAAAGGATGTGATCCGGTTTTCGCTCTGAGTAGTAGTTTTTTGTATATTATAATCGTACAATTCAGACGCTATATGACGTCTGAAACTCACAGAAACACACATGCCGACACATCGTTACGAGAAATAGGATTGTACGAGTAGATTATTGAATGTGAATAGTATGCGATATTGATATTATGTTTGTTTATATTTTACTTGGCGTTCAAAAAAATCGTAACGTCGGAGAACCGCTAGTTAATGATAGAAACGAATATTTTAAAATCTCGGACATCCAGCAATGAGAAGATATAGTTTTCGTCAGTATTAAAAATGAAGAACGGTAGGTATTCCCAAATACTTTGAATCCAAGCTCGATGCAGAAGAGAGATGTTAGATTGATCGCTAACTCTTCTCTAACCTTTTCGCACCGACGCTCCGTCAGCGATCTGGCTCTCTTCTAGCGCTATGTCAACGGGCTTTGCACCCCAGAGCTCTTTTCCATGATTCCGCCGCACGATAAGCCCACCAGACAGACCCATCTGTTCTGGGACATAACGTAGGTTGTTCTACAAGATGTTACTAACTTAGCACAAGATGTTGTACGTTTGTTGTGAACTCGTTTTGTAGCTTACATGTTGCTTAAACGTCAGCGAACAACAAATTATAGCGAGCAAACGTGGAATGAACTATTTGCACACTAAAAACTACCTAATCTGCAAGATGACACTTCGTCGTTTTTTTTACATAATACCCTGCAGGTCGGTACTACCGCTAATTTATCCGTAGGGTGTCGAGATAGTCAAGTTTAGATGAAACGTTTTATGATGAAAAAAAATTAGGAACAGCGCTAAGTCTAAGCAACTAAGTGCAGCTGAACGTAACCAGTAACCTTCTGGCTCATGGAACTAATAGACAGTAACCGAATTGAATACGACCAATAGAACAATCTTTGATGGGTGCTTTAACTTAAGTCCACTGTTTGCTACAAAACATTATTAATTTGCAATCTGTTGCAGGTATAATGAAGACAGAAAAGCTCATGAAGGTCAGAAGTGGAAACTGCCACCTCTGGGTCAGCCCATCAGTTTATTCAGCGCGGGTGCCAGTGACATAAGTCGGACGATAATAATGCCTCATGATGATAGTAAGTTTTATTCATTATTCTTCGTATAATTGATTCTAAGACCCGGTTTTTCAATATCAGGTTAACTGCAATTTTACTGCTAACTACAAGGTCACTCTCGTAACGCGTCTTTCAACATTAAGTCTACCCTAAAACGGTAGTTAACTTTAACCAGACCAGTTATGGGTTAGCTTTTTGGACAAGGGAAAGCTTTTATGGCCACCCTCAGCCAGAAAAGCTCTGTCGGCCTTTCCTACTCGAAGTGTGAGATCGGCATACGTACTAAAATACCTCAGTCATTCGCCATGAAACCCATCATGGTAATGCCTACAGCATTTCTTCATAATAGGTTGCTTTGGCAAGGTTTTCATACCGAACGTATAAATATTCAACTCTCCATGGTACATATACATACATTCATACCTATGTACAAGTACAACCGAACAAGTAGGAACCCAGAATTGATTCCTTGGCCTATTTTTGTCGTCATGTACCGTATAGTAATCTATCCGCACCGCGCTCTTGACAGTGCAAGTGTGAATACCTGGGATCGGTTATCTAGTCCATGCACTATATCCAGTAGCATCCAATCTCTCCTGTCATATGACCGAAAGCGCCTCTCTTTCGCTTCCATTTTTTATAGAGCGCGTATCTATCATCTGCCAGCAAATCAATTGGCGGTGTACCAGCCACCACCAGCAATTCATCGTTCGACGGTCGATATGACATGCTGCGCTACTTTTCGCTGGCTTGTAAGAATTAGCTGTCTATACTTCTTTTTCCTCAAGGCCTTGTTATGGATCGGGCCTCCATCAGATGGCATTAGTCGTATCAAAAATACAACGGCCTTATTTACCTTGACAGTGGTGCGCCATATATGTTCAATTATCATCTGTGGGTTGACTAGAATTTTGTAGTTGAAGCGTAGTCGCATTGACAATGGCAAGAGTTGTGACGGATGACACCAGACACAAGCACTGGGTCTCATAAAATACACTGAACATATTTAGATGTGGATGCCCCATTGCCCCATCAATTCTAGAGTTAACCTCCGATTGAAAAACTGGGCCTAAATGATTACGGCTGACAACAATTTTCGAGTTCATCTAAAAAGGTTTTACCTCTAAAATATCAACTTTACAGGAGAAGCCAAAAAGCTTGAGCATTTGAAAAATTGATTATATACCTTGTGAGCACTGTATATAGTCGAAAAATATATGAGATATATATATATATATACATGACATATTTAGTTTTCAGTACAATATAATCGAAAGTCTCAAAATTTCACAAAAGATAATGTGCATATCATGTGCCTAGGTATGCATGAAAATCATGACGCACTAGTATAGTAAAAGAAACGAAATAACACGAACAGATACTACAAGTTGTGGCATTCTTGGACCTATTCTACTTCTGATGTCTTCGTTTTCACCGCAAGCGCTACTCCATTTGCGCTTTTTGTACATTTTAGTTGGAAACTGAGTGAATGTAGGAACTGATAGTTAACGCTTCAACGGATTGTTTGGTACTAATTTGGGTATCATTGTTTCATCTATTCATAGCTTGTTCAACATCTCCTACCCTGCCCAGGACAAATGTTATAAAAATAGCAAATTTGCCGATAAATGAGGAAAACACCAAATAGCAACATTGTGTAACGTCTAAGATAGTATCCCAGTTACAAGAGAATTGAGAACTTTATAAATTAGTGAAGTGCATCAATCTTTAGTGTGTTAAAACGCATGGCTTGTGACTAGACTAGAATCAGGCAAAGTTCTCGATCAGTAAGAACGTATCATTCCGAAAACACTTTGATTAACAAAAACTGACGAGGATTTCCAAAAACTGTAAAAAGTCTGTTTGGGCTGCTATCCAAGAAGCCACCATTCTCTTGATCTGCTAAACGGGCTTCGCATTTCTACTTGATCATGTTTAGTGCCTCCACAATTAACCAATACGATTCCGTTCTTCCACCGTCAGTTAGGAATATTGTATCAAGAAAGATCATTTGCCATCCCAGTGAGCTTATAGAAAAAAACATATCAACAGTCCCAGCATAGGTGTTCCTTCCTAGCCTTTAGACTGTACAATGTTTTTGTACTTAAACTAATAGCGATAATTAATAATAATAATGATAATAATAATAATAATAAACGGCTTTATTGGCGGAGTTTAGCACACCTATTCTTACACTCAACCTTTCTAAAGACTAAAGCTTAATGCTAATTTGACGTACAAATATGGTATTTTACATACACGTTTTACATATAGAGACATATTAGGCCGCGCGGATCGAACGTCAGTACTGAATCTTAACCTCACTCTTTAGCAAACTTAAAATCAAAGTTACGCAACACTCACTGCAGTGAATTTTTAAGTGTTACCAAGTCATTAGAAAAATGGAACTCAACCGAGAACATTTTCGCGCCATAATTTATTACAACTTTTAGAGACAATTATCGCAACAAGAATGCCTTGCTGAGTTACTGTCTGTTTTCGGCAACGAAGCGCCACATCAGTCGACAATTTCCCGTTGGTATGGAGAATTCCAACGTGGACGGGTGAGTCTTAGCGACAATCTCAGGGTGGGTGCACCAAAAACGGCAGTCACCCAGGAAAACGCCGATGCTGTGCGCAAACTCATCATTGAAGATAGACATGTGACATATCGCGAGATTGAGGAGTCCTTGAACATGTCAAAGACCTCAATTCAAAAAATTTTACATGAAGAATTAGGAGTAAGAAAATTAGTTTCTCGTTGGATACCCCACCTGTTGACTAAAGAGCAGAAAGCAGCCAGGGTTGATTGGTGTCAAAAAACGCTTGACCGTTTCAATTCCGGAAAGTCAAAAAATGTGTACAGCTTTGTTAGTGGTGATGAATCGTGGATTTACTGTTATGAACCATAACATAAACGACAGTCGGCTGTTTGGGTGTTCCAAGGTGAAGAAAAGCCAACAAAAGTCATCCGTTCTCGAGGTGTTTCGAAAAAGATGGTCGCGACATTTGTGTCAAAAGCGGGTCATATTGCAACAATTCCTCTTAATGAGGAAAGAACTGTTACTGCGGATTAGTATACCATCATTTGTTTGCCAAAAGTCATCACCGAGCTTCGAAAAATCAACCCCGAAAGAAGCATCATCCTCCACCAAGACAATGCAAGCTCGCACGCAGCCCAAAAAATAAGGCAGTATTTAACGGAAGAAAACGTGGAATTATTGGACCATCCTCCATATAGTCCCGATCTAAGTCCTAGCGATTTCTTTACTTTCCCGAAAATTAAAAACAGACTGCATGGTCAAAGGTTCCAGTCACCAGAAGAAGCAGTTGACGCATTCAAAAATGCCGTTTTGGATCTGCCAGCAAACGAGTGGAATAAGTGCTTCGAAAATTGTTTCGAGCGCATGCAGATGTGTATTAATCTTCTTGGAGAATACTTCGAAAAACAATAAAGTCATTTAAAACCACCTACCGTGTTGTTTTATTTCCATATGCAAAACTTAAAAGACATCCCTCGTATGTCTATGAATCTAACTAAAAAAAATAAAATAATTTTAAATGATCACAGGGCATTTCTCCATTGATTCTATGCTGAATTTCTAGAAGATGTTGTCTACGTGAAAGATCTATAAAAGAGTGATGTTACATACATAGGCATTGTAAAATGGTTTTGATGTCTTATATTGGCATTAAGTATACTTGACCTAGGGACCAGATTTTCTACTAAATATACAGGATTCTTAGAATATAATACACGATTCAATGTTGTTAGGTACAAATATTTGAACAGAGAATTGATATTCAGGCATTGTAAACCCTGAAACTATTAGATATATGGTCAAATTTACGTAAGTTACAGACAAAACGGCAACAGTTATTCTGGAATCTCTGCAGGCGCATTTGAGTCGAATAGTCCAGGCATGGATGAAAAACTATCAAACCATAACTGATAATTGATGGCACTAAACTTTCATCCAGCTTTTTCCTAGTCTTGAAGTTAATAATGTACTTATTGGCATACAGTACTCGCAGTTTCAAATAACACCTCTGAGATATTGTTTTAATGTATTGTGGGTAACGTAACTTGTCATCTATGATCAAACCAAGTATCTTACAGCTAGTTGAAAAATAAAGTTGTTGTTCATTCAAGAGGAGGGTCAGACCACTGCTCAAGTTTTCTCGCTTGTGATCAGAACAGAAAAGCATAAGTTTGGTTTTATCAGAATTTACAATTGTCAGATACTGTTCGTAAGTCAGTGTTGATTAAATCATTTGCCTGTTCCACAGGAGATGGTTCAAAATAAAACAGAAGCTGCGGGTTATCAGCATAAGATTGAATGTGTAAGTACTGTACGGATTTCAAGATATCAGCTGTGTATATAATGAATAACAACGGTCCTAAAACAGAACCTTGAGGAACTCCTGACGTAATTGTTGTTATCTCTGATCTTTTGTTATGTAGAATAACGCTTTGCTTACAAAGACTTAAGTAATTGCAAAATAAGTTCAACGCTGTATGGTCAAGGCCATAATGATACAATTTTACGCACATAAGTGAATGGTCAATGGTGTCAAAGGCTTTTGAAGAATCCAAGGATATAAGTAGAGTGGCAAGCCTCTTATCTAGCGATCGTATAATTTCATCATTAAGATTTAAAAGAGCTGTGGTTGTAGTATGTCCTCCCCTAAAACCCGACTGGTGCTTAGGCAGAATGTTTTGATATATTGAATACTGATTTAGCTATTTTTTCTGACAGTTTGGATGGAATGCATAGTAAACTAACAGGTCTCAAATGAGCAAGCTCAATTGCAGCAGGGATCTTAGATAAAGGGCATACTCTCCAAAGTCGAGGAAAATATCCTTTCTCTAAGCAACAGTTTATAGTGTGTGTCAATGGATTTAATAACTCTGATATACAAAGCTTGAGAATACACAAGGTTATGCCGTGAGGACCACATGCATTTGATCTTATCTTCGATATATGCTCCGGTACAACACTGGTCAACGAAGCTGAATGTGAAACTGGAATCACTCATTTTGCAATCTGCAATGCTTTACTGTAAGTCGCTTATCTCGCACGCACTAAGATATCAACATTCAACTCACTGATATCACTACACCGTACAAGAATAGTGAATAAGACCGATGCTTGGAATCCTAAAGATCCAATCAGCATTCATTATCATTGACCATTTCTACCGCAACCTTTCTTGGTGACCATCACGTCTTAACCAATATCTTCATTAACTGTACCTATAGTCAACGCCAAACAAAGTGGCGTGCACGTCATCACGATAAAAATTCCCCGACCTAATGCCTAGGTTTCTATCACAAACAATTGCTCTATTGCAGTTTCATATTAATGTGATATATAAATTGTAAAATGGTCATTACTCTCTTATTATGGTTAATAGTCATATAAACATTGTTATTAAAATATCACATAAGTTGCTTTCTGATAAATTTAGACGCATTATGCGAAATAAAATGTTTTGCAAACGCTCCAATCACTTATCGACATGTAAACGCACTAAACCGATTTCGCAGCGTTGACACATTGTCACCTTGAAACTTATTTAAACTGGGAACTGACATTTGTATTAATTTTGACACTGAATCAATTTGTAGCATTTCAAATCTTTATAAATCCTTTGGCCCCGCATACTGTAAATCAACAACTGTTTGTTTCAAAACAAAATTATTCATTTTACGAGTAGATAAAGGCAATTTTGGTATATAAAGATGCCCAAACAGTTAAATAGTCGGTGTAAGGAACTCGTGGCCTCGTTAATGCACTACTTTGAGCAAGAAAGGGACAACAACGGGCCTTTGTTGCCTTTAAATGCTGTTCAAGAGGTAGGTTACTAATAATTATATGTAATGTATATTAATAATAGTGAAATTTTATTTCATTTTTTGTAGCGTGTTGCTGCTGCTTTAAAAATTAGTTTAAGGACAGTTAGTCGTATTTCCGAGGGTGTGAAAAGTGATGCAAATTTAGAATCGCCCAAGAAAAAGCGGAGTTATATTAAACGTGTAACCAACACAGCGACATTGGATACAAGTGCCATTCGAGAAGTGATCTATAATATGTATCACAAAAGTAAGATCTTATTATAATAACTTATCAGAAATTTGCATTAATTTGTTAACTAAATTATAATGTCATATTACACATGGTTTCAGAAGAACAAGTTACGATACAAACTTTATGGTCTCGATTAAGAGATAGGGCATTATTTGATGGTAGTGCCACGTCTTTAAGGCGGTTGCTTAGAGATCTTGGATTTAAGTGGCTTAAGGACAATCCGCGACGAGGGCTCATGGAACTACCAAGTATAGCTTTGAAAAGGGTGGAATTTCTAAGGCAATACAATCAAGCCAAGGTTGAGGCCTTATACCAGTTTGTCTTCCTCGATGAAACTTGGATATTTCAAAATGGGACCATAGGTCGCTCTTGGCAAAATGGAAACCAAAAAAGCGTGAAAGCTATTAAAACAGATGGTAAAAGGTATGTACTTTTACACAATTTGCACTATAAAATTTAAAACTAATATATTTTAGATACATTATATTACATGCTGGAAATGAAAATGGGTTTATTGAGGGTAGTGAAGCGATATTTTCTTCGAAAACAAAATTGAGCGATTACCATGGAGAGATGAACCAGGACAATTTTTTGAAATGGTTTCAACATCAGTTATTAGAAAAATTGGAGAGTCCATCTATGATTATACTGGATAACGCCCCTTATCACAGCATGATATTGAACAAAGTGCCCAACAATGCATGGACAAAAAAAATATCCAAGACTGGTTGACAAATCAAAACATACCATTTTAAACACAATGTTTAAAACAGAGCTATTGAGTATTGTTGCTCGGTACATAATGCTTCTTAATTATATATATTTTGGTCGACAGTTTATATTTCTTTTGTTTATTCCTATTCTTAAAATAACTGCTTTTTTAGAAACAAACCACCTAAAATATACGTGATTGATGAATTGGCGGAACAACATGGGCACAAAGTTCTTCGTCTGCCTCCTTACCATTGTATATTTAACCCTATTGAGTTAATTTGGGGCATAGCAAAAGGTTACTATAACAGACATATTGGTAGAGATGGTAACAGTGAAAAAGACTGTTTGGATATGTGGAACGAGGCTCTACAAACGGTTACCCCAGACATGTGGAAAAATAGTGTTCGACATACTGAGCAAGAAATTTTTAAATGGTATGAAAGAGAACGAATTTTTGATCGACCAGACATCGAACCTTTAATAATCAACTTTGAGAGTGATGAAGATTCAGATTCAGACAGCGCTGAAGAAAGAAACTCCGACTAACTTTATTGTACAGAAAAAGCTTACACCAGTAGCTTACCTAATTTTAGAATGCATTTTTCTGTATGAATTCTGTAAAATAAATACCATGCATAAAATTTGGAGGACCCCATTTGGATTTTTATTCAGTACCTTTAAGCTATCAATTAAATATGGTAGTTTCATAGTGTCATCTGATCAATAATTGTCATACTTAATGATTATGCAAGTACAGATCTATAATTTTATTATACTATTATTTTTGTTCTCATTTGAGGTTAATATTGCTTATAAACCTAGATATTTAAATAATAAATTTTATTATTTTACAAAAAGTTTGGCAACAATGTAAATTTTCAACACACCCACTTGATGACGTGCACGCCACTTTGTTTGGCGTTGACTATACATACGTTCTGACTATTGACGATCACTTACCTTAAAGGTCATCTCATTTTCCACCCACTCCGTGCACTGACTGAAAAGGTTATCAAGATGATCCATAATAACCCATGCAAAATACTAGAAAAAAGTATTACACGTAGGAATCGACAAATGGAGGTAGTGAAATATCAGATAATGTAGACCAAGTCCATTAAACAAAATTTCAATTCATTTGAGCATCTTAAAAATCAAATATTCCAGGTAGTATTGAACCAATTCTAATAAAATTTTGCACAATGTTAAAGTTATCTACGAGCAAAATAAACCCGCATTCAAATTGGACCGGTCTCGGTTTTTTTACTGTAAAGCACTTATGTTATACGCATCGTTAAATTCAATCAACTCAGGAACCATAGAAGCAATTGAAATGAAACCTTCTACCGTATTAAAGCTTCCTGACGGTAACCTAAAGCCGGCCTAGCTGCTGAAAAAGTAAGGGCTGGCCTCGGTCTGTTCACCTCTAAAGTACGCATTTTTCAATTCAATTAACTCTGACATTGGTGCACCGACTCTGAAATTTAGCCCAATGCTAAAGTTACCTGGGAAAAAATAAGGACCGGACTCGATATTTTAACTTATTTTCCAGTAATATTTCGAGTGTACTGCGCTGACCACACATACTGCACCCTTCGGCTGCCCATCAGTGCCCCTGCAGACCAAATAAAGTATGTGGCTGCTGAAAAACTGAAAATCCCCACCGAAGACGAGCTGCTATTGGTCGAGGTGAGGTCCAATGGTGAAAGAGTCATCTTCAAGGACAACGATATCAGCATACCAACCACGCTCACGCTCAATGGCAGAATATTCGTTTCGCCAAAGGACCATCTTGACGCTTTGGTAAGTACAGAACTTAATTTTTGCTACGGGGGGTATTAAGATGCAGTTCCTGGTAATAGCATATTTTTCAATGAGGTCTTTCGGAACATGGAAAAATGGTTTTGCAATGTGAGTTTCCGCAATAACATTACATTTCCAAGCATTGTCAAGATAAGTCATTCCAATGTCTACATTGACATGTGCATAGTTCATTTAGAAGGACCCTTCAAGGTGCATACTTATTGAGGTGAAGAGAAATCAAAAGAAGCGAAGTGAAGCTCTTACGCTAGATTCCTTCAAATGTAATTATGTCCGACAAGATTTTTACCCAGAAACCAATGTATACTTTCCCGGCCCAAATCTCTCAATTGGCTCTAGTTTTAGAGATAGGTATCCAAACCTAAAAGTACAAAAATAGCGATTGTTGCCTTTTCTTGAGGTTATGTAGTATGGCGAATAATTTTTGTTTAAAAAAACCGTAGGCATTGTCTCAAAGGACGTTGGGCTTTTACCATTTCTAAGAAATTGTGGAAAATCGCTACTTTTATGACTGTACTATTTTTCCTGGTAGTAGTCTTCTGTTGTTTTTCACTGAGATTATGAACCCAAATGATGTGTCGCTGGAACAAAGCTATGAGTGAAAATTTAGTCCAATTAATATAGCTCCAGCAATCATCTAATATGCAATTTTGACTGTTGTCAAAAATATTACATCATATTCATCGACGCCTGTACAAAAATTAGTAGGTGGATAACGTGTCCATAGCATGAACAACTTCTAAATACTATGGTCTGCCAATTAGATAATCAAAAATCCTAAATAGTTCCTGCGCAAAGTAGACAAAATGGTACAGGTACAATGAAACCGCAATTTCTCATTTCCTAAACAACCCTTTAACTGGCATTGTTGATCTTCTTTCTTTCAAATAGGATTTGCAAATACTTGTGTGACATTAAATCTTTAAACTTGAATAAATTCTAGGTCTAATTATTCCGATAGATGGCAGCCTTGATATTATTTTGGGTACTAAAAGCGTTACTGAAACAGTGCAGTATTACCTAACCCTGTAAGCCCAATTACCAGCGTTATGTGATTCAAATAGAAGACAGTAAATCCTTGTATGTGATTATTAGACCCCATTAATGTGAGGTTTGAGTGTTATTCCCTCTATATGCTAGGGATCATTTTTACCATAAAATAGGTTGCGGCTCTGAAAAGAGCGCTTCCTTGTGTCCAATTAGACGATATTTACAGATGTTCGAATTGCCTTCTACTTTGCGCAGAAACTATTTACGATATTTGATTATGCGATAGGTATTTTGAAAGGTCGTAGTATCGAGAAGCTTTCCCTCACTATCGAGACTTTATCCGCCTACTAATTTTTTACTCAGGCCTCGTTAATTGAGCCATTGAAAGCCAGGATGGTCCAAGTCACAAAAAGACGTTTCCGAGATTTAAGGCTTTAAAGTTTAGATGCGGCTGACAAATGTAGAATAATAAAACTGCAGTAAGAAATCAAAATACCCTTAAAGGTAGAATCAATTTAAGTATCTTATCATAAAATACATGAACATTTTGTGTTCATGTGTTTTTTTTTTCATATGTTTAAGCTTTAGCCCACTCTGCCTTAAAACGGTTCTTACCTTTGGTTTCATACTTGTATAACGATTATAGTAAAGTAAAGTTACACAACATTATGTGAATTGATAATTTTATTACAAAAGGACAAAAATCAATCTCCATACAGTAAAAAAATAATGTATATTTTCTACACAAAAACTGTACTGTACTGACACGACCTTATGGAATTTCTGGAAATTCTCGAGTCTGTTCGCCTTCTCCTTCTTCTTCTTCAGTAACAAGCAGTGGTCCGGTATCTGGCAAAGTTGCATCTGTCTTCAGATTCTTGAAAAAACTGTGATGAACTGGTGGTATGAATTGGAGAAGCTCTTCCATGTTTTTCTTCTTTTTGTCGTTGACAGGAAGAGGGGATTCATACAAAGGAGGTAGATTTATATTTTTGAAGTTTTTGGGTGCGCCTTTTCGATTTGGTAGTAAATTAATTAAAATCATATGGAAATTCTTTATTCGAAGTTTCTTTATAAAAAAATGTGTAAGGTTTTTTCTCTCAAAGTGTAGCCACTGGATCTGGAGCCATGATACAGTGGCATTAGTACCATTTTTCTTTCGTCTTGTTAGTGCTTTCTCTAATGCTGTTGATGAGAAAAAATCAGACCGTTCCATCTCACAGACGTAAAAGGGTTTCCTGGGTCTGCATGTTCTTATTGTTGTATACCAGTCTTCTGGCACGTACTTGATGCTATTTTTTGCCCGCTTGACACTACTATTGAAAACCAGAGTGGGTTAAGTCACACTTGTCCCATTCTGCCTCATAACGGTTACAGCTTTCCATTGACATATAAAAACAGACTGGTGCCATCTGTGTGCAAAACGAAAAGATACATTTTTCAAAACTCTACCATCCAGAACAGTATAGACATAGAACCTCGATATCTGAAAATTTGGACTTGGACCATCCTGGCTTTCAACGGCTCAATTATTCTGTAACCTTTTTTGGCAGATTAGCAAATTGCTGTACCTACATTAACTGGACAAAATTTTCACTTATAACTTTTTTCCAGCAACACAACATTTGCTAACATATTCTGTATATATGATTGGAAAATAACAAAAGACAACTTCAGAAAAAAAATAGTACAGTCTCAAAAGTAGTGATTTTCCACAAATTCTTAAAAATCTGGATAACTCAAAAACCGTGCATAATCGGATGAGGACGTATATAATTTTTTTGGATTTAAATCACCGCTTTTGTTTATTCCTTGACTTAGTTTGATACTGTACATGTTGTGATTACGTGTGGTGCTTCAAAGTTGTGAATTGGATTATAATACATCAGATATTTATTAACATGTTAGTGTAATTTTATGAAATAATAGCTGCCAACTAAAAACGCGTAAATCCTCAAGATTAAATCCATACAATATCTATAACTTACCCAAACTCTAAGCCTACAATGCTTCCTACCCTATCTAGACTGAATTGAGCGTTCTAGCTTTGCATCGCACACTGTTTTAAATAAAAACTACCTTTTTCTGATAAACCGAACGAATATGCTAATTCTTATAATATCAAAATATAACCACACCACAAGCTCTCAACCCAATCTACCCTATCTAGATAAAATTCAACGTTCTTACTTTCGATTATAACTTTTTTAAATAAAAACTACTTTTTTTTTATTAAAGCACAAGCCCCCAATTCCTTCCCTGTCTACACCGTTTTTACTTTCATGTGTACACTTTATTAAAACAAAAAAAGTCTGATACTTGGATAGATATACAGATAATAAGAACGTTATACATGGTTCTGATATGCTACGGTAGATTGTTTTAGCTATTTTATGGATTTAGTTGGCAGGCCATATTTCATGAAACTACAGTAATAACTTGTTACTAAATGTTTGTTGTATTATAATCCAAACCACAACTTTGATGCACACGTAATCATAACGTGTAGAGTATTGATTCCCAAAGTGGTCTATATCGACCCCTAGGGGTCTATGACAACCTGCAAGGGGTCTACGTCAGCGAAAAAAAATTTGGGGGTCCATGAAATGAATATGGGCGTCCACGATAGTGGATCTCAACACATACACTGATAGTACCGATTTACTTACATCATACTATCTTATAATATCAAAACATATACATTATTTATAAAAGTACCTATGAAGTAAAAAATTTATTATATATGTTTATAAAATTGTGTAAGTTGTAGGATGTTGGTATTCGCTTTGTGGTCGCAATATATTTTGAACTTGTAAAAACCTGAGAGTCGCAGTCTCAGAGCTTCGCTACTTTGCACTGACTTGTTCAATTCGTCACTCTAAAAATACGAATGTGGGACAAATACGTTTATTCGTTTCCTGAATCTTGAAAAGGAAAGTGCTAAGAAAATATTTTAAAAAATGTAAACAGATAGTATATCACACAAATTATAGTGAGTCAGTGTTATTTTGTTTGACAGTGCTGAAGAAAAGTAAGTACATTATTTTTTATTAAATTTTAGTTTTGTACTCGTAGTTAACAAAGATAGATAAATTACGCCAATCATGACTTTAGTTATTAGTAGTTAAATATTCAATCATGCAAAATTACACGAGTACTCCTCAATAGTTTCTTTTTGAAAGTTTTAGCAATCGGTAATATAATTACAGTGCAATCTCCGTAATTCGAGCTAATTGTTGCAAGCTGTTCGAATTATGGAATGTTTCCGGAAAAATCAAAAATATTTTTAATATACAGCTGCTGGATTTTCTGTCTTATTTAAATAATTTAATTTTTCGGACAGATGACTGATGCCATGTCCGAATCTAAAAATAAATGTAGTCAGTACAGTGTTGATTATTTGAAATTTGGCTTCATTCCATCATTGCCGGACAAACAATCGCCTATGTGCCTTTTATGCAACAAAGTTTTGGGCAATGACGCTATGAAACCATCTAAACTGCAAGGTCATCTGAGAAGATGCCACCCTGATAAAACATAGAAAGATTTGAAATACTTTCAAACACTCAAAGATAAATTTTAGAAGAGACCTACACTGGACAGAATGTTCGCTTCGACGTCACAAAGAAATGATTATGGTTTGCGGGCGTCTTACAATATCTCGTTACTTATAGCAAAATCCGGAAAACCGCATACTATTGGAGAGAAGTTAATTTGGCCAGCCGTTGAAGAGGTTTTAAAAACTGTTTTACACAAACCTGCATCTGATATCATTAAAAGAATTCCATTAAGCAACAATACTGCTGAAATACGTATTGATGAAATGAGTTCTGATATTGAAAGCTTCTTATGTAATTATTTGCAAACGACCCATTTCTCTATACAACTGGACGAGTCAACTTTACCTGATAATGCAGCATTATTATTGGCATATGTTCGTTTTATTATGAATCTGCTCTTCGCAAGAACTTCGATAACCGACACTAAAGGTGAATCAATATTTCATGTTTTGAAGGATTACTTCATTGAAAAAGCAATTCCTTTGCAAATATAATATCAGTAGCTACAGATGGAGCACCGGCCATGGTTGGACGTTATCGTGGATTTATAAGCTATTTAAAACAAAATGTGTCAGAGTGTTAGCAATACATTGCGTCATCCATCGACAACATTTAGTTGCTAAAAATTTGAGTGTTAGATTGCATGAATCACTTCATTTAGTCATTGATGCAGTAAACCGAATCCGAAGCAGCGCGTTGAATACGCGGTTATCTGCGCAGTTGTGTGAAGAAAATGACGAACACTTTCATCAATTACTCCTTCACACTGAAGTACGCTGGCTGTCGAAAGGCTTATGTTTGACAAGATTTTTTGCAATTTTTGAGACTATTTTAGAATTTCTGGATACTAAAGATAAAATTTTAAAAGAAAATTTAATGAAGAGGAAAACAGACATCGCCTATTTAACAGATTTGTTTACAAAATTTAATATGGTTAATTTGCAATTACAAGGCGACAGTTTAAATTTGATTAAAACAAAGTCCATCTTTTTCAGCGTTTCTTGCCAGAGTTAAACTAATGAAGCAAAATATTGGACGGGGCGAATTTTCTCAGTTCCCCAATTTGTCACAGACAAGCTGCCAGGAAGACGACGTTTCAACTGACGTTCAACATTTAAATGCCCTCTATTCAGATTTTGAATCTAGGTTTGAGGATATTTTGACTATGGTAATACCACCGTGGATAATTAATCGATATGGTGACATAGAAGAAACGAATGTCATAATACAAGAGGAACTGACTGAACTAAGTACAAACGAAGAACTTAAGGTTCAGTTTAAAAACGGATATCAGCAATTCTGGCTGCAAAACAACATACCCATTACTTATCCCGTATTATGGAATATAGCGAGGAAATTTTTAATTTCCTTTCCATCGTCATACCTAGTGGAAAGGGGGTTCAGCGCTGTTACCAATCTCCTAACGAAAAAAAGAAACAGACTGGACATCATTAGCCGAGAAGATTTAAGATTAACCCTTACAAAATTGACGCCAAATGTTGATAATTTATTATTAAAGCATCAGGTTCATCCTTCTCACTAAAAATATTGACTTATTGCTTATGTTATTTTATTTATAGTTTATTTTATGTTTATTGGTGTCTGACCAATAAATGCCCGCATTGGGAATAAGTGCCCGCATTGATTTTTTTAAAGAACCCCCCTTTATAGAAAATATTTTTTTATTTTTTTAATTAATCTGAAAATTCAAGGATAGGTACACACTAAAATTCGTTAATTTTTTGCCTATTTTTAGATAACTTAAATATATAAGAAGCGGAATTTAATCAAACTAACAGTGAAATTAATGTAGAACATACGTTTATGTTATAATTAATAAACGAACTCGCTTATTGTACTCTTTTAAGTAAAAAACTTTTTTTTTATTTTTCACTTTTTTTTTATTTTACCCCTGTTATTTTTTTTTTCAATGCGGGCACTTATTCCCAATGCGGGCACTTATTGATCAGACACCTGTTTATTTAATGTTACGTATATTTTACATAACAGATACAAAATTTTATTTTGAGTAGTTTTACTTTAAATTCAATTAATAAATGTATAAATTAACATGTGATTTTACTTTAAGTTTTTAACACTAAACTTCACGACAGTTAGAAATTTACAGGAAATCAATATCAGGTAAGTAGGGGGTCTACTCGACACGGAAAAACGTGGCAAGCGGTCTACGACACAAAAAAGTTTGGGGAACTCTGGTGTAGAGTATCAAATATGGTGAAGTTCATAAAAATGAATTTCAAAGTGCCACGTCTCAGCAAAACAAAAATATATTTATCAGACTCAACTTTGAAGAGCAAGGCGTGTACTTTGAGATTGTGTCTTTTGAAAAAAAATAACTCGCCGTGCTGTATAACCTTAAATTTAGGCAAATCTCTATTTTTGCAATTTTCGGTTTAGGTTATCTCGGAAACTAGAACCAACTATGAGATTTGGATTCAGCACATCAAAACCTTCGGGAAGGGATACTCTGGTTTCTAGGTGTAAATCAAACGAGAGCACACGCTTTAAAGCGACGATAAGCGAAGAGACCAATCTGTCATATTTGACATGTGCAAATAACAAAAATATAGCCGCGTTTCTCTTCGTCCCAAAAGCCTATCTTGTAACTCTTGAATCCAAAACTATTAATAGGCCTGTGTTACTGCAAGGCCCTGCAGCGATAAGTGTGGCCTATTATAGATTTTGCAAGTTTCATATTTGAATTGAAATATAAGATATATTTATATACGTTTTTAACGGGTCTTTCACTTAGAGGCGCCTTGTTAGGAAGAAAAATATATAGAAACTATATCGGATTCCCTTCATTATTAAAGAAAATAGACATTCTTAACATTCAGTTTTTGTAGATTATTCCTTTCAAATTTCGGCTGTTACTGCGGTCATTGTGGTCCATTGTGGAATCTCGATGATGCATCTGAGCGTTTGGTAACCGTTATCTAGCCATGATGTGCATTTGCTGGATGAAATTCAAGCCCATTCGGCAGGCAGCTGAATTATCTCTTCGGAAATTGGCCTACTAGATCATGACAATATCTACACGTTATCCTTTGTAGTTATGTCCACATGGATAGTTTGGAAATGGAAATCAACTGAGTGGCGTTATTCACGAAATATATCGCTCAAAATACTTGGAAAACTCTAAAATCGGTCACGTTACCTGCAGTGGCAGCCAACCTGGAAAAATTATGTTCAAAAAATGAATGTCATAGATTGCTCTTTTATTTGATAATAAATATAATCTGACACAGACTGTTTTTAGTTCTTCAAATGAATCATCAATTGCTTACATTTCAATTTCTTTCTAGACATGCCTTTCAGAACAGGAGGAAGCAACGCAAGGCGTGGGTGGAGATATAGAAATGTTCAGCACCAAAGAGTTAGCCTACTACATGACTCTTTTTGATTGGGACTTATTTTGGTGAGTATCTTTTTAAGGCGCTTCGCCTGTATGCATGTAACGGACGAAATCTTTGAGCATAATTTTCACCAATTTTCCAGAAGTTTGGTTAATCTGAAATTTCGCACACGTATCAAGCACCTATGACAATGCAATAATTTGATAACAGTTTTCCATTATCCTTATAAGAAAAATTGTGTAAAAAGCAGATGTGTTAATAAAAACTCACAGATCTCAAATGCCGCTTTACGGATGCTGAAACTACAAGCCTCTGTAGCTCAGTTTCAGAGCACTGGTCTTGTAAACCAATCCTCACAGGAGGCAGATTGTGGTTCACCTTTTTTTTCGCACACATAACAAGGACCAATGGCAAAGCAATATCATGACATGTCCACAAAAAACTAATTGATAAATCGAATTAAAAAATGAAATATAAATAATAGTTTAAAAAAACTAAAAAGCACGCTTTCATAGCTAACCGCACTGAAAAGTAGAAAATAATTATATTACAGTAGTAGATGGTCGAACAATCAATCATAATTAATAAAATAAAATTATAATAAAATTTAGGTTATTAACAGAATAATTCAATTCAGACTAAAAGGCTTGGAGTGCATTTTACTTCATTTTCATAACTCTTATCTCATAGATAGTTGCCAATAGAATGATTGTAACATTTAATATATCAAGCACACTTAACTTAAATTTTATTATAATTTGATTTTGATGTCATTAATTATGATTGATTGTTCGAACATCTACTACAGTAATATAGAATCTTTGTAATTAAAGATCATTTTCTAGTTGTTAGGTCGGTTACCCATAAAAGCGTGTTTTTTAGTTTTTTTTAACTATTATTTATTAGAATAAAGTGTACATCTTGTATGACACATTCTAACGCCCCTAAAGATTTTGTCCAACCATGAATGGACTATCCTTTTCATTAGAATAATATTTTTTGAGAGTGAATAGCGGTTCTATAGCCGATTCAACCCTTAACATTTTGCTAAAGGATCGAATTGACCGTGCAACAGACTGCAAAGAAAGCGGATGTTCAGATATGGGATAAATAGTCTAGTCAACGTCAGCGTAATTTTAAGAAAGGCAAGGTAAGATTATTTGAGAAAACTTAGGATTAAGGCGAACGAGTTCGTAGGGCATTAAGGTTAGGAATAATATGAACTTCGAACTGACAGTTATTTTTTGATACTTAAATAATATCGTTTAATCTATCACGTAAGGCCCTAAAAGCTAATCAGCTAGAAGAAAACTTACAAATTTTAGGAATAAATCGTTTTCATAAATTTTAATGAATGAGGTTATTTGTCAAGCCTATTAGTTGTTTCCTAGTTGTTTAGCTTAAAGGGCTTTACGCGTGAGATTTCAGGATTTAGTTCAGTATCAAAAGATAATTGCCAGTTAGAAATTGACGTTGACAAATTGAGAACAACTTTTTTTACCTATTTTATCAAATGAATGTTCCTGCTAAATCATATATTCCTCAATTTTGATCCCAACGACTTAAATAGTATCTTATTGTTAATATTACTTCCCACGCCTGTTGGCCCGTCTATAATAATATGGAAAATACTGCTCGGATTCCGATGAAAGATTTACACAAGGTTACTTCTATGTCAAGGACGAAAAAGTTTTGTAGATTTTTAAAATCGGCGGATCTACAGGCAAAGCACAAAATAGAAATCGCTTGACGTTTCAGATTCTCTCGATCATTTTCGGAAAAAAATTTTTAGAGATTGTTGAAGTCTTAGGAGTTGGAGAAGAGTATATCTCACTTTCTTGTTGGTGGTATATTCATACGCTTCCAGCTCGTCTAATTCTACGCACCTAATAGTACATTATATTTGTCATCATAGATTACATCGTACACTTATTCTTAAAACTTCACCCCGCTGCTATCAGAATGCTTTCTACAAGTGACATTCAATCTCTCACCGCCACACTGCTCAAGCTGGGAAGACGTTTCTAGATCGCAGCGTTATCAAGTGGATGGGACTTTGGACTAGTTCTATGGGCTTGTTTGGCTCACTCACATTCATTTTATTCTTTTTTTGGCTTGTGCATGTTCGTAATTAACTTTACTCCTTATGATCCTTTATGAATTGATGACGTAGTGTGGGAGGCTCTCAGTCAATTTATTTATCGCTATTTTTATACCGAAGCAGCCACATAGACAAAAGTACATACACATGTGGTGGCATATGTGCGTTCATTTCGGACCTGATGAAGCCCACAAGCTGAAATACCTATTGCTCGGGTTACCTGTCCTACTTTCCTCTCGAATCACTTTCCTTCTTTTTGCGGATTTTGCCCATTATTTGCCTATTTTTTGTTAAATACCTTTCACCGCATGATCATTTTCTCTTTGTAGATCTTTTGGGCTTGAAGTACCACAGCAAGTGGCTATAACCGGCCGCGTGGTTGTGGTTAGATGTCGCCTTGAAAATTCGAGGTCTTCTAGCCATTTTATACTACAATGTACAGGTTGACTCTTGTTGGAGCCATCATGTGTCATTTTTTCCCTCTCCATCTTCGTTTCCTCAGGTTACACCCGTATCTGGATGTATGGGCATGTGTATCTACTTTTGTGGTTGCATATGTGCATTCATTTCGGGCTTGATGAAGCCAACAAGCAGAAATACGTATTGCTCGGGTTACCTATCCTATTTTCTGCTCGATTCCACTTTAATTCTGTGTGCGTATATATATATATAGGGTGCGCCATCTTTTATGTCGGTATGTAAACATGAAATAACTTTGAAAACGAAAAAGTGATTTCTATGTATGGAGTATTTTTATTAAATATGGTCCTTTATAATTTATTGGGACTAGTTTTTGAACACAACATCTTTCAAGTGGCCACCTTTATTGTCCAAAACAAAATGTGCCCAAGAAGAAGTCCGGTGGGGTCAAATCTGGAGACCTGGGTGGCCAGTCAGTGTCACCTCTTTTTGACATCAGACGTCCAGGGAATTTCGTTGCAGAAACTGGACTGTTTCATTTGCAGTGTGCATGGCGCACCGTTCGGTTTTGTTGAAAACCAGCAACCATCAAGACCTTTTCATGCATTTGTGGGCAGAATAATGAGCCAAACATCTACCGATATCGATTTCCATCGACTATTTCGTTTTCGTGTGAAAGAAAATTGCCCAATGATGGTTTTGGCGTCATATATGTATATATATAATACAGGTGACTTCGAAGTGAAGTCATGTTATTTTAACATGAGTAGATCTGATCAAAAGAATGTTTTTTTCCTTTAACCAAGTTTTCTGGTAAATTAAGTAACAAAGTGTGATAGCCCTGAAGTTTGAGTACCGCCCCTGTCTCAATAATAAACATTTGTCTCGTGTTTGGCGAAACGGATATAATCCGCCGGAATCGGTTCATCGCATCGAAACAAAAAAGCGAAAGAATTTGGACGATGTTTTACAATTATTTTCATCATTGATATGTCCGTGTCGTGAATGCGGATCTGTTAGTGGCTAACGAATATAAAAAATGCAAGTTTATGCGGATCGGTTTCCATCGAGTGCAACCAACCCCTCGTGCCTTTGTTAATGTAGTACACGGGCTGTGAATCGGTGACTTAAGACTCACAGTGACCTCACGATCACATACAGGTCCGCACGTCGAAATACTTGTCGATGATTTCAATACAGGAAAATTTTTTTAAATTTTTCACAAGATTTGGTTATTCCTTCTACCATTACCTCAAATAATGACAACTCAAGTACCTGTATATATAAAACTAAGGGTTCAGGATCACTATCAATACATTATTGCAAAACTGCCAAAAAAACAAATTACTTTTATTAGCTAGTACATATTCCAACACTGGCAATGAAGCTGTATTCTCAAAACTACAAGTCCTGCAAAGTAAAGCTATGAGAATATTATTGAATAAAAATAAGTACACAAAATAAAATCTATGTTGCAAGAAGTGCAGTAGTTTAATATAAAAAAATTCATCCATTTGGTTCTTTTTTTCTATATTTAAAATAAAAGATCATCTTTTGCCACGGCATTTCGAAAACTACATAGAATTTAATAATCATTACCATAGTTATTATACAAGAGAAAATATACATTGTCATTTACAAAATTGCAATAGTAGGATAACTAGCAAATCAATATTTCAGAAACGATTACTTGCGTTTAATAAACTGAATAATTACGTATATACAAAGTCTAATTGTAATTTAAAGATTTTTAAAAGGAAATTGGAGATGCAAATTTTGTTTTTGCAGATATCTGTACGTTAAATAATTGTAAAACTTCCATCCATCAAAACCGAATGAGCGCTAGGGCAGTTCTTGTCAGTCATACCCGTATTCGTTTAGTTATCAAACAAAGACCCCTGTACAGTGGACCTCCGGTAATCCGACAAACATTATGCAGTTCAGTGTCGGACTATCGAACTTGTCGGATTATAGAGCACTGCCTAAGACCCCCTATAGTCCGGATTTTTTTACAAAAGAGTACCTTGTAATCCGACAAATTACATATCCAATGGTAAGATTATATATGTTATGTATATGTATGTACTTTGAAGTACAAATCATACATAGTTTATGTATGTCGAATTTAGTAAATTGAATAACAATAGAGAGCTTACGTTTTATTATAAAATTAAGCACAAATGCACATACATATGTACCAAAATAATCAAGAATTATTAATCAAAATCATTAATGAATTTATCAAATTATGAAGTTTGGAAATATTCATCATTTTTTTTTGTTTAAGGTTGTTATAACGCGAGATCAGAGCTGTGTCCCTCAGTCTTCTCAAAACTAAAAGTTTGTTGTAGGATGTACCATTCTCTTCAGCCCATTGTAAACCTAGCTCAAAGGCGTTAATTGCGTCTTGTGCTGTGACTTGTGGGGCAGTTGAAATCACGTCGTCGTTATTTTCCTGATTGTTTGTTGTATAATTTTATAATCTCTTCGTTAGACATTTCATGAAAGACATTTGGCTCTTTATCCATTCCACAGCACCAGATTTCCAAATCTTCCGGACTTATCTGTGTTTCAGTAGCGACTTGTTCTATAACTTCCGAAGTAACACTGGTTTGTGGATCGTTGCTAGGAGTAGTGACTGTATCTGGCCATAACTTTTTCCAAGACGATTTAATGGTTGATGATGGTAACGCATTCCACGACTGACAAACAGCAAAAACCAAGTCTTTCATATTAAATTCTTTTAAAGTTTTTTCTATTGGTTGGTATTTTGATACGGCTCTCAGAAGTAGGTTTTTCTTAAAGTTTTGCTTGACAAACTGAATGATATTCTGGTCCATTGGTTGAATCAGTGCAGTGCAATTTGGCGGAAGAAACATCGCAGTGATGCATTTATCCTTGGTTGTTAGTTCTTCTTCAGACGGATGACCGGGAGCGTTATCAAGAAGCAACAACGCTTTTTGAGGAAAATTATGATCTTTTAACCATTTTCTAACTTCAGGTATGAAGCATTCATCAAACCACTTTTTGAAAAGGTCTTTTGTCATCCATGCACTTTTTTGTCCGTAATAGTGTACAGGTAAATCAATGTTTTTGAATGCCCGTGGTTTATTAGATTTCCCAATGACCATAATCTTAAGCGCGTGTGTGCCCGCAGCGTTAGCACATGGTAGTATGGTTACACGCTCTTTACTCACTTTTCGTCCAGGTACGGATTTTTCATTACAAGAAACGAAAGTTTTGTTAGGCATTACACGCCAAAAAAGCCCTGATTTGTCTGCATTGTACACCTGTGACGGGTCAAGATTTAAATCGTTCAGCTTTTGCAAATATCTTAATTTAAAGGGCTCTATGCAGGTGGCATCGTTAGAAAGTTTCTCTCCTGTAATAGTCATTAAACGTATGCCATGACGACTTTTAAAATGTTCTAACCATCCTTTGCTGGCCACAAAATCATATTTTTTTGTTATTTCCTTATAAAAAAACTTAGCTTTCATGGAAATTGGTGCATGCCTATTTCTTTCCTGAAGAAACCACATGTACAAAGCTTCTTCCACTTCTGGATGTTCAGCTTTCTTGAGTGTCGGCCTGTTGCCTGACCCGCAGTCAGTAGTTGACACGTACTTCTTGATCTTCTCGTGGTTTCTTTTAATGTCATAAATTGTAGATCGGCCTACGCCGTATTCACTTGCTAAACTACTGAAAGTTTCATTGCGATTTAACCGGCCTAAAATATCACATTTTCCTTTAATTGTCAATGTTTTGTGCTTTCGCTTCTGAGTTTGTGATGACGTTACTAGGTACTATACTTAATACACAATGAATAAATAGTAAACAATGAACGCACGCTAGGCCGTATCGCTATCACCAGTAGTCAAATTCAAACCAAGTAAAACAATTCTTACGCGTCGAGCACGATAGCGGTGGCGCGTACAAGTTGTAACCTATTCAAACCTGCGTGATCTACATTAGCGAAGATTGTCAAATACGTATGTATGTAATACATATTCAAAGTCATGTCGGATTACAGGGGGTGCCGGATTAGACAGGGGCCGGATTATCGGGGGTCCACTGTAATATACCCGAAACTTCCATAAACTTCCTTCATTCATAACAACAGATATTTTTTCTGACCTTAGTTGAACTATACTAACATGTTGTGGCTGATAAAGCGGCATCCCGCCGTCTGGCGATCCCATTTCTGGACCGACTTTGCGAACCCCATTCAAATCCCGACGGCGGCGGCGACTCAGCATGCATACGTTGCCTCTATCCAGATATTCCAGATTTGCTGCTGGCGTTCACAACGCAGAACCAGATATATATGACCCGGGCGATTATTCATATATGTACTGGGATATAACGAAAGAGGAAGAAATATAATGCTTTTGAACGTATCAACGTAGGCTACTCGCTGGGATAGGAAGATAGGATTTCATGAAAGAGAGAGCTTTTTACTTTCAATTCTGAAATATTGACTTTACAGAGGAATCCGAATACCATTTTAGAGGCGGGCAAGATGAGACTTGTTTTTAATATTCCTTTGTCAAATGTCTTATTAAACATGAGGAATAAAAGGAATATCAGGTTGCCTAGCTTTTTCCCAGCAGCTGCCGCTGTATTCATGCCAAATCAAGTCGTCGGTTATCTGGACTCCAACTAGCCTGAATGAACGGCTCTTTGGTAGAACTCGAACATCCATCTTAACCAGATGACCGCTAGGACTCTTTTTCTTCGTCAAGGAACAGTACTGTGTTTTGGAAGCATTAAAAACTGTACAAGATTGTTATGTCCCCAATGCATGTAGAGTACTGCCGTTAGCAAAGCTGTGGATTACACTGATCATACAGAAAAGGAGGTCGCTGATATGTAAAAGGAACAATCTTCATGAAATATTTGAGTTCGACAGAAAGCAGTTCTTTGTTTCAGAGTTTTATTTATTGAATCATAAGATCCGCATGGTATGAGTATGTATGTAATAGCACATCAGACAATGGTCTTATCGACTTTACTGGCGAATTTTGTTGAGGTAGATATTTAATTTTTTTTTTTACTTGAACCAACACGAAAGCTTGAAGCTTTAACACTTGTAGATATCGCGGGGCTATAGAGGGATACGAGGGAAGCACTCTAGCGTAATGCACACATTCTGGCCCCGCCTTAGAGATCCACCGGGTGGTACCTCCACGTTCAACACTCGGAGAACAGTCTACCACCTACAGTCACAGCATTGATAGTCAAGAGAAAAATTCTTTTGGGTCGCGATTTGGACTCGCGTAGCTCAGGGCTATGGATTAGTAGACACGTGGGTCTACCACTATGTCCACCACTGCTGCCTAAATACCATCCTCAATGCACGAGTGCCTATTGGCTTTTTTGTCTTGGATGATATTGATGTATATAACGTATGATTTCAATAAGAAGGTGCCACTTGCCATACATCCCGTGAAGCAATAATTGTGGTAGATTGCTATAAGGGTGTCTGAAAAGTTCTGGAACTCCAAGGCAATTTGTGAACCAGTGAATGATGGTATAAAAAACTAAGCCCGGCGATTGATAGAAGTTTTCCTTTGCTATTCAATGGTGATCTTGGATTTGACCTTGACCTTCGAAGTCATTTGAAGGTCAAAACAATTTTTTTAAGTGTAACCCCACATTTTTGACACCGTAAATATTTTCATGATTTCCCCCCGGATATCCAATAATGACGTTGGATCTGACCTTAACCATGATGACCTTCAAGGTCATGGAGGTCAAGTCGTTCTTTGTAGCCAGGGAATAATCCTGAAAAAACATCGAAATCAGTTTATCTGGGAATCAGACAGTTTTCTGAATTACCAAGAAATTAAGGTAAACTTGTATTTGTCCTTGATGATCAAATCCAAGATCAAGTTCTAAAAATTGTAAAGGACATATTCTAACATAAAATTTTCCATTTTCTCCATTTCTGCGGTCAAAAGTATGGGATCTCATTAACAAAAGAGTTGACATTCAAATGTCCATGGAACGTCAGATCCAAGGTCACCATTGCGTATCCTGGGAAAATCTTGAAAATAATGTATCGGTAGTTTTCCTATACAGCTAATGATTTTCAAGTTATTAAAGGTCAAGATTCAAGAATGGTTACGACCGTATTTGAAAGTATAATAGTCCGCTCTTTTCATTTAAAAAATCTAATTGACCTTCAAATGACCTTGAAGGTTCTGGTCAAGATCAAGGTCACCATTGGATAGCTGGGGCACCCTGTATAAGACTTAGTCGTGTTCTCTCACATTTCGGTGACTCGACTTGCCCCTCTAGATCATTGGTTTTTTTCGCGGCCACAACGGAATTCAGCCACACTTTTGCAAAATGGTCATGAAAAATTTAGACGATAGTGTCTTTGAGTCAGCAATGCGCGGCGTTTGCTTTTTCATTCAAACCTGAAGGTGGTGTTTTTAACGACTTTGACGCAAAGCCTGCCAAAATTTAAGCAGTGACATGAATTTTGCTAACTTAATAATATTTGTCTTTATTAGCAGAATTACAGCGGACTGATTGGCGAAGTTTAGAACCTCACCAATTCATCAGGAACACGAGATAAGCGATACATTTGTAATACAGAATTTTTTTTGAGGGCATCTTTGTATTTTGGCTTATTGGTGAAAGCCTGTAACTTCAGGCGATGAATTCATAAAAAGTTATTTAGTATGGATTTTTGTTCAACGGCTCCGTTTGTGCGAATTTGTTTAAAATCACTATTTTAACTTGACTTTATTAATAATATGTTTTCCTTTTTCAGGTGCGTCCATGAATACGAGTTACTGTTCCACACATTTGGACGTCATCATTTCGGTCAAATAACAGCCAACCTGGACGTATTCCTACGCAGATTCAACGAGATCCAGTTTTGGGTGGTTACAGAGATAGTCATGACGCAGAGTCTCAGCCGCAGAGTCGGAGTGTTGAGAAAATTCATCAAACTGGCGACATAGTAAGCCTCTATTTCTATAACTCTTCATGTGCCACATTTAAGGTTCGAATTGCCCTCCAAATACAACTCAAATACTTGGTAGGTACCGTTTGCCCAACGGAAAAACTCCACGCTCCGTTCCAAGATATATCAAAGCACACATTTCTGGATGGAAAACATCAAGGCAGTGTTGCCATTTATAAAAGCTTACGCTGTCTAAGATATTTGTGTTCAAGTGTTTTAAAATATGTATTTGTTTCAGTTGCAAGGAGTACCAGAACCTGAACGCATTCTGTGCCATAGTTATGGGTCTGAGCAACGTTGCAGTTTCACGTCTGTCTAATACTTGGGAAAAACTGCCGTCCAAGTTCCGAAAATTATTCACAGAATTTGAAGCGCTCATTGATCCTAGTCGCAATCATAGAGCTTACAGGGTAAGATTAGTATCATGATTAGTTCGATCATTTTTCAAAGAGTTTTCCCTCGAAAAATGATCTTCATCATCTAGACAAAGGCCCGTGGTGCAAACATGCACCAACATCGAGAATTATTTCTTTTTCCAAAAAACCGTAGACAGTAACCCAAACTTTGTACTTGGCTCATGCCTTTCAAATACCGTTGAGTTTGACTGAATATATTTTTTCTCTAACACATGGCATTTTGAAATTTTAATTTTTCTGGATTTCACTATATTTGATACCTGAGGCTGCACTGAGTACTACTTTTTTTGAAAAAGTCGAGTACCTGGTATTCGTACGTGTAGTGAAAAACAACCTCCATATTTCCCGCCGATATCGGCCAATAAGATTTGATTTTTATTTCGGAACCTGTCAACATCAGACAATTGAGAATCTTTAGTGCTCTAGTTATTATTATGATTATTATTATTATGTTAATTGAGATGAGCAGAGTACACAGTACTATAAGCTATTTGCTACTTTCATTCTGACCTTCCTTATTTCGATTTTGCGCAGTAGAAGGATAAACTTCCGTTATCCGTTATCGAAATAAGAAAGATTCGTTATCTACGGAGAATAGAAGGAGGGCTTATTTTGTAAGGTAATTTTTGCTGTTGTCGGAATTCGTAAAGCTGTATAAGCTTAATTAAAATTATTTCAACTTATAAAAACATATTGCTTAAAATACAACTGAAATATGAATTTTAGGTCACTCAAAAATGCATGCAAGAAATAGGCAGTGTTCTAAGTGAATTGTATTGTTCAGGTCTTTGTTATACTTGCCTCACCGAAGGATTAGTAATTCGATATTTTTGTTGCACCAAAACCTTTCTATTCAAGGTTCTTTTCCTGTTATCTGACAAAAACTCAAACTCCGTGGTAGAAGGATTGCCATGTTTGTATGATCCGGATGCGATTTGTAAAAATGGTGAATGTGTATTCTAATAGTAATGAGTGGTAGCAGGGCATGTTTGCTTTCCGTCTCTGTCACCATGACCAACCGCAGACAGCGCTATTTCGTGCCCATTATCATTAGTACGGTAGAGGTCCTGGAGATAGGCATACGGAGAGCAAACAGGTGTGTATGGCCTTTTGGAAAACTAAAAAAAACTGTGCTGATGTAGATGAGAAATGTGACGATCTTCACGTACCAATGCCTTGCTCGATTACCTTCATCGCATGGGATGAGGATGAAGATCAGCCTACAAACCATTGGTAGATGGCGATCTTCAGATTTCTCATCTACTTCCTCACAGTATCGATGGTGATACCAATTCATTCACCCATTCACCTTTTGAAGAAATGTTCATCTACGCACAGAGGTACTATATTAAAGAGTTTAGTGTACCCTATCATTGCTTTCGGGCATATTTATTCTAGGTTAACGTGGGGAAACTACAACCGCCAGTGGTGCCGTTCATGCCTTTGCTGCTGAAGGACATGACCTTCACGCACGAGGGCAACAAAACATGTCTCGACGGACTTGTTAACTTTGAGAAGATGCACATGCTCGCACAAACCATGAGGACCATTAGATTTTGTAGAAGTAGGCATTTAGGTAAGTTTTTATTTGGCAAATATTATTCGACATGTTTGCCAAATAAACTTGTGAAGCTAATTTCAATGACATCGAGTGCATCCATTCAAGTAAGCTTCAGAGTTTAATTTTGATAATCTATATTACGATAAACCTCGGGATATACAGGGTGTTTCAGTTTATTGTTGCATAACTTTAAGATTCGATAGAACTTTTAAAATTAATGCATAAAGTCCATATAAACATGGGTCGAAAAATGCGTGGCTTCCGAAATTTGTCTAAATTTACTTTCTAAAATAGTTTTTTTTAAATATTTCGAACAATATTTGGTGTATAACAGTGAAAATTGGTTTTTTTGTACGACAAAACGAACCATTACTGTAGCTGCTAGAGGACACTCTCTACTGTACCTGTAGTGTATTAAAATGACCGAAAAATTTTTCTTAGTGCAATTTTTTGCTTTTTGAATAAAAAAACTGATTCTTCGCACTTTTCAACATAAAAAAGGTCTCTTGTGAATTTTCGTTGTAGTTAGCCGTTTTTGAGATATTTCGATTTTTGAGGCATTTTTAATTATTTATGATAAAATAACGTTAAAAAGTCAGTATCTCGATAATTTTTAGAAGTAGGCTGTGCCTGCAAATATTTTTTAAATTGAAAGCAGAATAAGGTTAAACGTCAATTAGTTGACAGTTAGTTTTGTTGTCTGTTGAAACCTGAAACGTTTTTTGCAATTGTGAATGCACGAAATTTAGTTTCTTTTACCTGTTTTTTTTTTGTAAGTTTTATAAAAATGCCATTTTTATTCTCCAATCAAGAGTTAGCGGATATTCATTTTGTGTATGGCTTTGTAAATGGAAACGCAGCATAAGCAGCCAGAGAATACGCACGAAGATTTCCAAACAGACGACATCCAACTCGCTCAGTATTTGTAAGAGTGCATCGCCAAATAATAGAAAATCGTTTTAGAAATCCCCAAAGGGATCAAAACATAAATGTTCGTCAGCGCAGATTTACCCGTATGATTCTGCGTGAGTTTGATAGAGATCCGACCACAAGTGTTAGCAGAGTTTCTGGTGCCTTGGGAATTTCAGCAAGCCATGTTCACCGTGTTCTTAGAAATGACCATTTGCAACCTGTGCAAGGACTACAGCCAGGGGACGGAGAACGAAGAATCACATTTTGTCAGTGGATCCTTGATAGAACTGATAATAATATGGAGTTCGGGAAAGAAATGTTCAGCATGAATTTAGTGTGAACGTGTGGATTGGTATCTACCGTAATCGACTATTTCGACCCTACCTTTTGCCTGCAAGGTTAAATGCTGCGACCTTTTTGTTATTTTTAAAGGCTGAACATGCAAATATGTGGGGTGATGTTATGTTAGATTTAAGAAGATTGGCCTGGTTCCAGCTTGATGGTTGTCCAGCTCACATTATTCGAGAATAGTTAGAAACTGGCTGGATGAAAATTATCCAGAAAGATGGATCGGCCGTGGAGGACCAGTCGCCTGGCCTCCATGATCCCCTGACCTAAATCCATTAGGTTTCTTTGTGTGGGGATTTCTAAAAGAAAAAGTGTACCAGACTCTCGTAACCACAAGAGATATGCTAATAGACAGAATCAGGAATGCATGTGATGAAATAAGGCCTTATTTAAATAATACTATACCACGTTCGATCATTCGTAGATGTGAATTGTGTATTGAACAATTGGGTTTACATTTCGAGCAACTACTTTAGATTTTGTATGTTTGCCCTAACTATCCAATAGCATTTTAGTTGCAAATAATTAATTTAATTTGTTAAAAATAATATTGGAAAATTAAACAAATCAATATTCTGTTTTTTGTGTTTATTTGGAGTTAGGAATTATTGCTGTGTTTAAAAACACAATCTAAACGATCATCTTAATTACTTGTAATGCCCAAATCGAAAATGTAAAAAAAATATTATTTACACATAATAATTAAAAATGTATCGAACCTTAAAAATCGAAATATCTCAAAAACGGTTAACTGTAATGAAAACTCATAGGAAAGCTTTTTTATGCAGATAAGTGCGAAAAATCAGTTTGTTTATTCAAAAAGCAAAAAATTGCACTAAGAAAACATTTTCTGTCATTTTAATACACTACAGGTACAGTAGAGAGTGTCCTCTAGCAGCTACAGTAATGGTTCGTTTTGTCGTACCAAAAAACCCTTGTATACCAATTTTCACTGTAATAGATCAAATATTGTTCGAAATATTTAAAAAAAACTATTTTAAAAAGTAAATTTAAACACCCTGTATTTCGGTAGCCACGCATTTTTCGACCCATGTTTATATAGACTTTATGCATTAATTTTAAAAGTTCTAACGAATCTTAAAGTTATGCAACAATAAACTGAAACACCCTGTATATGTTCCAATTACTCAATCGAATTTCGCGTGGAATTTTCTAAAAATATCATTGAGCCATTGCCATAGAGGGTCTAAAAATATTTATTTTAGATACATGTGGTATATATAATTTATATATTTTCACGATATTTTTTTCAAACATTTAGAAAATATATGAGGAAAGATTTTTTAATATCAGTTTTATATTTAGATGAAATATCTCATACGTAATATCATAGGAAATATATGAAGCATCATACATATTTTGAATCTGGTACATATTACCAGTGTGTTCTTGAAAGTTTTTCATTGGTGATTTTAACAAAATCTGTATGAATGCTTTTCTGGGTTTATAAGGAAAATCCATTCTATATGTAATAAATGATTTAATTTTCTAGGAAAATATCATTCAAAATAAGCTAGACCTCTTCTACATCTTGCAAATCCATTTCCCTGAAAAAAAAACAACCTTATTCATTATGAAGTATTATTGGATACATAAACTGCTTTCCAGTGTTTTTTTTTTTGTTTGAGAGTGAAATATCACTCCTGAATCACTCTAAAAAGTGTATATATAGGAATATAAAATTCAGTGGAACAGTATTGATGAGCACTGTTAAGTTACACCAAGTAACTCAAGTTGGTCACTAAAAAGCGGCTTTATAATTCACCTAAAAGGACTCGGCATATACTATGAGATTTCGAGATTTGGTAATTTGTATAAAAATTTGGGATGTTTTAGATATCTTGATGAAAATATCCATGGACACAACTTGATCCTTAGACTAGCTTTAAAAAAAAGGTTTTTAAAGATGGACCACTTATTGGCTTTGCTGAAATGTTACTTTTTTGCAGTAGTAGTGTGCTAGTTTAGCCCTAACTATTTTGGGATGCTGTAATGACTATAATTCAAGAGTCAAAGGATATAGTATTTTAAAAATATAGTATTTTAGATTGCTAAAATTTGTGGAGGGTCACTGTTGAACTCAAAATTTTCAAATAGTTAGCTGATTTGCTCCCTACTAAAACAAAATTACTGCTGCCAGCTCTCAATAAAATCAATTATTAAATGATAGTCAATATATTTAAAAAATCAATTCGACGTATCTCGATCAAGTTGTGATTGTGGTGACTTCCCATTGGGATGTTATGAATAATATGTTCTTATAAATTTTCAGATGAATCCACCAATCTCAAAGTCCTATAAGAAGTATGCTGGTCCTTTTATATTTTACCGCAAATAACTGTCACACTTCAAGGCTAGTTATTGTAAATACGTTTTATACTCAACTGGCACAATAATGCTCACTAGTCAGATAAATTAAGCTAAGTAATTATCGCAAAACTTACCTTTTTCCACAAAGAAACACTCAAATAATGTACCACTTGGAGGTACACTCGATTCACGCTGTCACAATCAAACGCCCAGGCAAAATGGAAGCTGGCAAGCGTGTCGGCTCAGGTCGGCTTGCCATTATGCCATTGATCGCTCGGGTCACGAATAAATATTTAATGAATATTTCGTGCTATCGAGGATCCACGTTGTCTACAAATTTCAAACAAATTACACAATAATAGCACTTTTTTCTCTTTTGCAGGGTGGCATAATTTAAATCTGACGTTTCAGCTCTCAGCGTTTTAAAATTTCACGGTTTTCGATGATCTCATTATTATCCTTAAATAATATGAATGAGTTACGTTGTGTTGTTCCCCATTCGATGAGCATAAATCATGACTAAATTATTATTCAAAAAAGCATCTCGCGCAATGTGTGCTTGAATGTTTCAGAAAAGCAATCCTAATAGTTTTCTATATCCATATGAATTGTCAAATCGTCGTGAAGACTCTATATAAATAAGATACAAATAGAAAGAAAGATATCAAGCATGAAGATATGATTTGTGTAACTTCCGCCAATCAAAATTAATAGAATATAAAATAATAATAATTGTTCTTTCTTCTTTCAGTTTTAGATCCTCCCAGTCCAAAAAGCGAACGTGAGGTAAAATCCTACATCTCCTGTCTCAGAACAATTGACAATCAACGAACGCTGAACGCATTGTCTCAGAAACTGGAACCCAGAAGAACTTAAATGAGATATCTGCGTCAGAAAAACGCACTGTTAGAAAATTCCAATCTATCTTCAAAAATTCTAGTCATTTGGAATCTCATTTGAAACTCAATTTGTATATAACGGTAGCATGAGCGCCCGCAATCCAGTTGGACCTTATAATGTGCATATTAAGCATGTTTTTATTGCTACCTCCCGTTCTTCAAACGTTTTCGGGGCAGCTTCACTTTCATAAAACGCCGATGATCGCCCTCTCCTGAGAAAACTTCCTGCGGGCGCCCAACGCCTTTGGAATCTTGGAAACTTCTGCCCATCTTTAGAATTTTCACCATTTTTTTTTCCTTTTGGAAGCTTTGAATTAGGTAGACATTATCGTGGAGGTTATAAGATCTAATTCTTTAGAGAAAATTATCATATGCGAACATTACCAACAGGGAGTGCATGTCACTTCGTCGAATACTAAAAGGTGTATGTATGTATAGTAGACGACAACGCTTTTGTATTCGTTTACATTTTTTGCTGATAGTCATAAAACGACTATAAAACCGAAAACCGGAGGCGTGAGGACAGTGCCCAACTAACAATTATCACTCCTATTAGAGTTGCAAGAACGATTATACAGTCTTCCTTACACAGCACCGTATGCTGTAAGAACAATGGCAAAACGCTCTTAGAGCAGCTATACAAGCGGAATGGGCACACCTAATAGGACACTTCAGTCATTCAAGAGGTTGTATAAGGGCTGCAGGTAACAGTTATTCAACAAAAGTGTAAACCTCTTGCAGCCGCTATAGAACATTTGCGTCAGTACAAGATTCAGTTTTTGTCAACTATACAACTATTCTGTTACATGGTTCTACTTTATTGCAATCAAACTATTTCTTATGTATTATATAGGCGAAGTGAAGCATATATAACTAACACATTGCAGTCATCTTGTTTACTTACATATATCGGCCATTGTGAATTTCATACATAGGTATATGATAAACTTCTACACTGTGATATAGGGCTATTGAATTACTTGCGCAGCAAATTTTTTTGAGATTATCGTGCAAAGTAGTTACGCAATTTATACGGGCTTCGTATTTGATTCATATTTTAATTATGATCAAAAGTATGTTTAGATTTTTAAGATGGAAAACTGAAATTATCTGCGTTAAATCTTCCACAAATCCTATATTTAGACACAATTACAGAAGTGAAAATATATTCCCAAGTAGGGCTCTGTTGCATCGCGCTGATTCGCCTGCGCGTGGAGCTCGGGAGGGGGGTGGAGGGGTTCAGGTCTTCATAGCACAGTCACATTATGTGAACTTGTTGCTATGACAATATCCAAACAATGCGATTTTTTAGATTCGCTACATTCAAACCAATTGTATAGAACTATTAGGGCTTTTTAGGTTATTGCACATTGCTCAAATGTATGATTTATACAGATGAACCAGATGCCATTATTATCTATACGGTATCATATAATGACCGTACTATATGGCGGATCTGTAACACAAGGAAGCAGAAAAAATGTAAACGAATACAATATCGTTGTCGTCTACTATACAACACAACCTGCCAAATTGGCACCCATTTATATTTTATTGGCATTTCGCAATAATATGACATACACTATTAAACGAGGAAAAAGGAAAGGATAGGAAAACTATTTTCTCATAACGTCAATAATACAGAATTGGTATTAAGCAAATAAAGTAGAATTCAGAATATCGAGTATTTTTATTATAATTGTATATATTCTTGATTAAATTCGAGACATAATATTCGTTTATCCACTCATTACTCATGTTGTGAATGTATTAATTAATTTTAATAGATGAATTTAAATAACAGAAAATATAAGCAATAACGGAACAATATAGTTATTTAAAATACTTGACGCACCATTTGCACGTATTATTATATTCTACTCAAACTGTCGACTAGATTGCATAGACATAAACCAACCACGGTGAAATTATATTTTTTAGAAAATTTACGAATAAGGTATGTTCTTCATCTTTCAGAAGCGGGACCTTACAGTGAATTTTTTCTTACGTACTTTCGTCCTGCAATTTCTGTTTACCCCTTTTAGATTTATTGGATAGCAAATAAGCCAAAATTATGCGACAAAATGTAAAATTCGACTTCAAAGGTTGGGACAAGAGTCAAAGTACCAGGTTATCTAACATGTTCTGCTTTTAAGTACAATAAATTGATGTTCTTCCAGCTTTCGGAAAAATCGGAATTTGATATTAAACAAAATTTAAATTATACTGTATATGTCCTGCCATATATTTTAGTAGAGATTTTACGTTTTCTTACAAGTAAGGCCATATATATGTATCGTAGAGTCAGCGCAAATTATTCTGGAGCTCTAGTTTTCGAAGAATACTCACTGTGATTTTCGATTATCAAATTACTTTAATAGCACCCATAATATACATCTATGTAAATATTAAGAATATTATAATATTCATTATTGAGACAATCACACCTAATATCGTTGTTCCAAATATATGTGAATCGTAGTTACGAAATATGTTTATTTATTTATATAATATGTGATTAAATAATATATTATTCTTCCCGAAATGGTATGTTTAAGTCATCGTTTCTCAACCTGTGGAATATACACTCTGAGAATAGATTTAGCACAGACAGAACGACTGACTCGATTGAGACTGACCAGAATTGACGAGATCACGGGATGCAGCGTGTATACACGTTCGCGCATGTTCGAAATAACTCGGAACTTCTCGCGAAGAGAGGCACTGATTCTGGATTTGCCAATACAGCAGATCGGCGTCGCCAAATATGTATAAATTTACTTATTCTCGGTAAGTCTTAGGATTTGTAATTAAGGTTGTACTGCAAGCTTCGTCAAAATACTCAAGGTACATTACTATTGTATACACACATTGTTATTGTGTGAGGGGGAAGGGGGCGTGGTGCAAAAACATTGGGTCGCGAATGGTGAAAGGTTGAGAAACGCTGGTTTAAGGCATACATTTAGTTTACTGTAAGATGTGTAACCAGTGGCGCCGCGGTGCTAGATCATATACGGACGTCGGCGACATCAGCTTCGTGAGACCGTTTCCATTTCCCAGTCAAAAAAATGTTATACTTAATAAAATGAGCTATACACTATGTTAGTATATGCTCATCGTGGTTTTAGCTTTGAGAAGCTTTTCTCAATAGAAGCTGTACTGACTGGAACTGTCAACATGATTTTGATTGTTATGTAAACATTTGGATCTACTTCTTCCAAATTATTTTGTAAAACGTACTGGTTAAGTTGTCTTGCCTCATTGATGGAGTCTGGTGAACTAGATTTTAAAAGCTGGAGTTAGTAATATATCTCGAAGCCTTTCCAAAGTAATGCACCTAAGTCAGTACAATGCTTGCAAATGTCTTCATTTGATATAGATTTCAAAAGCACATATTCTCTTTAAATTATGACATTGATTCGAGATCACAGAGACTTGAAATGAAAGGTAATATTGTTTCAAATAGAGTTCTTACCATCAAGGAATGTATATCTCAGTTCAAAGTAAAGTTTGATTTAATATTAACCTTTAATTAATCCTGTATTGTTTTGTGGTTTCTGGTTATGTTTGAGTTTGTTGGATGTGGGATGATTTTCGATTTGTGGCTTGATTAGTGGAAAAACCAAATGTTTGGTCAAACGAGGGCAGTCCACAAAATAAAAGAACTGAAGTTTGCCGTTAGGCAGTACTCACAAAAGATTATCTCTTCTGAAAAAATGTATCTTTAATAACTATACAATTAACCGCAGAAGGATAAAGAAATTTACCTTTACAGTCGCTGGTCAAAGACTTCTTATCTATTGGTTCATTGAACTCAGTTCCTCTACAATACTAAAAAGAATCCATTTATCAATTCCTCTGTTTATGTTTATCTCGACAATGCTCGCCGACGTCGCCGACGCCTAGCCACTGGGTGTGTATAGTGTGTTAAATTAAAAAAAAAACGCATAAAAAATGATTGGACGGATAGCTGAAACAATGGGCTGCAGTGTCAGTTAGCTTTTAGTATCTATGAAGGAAGTAAAGTTCCTTTATCACAATCTTGAAAGTATCAAAAATATCACTAAGAGAACAGTATTTCGATAAATACTGTATGTAATCTCAAGTACTACACAACTGGAACATTATAGAGACTATGAATGCCGACAATAGCTCGATATTTTTTCAGTCTGATTAAGCACATAACACATGTGATATGTGATGCTCCTAGGTTGGGTAATACTCGCGGTAACGTACGGTATACTATAGTTACAGTCAAAGCTGAATAAGTGGAAAGCCATTGATATGTGATATTTCCAGAATAGATCCCATACCATATACCATGCACATTTTTGCATTTCTTCCACAATGTTCTTATTATTTCGAAACTACTAACATTATGTGTTCTAAACTTTTTATGTAAATTTTATGACCAAACTTTTACGTATAATAATTATTGTGAAATATACATGTGATACTTATCTATGTTTATGGTTTTGAAAAGAAAAAACGTATAGTCAAGAGTTCACTGTGTATATTCGTACCAATAAATATCTGGCTTATCATTTATGAAAAAACCTCAAAAAGTATCTGTTAAAAGTAACGTATTTAAACTGTAGTGTTCGAATATTACTCAAGACTTGACTATACGTTGAATATTTTACCTTCTTAGAATTTTTTAGTCCAATTGATGAATGAAACTTGAAATAATCTTTATCAAAGAATGCAATCTATGAAAAAACAATTTTTGATTTCTAATATTCTCGAACTAACTTCAAATATGTAGAATAATACACAGAATATTTTGCCTTAATAACTGGCACAAATCAGAGTTAAAAATACAACTAAGATAACTTTTAATGGAAAATATTTACGTATACGTAGCGATAGTACCTTTTTAATTTATTTTAAACATTATATAATGTCAATCGTTGGCAGAACTGTAAGGGAAACACTCCAATGCATGTAGTACTGTGTGATCTCGATTAGGTTGTAGAGATCTTTTTACTGTCTACTATTATTGTAAATACATTCAACGTCAAGTTTTTATTATATACTTTTATCATGTAATAAAAATAATCAATACCTATAGACACATTATTTTTTCTCCTTCCCCTCTGCAGACATACATCTGTGTATGTCAGTCTCCACCTAAGATACGTCAGTGTAGCTCGAACATCAAGTGATTTGAGTCCTTTGGATAGATTTATGCCATTGCTTTTGGTTTGTATATATGTACACCTACAATGGCATTTAAGGCGTTCGCAAAAAAAACTTGTACCAGCTAATTTTACCAGACTATATCGCAGGAACGTGTCGAGTAAAAGCAGCTTGCTTTTGATATAAGGTCGTCGGTAAATTCTGTTATTCATATACACATTCTGAAAATCACTCTTCCTTCTAGCTTCTTTCGTCAAATTGCGACAGCAAGAGTTTGCTATTAAGATCGTAGAAACGCCTGGAGGTATAAATTCTGATAGCAAATATCTCTCGCAGCTTCTGTCATCCTAATAAAACATGTGGAAATCACTCCCCCCGACCAACCTCAATCGCCAAATTACAGTAGTAAAGATTTGCTCCTGGCACCAACGTTCTTCATCAGATTGCAGCGGTAAGGATTTGCTATCAGGATCGCAGAAACGTATTTCGTTGAATTACTGTAATGAGGATAACAGAAACGCGAAGACGTAAAGTACAAGCAATTTGCTCCTCATGTAAGGTTGACGAGAAATTTGAATTCTCCGACCAAATACCTCTTGCCATTTCTATTATCCTGATACAAGATGTTTAGCGCCTGAAAATCGCACCATTTACCAACTTTTTCCGTCAAATTGCAGTATCAAGGATTTGCGATCTGGATTGCAGACACTCTAGGAGGTAACGAATAACAGTTTGTTTCTAAGGTCAGCAAGAAATTTAAATTCTCAGCGCAAATACCTCCCGCGGCTTCTGTTACCCTGATACAAAATGTCAAAATCCCTTCTGGGGCCAACGTTCTTCGTCAGATTACAGCGGTAAGGATTTGCGGTCAGGATCGCAGAAACGCCAGAAGTTATAGAAATGGCAGGTTCATAAATAAGGTCTGTGGAAATTCTCAACTACCTCTTGCGGCTTCTGCTACCCTAACACAAAATGTGGAAATCACTCCTCCGACCAACTTCCTTCGTAGAATGTCTGTAGTGAGGAGTTGCTACCAGGATAGCAGAAACTCGAAGAGGTAAAGTATGAGCAATTTGCTCCTAAGGTAAGGTTGACGGAAAGTTTGATTTCTCCGGCCGAATACCTCTTGCCGCTTCTGTAATCCTGATACAAGATGTTTAGCGTCTGAAAATCGCACCGCTTGCCAACTTTTCTCGGTTAAATTACAGTATCAGGGATTTGCAATCAGGATTGCAGACACTCGAAGAGATAACGAATAACAGTTCGCTTTCAAAGTCAGCACGAAATTTAAATTCTCAGTGCAAATACTTCTTGCGGTTCCTGCTACCCTAATACAAAATGTGGAAATCACTCCCAGGACCGGCTTCTTTCGTTGAATTACTGTAGGGAGTATTTACTACCAGGATAACAGAAACGCGAAGAGATAAAGTACAAGCAATTTGCTCCTCATATAAGGTTGACGAGAAATTTGAATTCTCCGACCAAATACCTCTTGTCATTTCTATTATCCTGATACAACATGTTTAGCGCCTGAAAATCGCACCATTTACCAACTTTTTCCGTCAAATTACACTATCAAGGATTTGCGATCAGGATTGGAGACACTCTAGGAGGTAACGAATAACAGTTTGTTTCTAAGGTCAGCAAGAAATTTAAATTCTCGCGGCTTCTGTTACCCTGATACAAAATGTGAAAATCATTCCTCCGACCAACTTCTTTTGTTGAATTACTGTACTGAAGAGTTGCTACCAGGATAACAGAAACGCGAAGAGGTGAAGTATGAGCAATTTGCTCCTAAGGTAAGCTTGACGGGAAATTTGAATTCTCCTGCCAAATACCTCTTGCCGCTTCTGTTATCCTGTATTGGATGTGGAAATCACTCGCCCGACTAACTTCTTTCGTCGAATTACTGTAGTAAGGATTTGCTACCAGGGTCACAGAAACGCGAAGAGGTAAAGTTCAAGCAATTTGCTCCTAATGTAAGGTTGGCGGGAAATTTGAATTCTCCGACCAAATGCCTCTTGCGGCTTCTGTTATCCTGATACAAGATGTTTAGCGCTTGAAAATCGCACCATTTACCAACTTCTTTCGGTCAAATTATAGTATCAAGGATTTGCGATCAGGATTGCAGACACTCGAGGAGGTAACGAATAACAGTTCGTTTCTAAGGTGAGCAAGAAATTTAAATTCTCAGTGCACATACCGCTCGAGGCTTCTGTTACTCTGATACAAAATGTAAAAATCCCTTCTGGGACCAACGTTCTTCCTCAGATTGCAGCAGTAAGGATTTGCTGTCAGGATCGCAGAAACGCCAGAAGTTATAGAAATGGCAGGTTCATAAATAAGGTCTGTGGAAATTCTCAACTACCTCTTGCGGCTTCTGCTACCCTAACACAAAATGTGGAAATCACTCCTCCGACCAACTTCCTTCATAGAATTTCTGTAGTGAGGAGTTGCTACCAGGATAGCAGAAACTCGAAGAGGTAAAGTATGAGCAATTTGCTCCTAAGGTAAGGTTGACGGAAAGTTTGATTTCTCCGGCCGAATACCTCTTGCCGCTTCTGTAATCCTGATACAAGATGTTTAGCGTGTGAAAATCGCACCACTTGCCAACTTTTCTCGGTTAAATCACAGTATCAGGGATTTGCAATCAGGATTGCAGACACTCGAAGAGTTAACGAATAACAGTTCGCTTTCAAAGTCAGCACGAAATTTAAATTCTCAGTGCAAATACTTCTTGCTGTTCCTGCTACCCTAATACAAAATGTGGAAATCACTCCCAGGACCGGCTTCTTTCGTTGAATTACTGTAGGGAGTACTTACTACCAGGATAACAGAAACGCGAAGAGATAAAGTACAAGCAATTTGCTCCTCATGTAAGGTTGACGAGAAATTTGAATTCTCCGACCAAATACCTCTTGTCATTTCTATTATCCTGATACAACATGTTTAGCGCCTGAAAATCGCACCATTTACCAACTTTTTCCGTCAAATTACACTATCAAGGATTTGCGATCAGGATTGGAGACACTCTAGGAGGTAACGAATAACAGTTTGTTTCTAAGGTCAGCAAGAAATTTAAATTCTCGCGGCTTCTGTTACCCTGATACAAAATGTGAAAATCATTCCTCCGACCAACTTCTTTTGTTGAATTACTGTACTGAAGAGTTGCTACCAGGATAACAGAAACGCGAAGAGGTGAAGTATGAGCAATTTGCTCCTAAGGTAAGCTTGACGGGAAATTTGAATTCTCCTGCCAAATACCTCTTGCCGCTTCTGTTATCCTGTATTGGATGTGGAAATCACTCGCCCGACTAACTTCTTTCGTCGAATTACTGTAGTAAGGATTTGCTACCAGGGTCACAGAAACGCGAAGAGGTAAAGTTCAAGCAATTTGCTCCTAATGTAAGGTTGGCGGGAAATTTGAATTCTCCGACCAAATGCCTCTTGCCGCTTCTGTTATCCTGATACAAGATAGTTAGCGCTTGAAAATCGCACCATTTACCAACTTCTTTCGGTCAAATTATAGTATCAAGGATTTGCGATCAGCATTGCAGACACTCGAGGAGGTAACGAATAACAGTTCGTTTCTAAGGTGAGCAAGAAATTTAAATTCTCAGTGCACATACCTCTCGAGGCTTCTGTTACTCTGATACAAAATGTAAAAATCCCTTCTGGGACCAACGTTCTTCCTCAGATTGCAGCGGTAAGGATTTGCTGTCAGGATCGCAAGAACGCCAGAAGTTATAGAAATAGCAGGTTCATAAATAAGGTATGTGAAAATCCTGAACTACTTCTTGCTGCTTCTGCTACCCTAATACAAAATGTGGAAATCACTGCTCCGACCAGCTTCCTCCGTTGAATTACTGTAGTGAGGAGTTGCTACCAAGATAACAGAAACGCCAAGAGGTGAAGTACAAACAATTTGCTCCTAATGTAAGGTTGACGGGAAATTTGAATTCTCCGACCAAATACCCTTTGCCGCTTCGGTTATCCTGATACAAGATGTTTAGCATCTGTAAATCGCACCACTCAGCAACTTTTTTCGGTCAAATTACAGTACCAACGATTTGCGACCAGGATTGCAAACACTCGAGGAGGTAACGAATAACGATTCGTTTCTAAGGTCGGCAAGAAATTTAAATTCTCAGGGCAAATACCTCTTGCAGCTTCTGCTATCCTAATACCAAATGTGGAAATCACTCCTGAGACCAACATTCTTCATCAGATTGCAGCGGTAAGGATTTGCTACCAGGATCGCAGAAACGCCAGAAGTTATAGAAATAGCAGATTCATAAATAAGATCTGTGGAAATTCTCAACTACCTCTTGCTGCTTCTGCTACCCTAACACAAAATGTGGAAATCACTCCTCCGACCAACTTCCTTCGTTGAATTTCTGTAGTGAGGAATTGCTACCAGAATAACAGAAACGCGAAGTGGTGAAGTACAAACAATTTGCTCCTAATGTAAGGTTAACGAGAAATTTGAATTCTTCGACCAAATGTCTCTTGCCGCTTCTATTATCCTGATAATGTTTAGCGCCTGAAAATCGCACCATTTACCAACTTTTTAAGTCAAATTGTAGTATAAAGGATTTGCGATCAGGATTGCAGACACTCGAGGAGGTAACGAATAACAGTTTGTTTTTAAGGTCAGCAAGAAATATAAATTCTCAGGGCAAATACTTCTCGCAATTTCTGCTACCCCAATACAAAATGTGGAAATCACTCCAGCGGCCGACGTTCTTCGTCAGATTGCAGCGGTAAGGATTTGATATCAGGATCGCAGAAACGCCAGAAGTTATAGAAATAGCAGGTTCATAAATAAGGTCTGTGGAAATTTGTGGAAATTCTCAACTACCTCTTGCGGCTTCTGCTATCCTAATACAAAATGTGGAAATCACTCCTCCGACCAACGTCTTTCGCTGAATTACTGTAGTGAGGAGTTGCTACCAGGATAACAGAAACGCCAAGAGGTGAAGTACAAACAATTTGCTCCTAATGTAAGGTTGACGGGAAATTTGAATTCTCCGGCCAAATACCCTTGGTCGCTTCTGTTATCCTGATACAAGATGTTTAGCGCTTGAAAATCGCACCATTTACCAACTTCTTTCGGTCAAATTACAGTATCAAGGATTTGCGATCAGGATTGCAGACACTCGAGGAGGTAACGCATAACAGTTTATTTCTAAGGTCAGCAAGAAATATAAATTCTCAGGGAAAATACTTCTCGCAGTTCCTGCTACCCCAATACAAAATGTGGAAATCACTCCAGCGACCAACGTCTTTCGGTGAATTACTGTAATGAGAATTTGCTACCAGGATAACAGAAACGCGAAGAGGTAAATTACAAGCAATTTGGTCCTAATGCTAAGTTAGCGGGAAATTTGAATTCTCCGGCCAAATAACCTTTTCCGCTTCTGTTATCCTGATACAAGATGTGGAAATCACTCGCCCGACCAACTTCTTTCGTTGAATTACCGTAGTGAGGATTTGCTACCAGGATAACAGGAACGCGAAGAGGTTAAGTACAAGCAATTTGCTCCTCATGTAAGGTTGACGAGAAATTTGAATTCTCCGACCAAATACCTCTTGCCATTTCTATTATCCTGATACAAGATGTTTAGCGCCTGAAAATCGCACCATTTACCAACTTTTTCCGTCAAATTGCAGTATCAAGGATTTGCGATCAGGATTGCAGACACTCTAGGAGGTAACGAATAACAGTTTGTTTCTAAGGTCAGCAAGAAATTTAAATTCTCAGCGCAAATACCTCTCGCGGCTTCTGTTACCCTGATACAAAATGTGAAAATCCCTTCTGGGGCCAACGTTCTTCGTCAGATTGCAGCGGTAAGGATTTGCGGTCAGGATCGCAGAAACGCCAGAAGTTATAGAAATGCAGGTTCATAAATAAGGTCTGTGGAAATTATCAACTGCCTCTTGCGGCTTCTGCTACCCTAATACAAAATGTGGAAATCACTCCTCCGACCAGCTTCCTCCGTTGAATTACTGTAGTGAGGAGTTGCTACCAGGATAACAGAAACGCGAAGAGGTACAAGCAATTTGCTCCTAATACAAGGTTGACGGGAAATATGAATTCTCCGGCAAAATACCTCTTGCCGCTTCTGTTATCCTGATACAAGATGTTTAGCGTCTGAAAATCGCACCACTCACCAACTTTTTTCTGTCAAATTACAGTACCAAGGATTTGCGATCAGGATTGCAGACAATCTAGGAGGTAACGAACAACAGTTCGCTTCTAAGGTCAGCAGGAAATTTAAATTCATAGGGCAAATACCTCTTGCAGCTTCTGCTACCCTAATACAAAATGTGGAAATCACTCCTCCGACCAACTTCCTGCGTTGAATTACTGTAGTGAGGAGTTGCTACCAGGATAACAGAAACGCGAAGAGGTAAAGTACAAGCAATTTGGTCCTAATGCTAAGTTAGCGGGAAATTTGAATTCTCCGGCCAAATAACCTTTTCCGCTTCTGTTATCCTGATACAAGATGTGGAAATCACTCGCCCGACCAACTTCTTTCGTTGAATTACCGTAGTGAGGATTTGCTACCAGGATAACAGGAACGCGAAGAGGTTAAGTACAAGCAATTTGCTCCTAATATAAGGTTGGCGGGAAATTTGAATTCTCCGACCAAATGCCTCTTGCCGCTTCTGTTATCCTGATACAAGATGTTTAGCGCCTGAAAATCGCACCATTTACCAACTTTTTCCGTCAAATTGCAGTATCAAGGATTTGCGATCAGGATTGCAGACACTCTAGGAGGTAACGAATAACAGTTTGTTTCTAAGGTCAGCAAGAAATTTAAATTCTCATCGCAAATACCTCTCGCGGCTTCTGTTACCCTGATACAAAATGTAAAAATCCCTTCTGGGGTTCTTCGTCAGATTGCAGCGGTAAGGATTTGCGGTCAGGATCGCAGAAACGTCAGAAGTTATAGAAATGCAGGTTCATAAATAAGGTCTGTGGAAATTCTCAACTACCTCTTGCGGCTTCTGCTATCCTAATACAAAATGTGGAAATCACTCCTCCGACCAACTTCTTACGTTGAATTACTGTAGTGAGGAGTTGCTACCAGGATAACAGAAACGCCAAGAGGTGAAGTACAAACAATTTGCTCCTAATGTAAGATTGACGGGAAATTTGAATTCTCCGGCCAAATACCCTTTGCCGCTTCTGTTATCCTGTATAGGATGTGGAAATCACTCGCCCGACTACCTTCTTTCGTCGAATTACTGTAGTAAGGATTTGCTACCAGGGTCACAGAAACGCGAAGAGGTAAAGTTCAAGCAATTTGCTCCTAATGTAAGGTTGGCGGGAAATTTGAATTCTCCGACCAAATGCCTCTTGCCGCTTCTGTTATCCTGATACAAGATGTTTAGCGCTTGAAAATCGCACCATTTACCAATTTCTTTCGGTCAAATTACAGTATCAAGGATTTGCGATCAGGATTGCAGACACTCGAGGAGGTAACGAATAACAGTTCGTTTCTAAGGTGAGCAACAAATTTAAATTCTCAGTGCAAATACCTCTCGAGGCTTCTGTAACTCTGATACAAAATGTAAAAATCCCTTCTGGGACCAACGTTCTTCCTCAGATTGCAGCGGTAAGGATTTGCTGTCAGGATCGCAAGAACGCCAGAAGTTATAGAAATAGCAGGTTCATAAATAAGGTATGTGAAAATCCTCAACTACCTCTTGATGCTTCTGCTACCCTAATACAAAATGTGGAAATCACTCCTCCGACCAGCTTCCTCCGTTAAATTACTGTAGTGGGGATTTGCTATCAGGATAACAGAAACGCGAAGAGGTAAAGTACAAGCAATTTGCTGCTAATATAAGGTTGACGGGAAATTTGAATTCTCCGGCAAAATACCTCTTGCCATTTCTATTATCCTGATACAAGATGTTTAGCGCCTGAAAATCGCACCATTTACCAACTTTTTCCGTCAAATTGCAGTATCAAGGATTTGCGATCAGGATTGCAGACACTCTAGGAGGTAACGAATAACAGTTTGTTTCTAAGGTCAGCAAGAAATTTAAATTCTCAGCGCAAATACCTCTCGCGGCTTCTGTTACCCTGATACAAAATGTGGAAATCACCCGTCCGACCAATTTCTTTCGTTGAACTACTGTAGTGAGAATTTGCTACCAGGATAACAGAAATGCGCAGAAGTAAAGTACAAGCAATTTGCTCCCAATGTAAGGTTGACGGGAAATTTGAATTCTCCCACCAAATACCTCTTGCCGCTTCTGTTATCTTGATGAGTTATAGAAATAGCGGGTTCATACAAGGTCTGTGGAAGTTCTCAACTACCTGTTGCGACTTCTGTTACCCTTGTACAAAATGTGGAAATGATTTCTCCCGCCAAATTACAATAGTAAGGATTTGCTACCAGGATCGCAGAAACACGAAGAGGTAAGAGGTTATATACCTTTTGTGGACCCTATATGTAAGGTCGACAGGAAATTCAAACTCTCTAAGAAAATACCTCTTCCGACGTCTGTTATCCAGATCAGAGACGATCAATTTTTAAGCGTGACTGTTTCATCAAAAAGAATCAAAGAGGATTTAGAATAAAAACAAGCCAAATAACAGATTAAATATATTTCTAGCGTTATACAAAATTTATCACAGCCTATGTATCTACAACAGACAGTCTCACATCATAGGTTTTATCATTTCCACAACATTACAACACTGTGGTCCCTTTCCAGCTGATCTTCAAGTTGCTGCGAAGATGCTCCCATGCTGCAGCAAATCTCATCAAGGCTACACAAGCCAGAGAACACTTTCTGTAGATCTGACTGCTCATTCAGTATGACAGGGTATTTGTTCACCCTCCTGCAAAACAACCTTTATCAGGGGATACTCCAGTAGGGCCCTATTACAAGATAACCTAAGCCACTTAAGACAGGGTTTGCATGGTACAGAGGTTAAAAAAGATTTAATCTCAATCTGACAACTCTCTTTTGATACTAAACTGAATCTTGACCCTCGTGATTTATAACTATATAAACTTGTGAGTTGCCTGCAACATCTGAAACTAATCCTGTGGGTTTCATGCTAATAGAACTCCATGTTTCTCTGGTCAAATGAAACCACCTATGTAGAAATTATTTTTTACTGACGTTTCGGCCACAATGGAAACCATTTGCAAAGTACAGATAAATGACAATATGTTTTTTGTTCTGATTGCATTGAAATAGCAATTTCAATATATGTGGTCTCATTTGGCTGAGATGCGTGGAGTCCTATTAAACGAGTTAGTTTAATGTCAGTTTGAAATTTACTAACCTCAATAACCTGCGAACCTCGCCTTAAAATTGCTCCGAGAAATGTACAGCGTCATGTGCCGGCGCATGTATCAGAAACGCAACATGTTGCAGAACAAGTAGTGAGACAAAAATAAACCAAATGGATATGGAACTCGACATTTCTTTTGCAACATGTGTCCGGCACTTTCATACAAATAAAATATCGTGGATATATCACAGTAAATGTGCCAGGAGCATTTTGCGCGAGAAGAAAAACCCTGGTTATGATGATCTTACCTAATAATGCCTTCCAGAACCCCAAACTGCACCAGCTTCCTTTCATTTATTCTGAGATTTGGTGGGTTAAATCGCATACACAGATCTCTGACAGTGGTGCCTCGTGTCATAGCAGCATACATCCGAAATACGTCTCGTATACAGGGCAACTGGATGTTTGATTTTGCTACATAGTTCAAGCACCTTGACTGAAATATAATAATGGTTGTCAAAAAGTTGCACTTAGTTGCTAAGAGTTAGCTGTGCATGAAGTATGGCGTTTTTCTGGTGCGGAATATCATCGATTACATATACCAATATTAGTCTGATTGGCGAAAAAAGTATTTGGCTATTGGGAACAGATAATCCAGTCTGGGTAGGCAGCGAACGTGTTAAATAATCATACCTGTAAATCAAGATCCTGAGCTAATTCTTTCAGCTTTGGAGTAGTACAGTAAACATTCCCATACTGAAATAAAGGGACCATGGCAACTACACCATAGTATACCAAATTTTGTACACATGCCTTCACAAGATTATTTTCTACATCGGAAAGTGCTGCAATTCTAGCAACATGGTTAAACCCATCAATGTATGGTGTTACCTGGAAAACAGTATAAAATTTATTTTCTCTTACTCTAATAATTCTGTTGTACATAGAGAAGATATACAGTATGCCTAGATATTAAAGGGGATATAGAAAAATGAGATCAAGTAGAGGTTAACACTAACATTGATTGACATATTCTACCATAAGGAATACTGTCTGAAACATTATTCAAGACAAAATGAGTTACCATGGCATCAGCTATAAGAATTTGTCACAGATATCTTTCTCCTCTCTGCAATAATTAGAAATCTACCTAGAAAAGATTAGTGTTTCATAGGTGGTGATGTGGCCAACTACAGGGGCATATATGAGTATACAGTTGGCTACCATCTCTGAGAACCTGACATTGTAAAAGTAGATTTTTAGTTATTTTGGAGAGGAGAAACAGAGCTATGACAAATTCTCCTAGATGACACATGGTATCTTATTTCATCTTGTATAATTTTTTTGACAATGGAATATTGTATTAGGTAGGTTATCTACAGGTAAAATATGTTGATCAATGACACTATGCTTCTGCTGAGTGATGCCTCATTTCTACATGTAGACAGACTTCCTTTTATATCAGCTTACTTGTTGGGTTGTTAAATCCCACTGCTGTTCAGGTAATTCTTTAATAAATATAGGCACTTGATAGTCCATCACAGGAGATGGATCCAACCTTATTCTACATATCTTCAAATGGGTGGCTGTTGTACCTTCTGTTAGTGTTGATGTCAGTGCACATTCTCCTATATAAAAAATATAACTTTTGAGGCTGATATCGAAATTTAGATAAGGCAAAACTATAAAAAAGTGATAATGCTCTACTTTGATTAACATAGTCCCATTTGGGGATGCTGAAGTTTTACTATAGTCTGCAACAATAAATTTTGATGTTTAACAATTGGAGTGCTTTAGGACAATTGAGCATGTCTTTTCTATTTGTATTTACAGCTTCAGTAACCTTGAAATGAGTCATATTGTTTTTCTTTGATATTTTATAATGGCACATTAGAAAAGAAAAGAGTATAGAGAAGATAATAGACACCTTTAGTGTTGAGATCATTCATGACTTGTGTCAGAATTGGTTGCAGATTGGCGCTTGTCTTTCCTTCTGACAGAAAATTTCTCTCCATTTCCATGGCAACCAAGTAATCAGACAACTTGACTACAACTGATTCATACTGCACAGTCCTTGCATTGCAATCACAAACAAAACATATATTGAAGTGGTATGCATTTCTGGCATATTTTCTGTCATTTATGCGGACCGGAAACCCAAGAATTTTATAATCTTGGAGTGTTCTAAAAATAATTAACAATACAATTTATTATATGTTTGGAGACAAAAATACCAAATCATAGATTAATTTCTATACACTTTACTCACCAGAAAATAATTAATAAATGCTGTTTACTTACACTGTTATAGTGCTCCTTTGTAGCTCTGCTTTGGTAATGATGTACACACTAATACTGTCAAATAACTCCTTTGAAATATAATTTTCAGGTACCTGAAGACATTTTGATTTTGAAAAGTTGAAAATGAGACTGTGAGAAAGGGGATGAACAACGGGCAATTGTAAAATTATAATTCAAGTATATCATGAAAAAGATATAAGAAATCAAAGATCTGTACCTGGCAGGAGATAATTGGCCCAGCAGTAGGATGAAATTCACAAAAGAAAATGCACCTTATAGGCCCTTCTTTGCCACTATACTCAGCGCGAGATCTTACAATGCTATTCATATCCATATCATATACCTAAAATATTTAAAACAGCCAATGTTCACTTCATTTTTTTATCCAAAATTCTAAACAAACATAACCTCTTTTTTGTAATCTCTTTTGACTTTTGTCATCTTGACAGTTGAGTTAAAACTTAAAGCTAGTCACTCACACACGTCGAGCTTTTTACAGTCTTATCCGACGTGTGGACTGTGGTTGCGATTCTGTTACTACACACCTTCGGATTTTTGAGCCAGCCATACGCGGGTGTAACTGACAGGTCTGCTTGTGCCTGCACAATTCAACGTCGTACAGTTAAACAGACGGTGTAGGCTTATAGTTAATTACAGCGTCATCTATAAGACACTAACCGTTTCAAAGTAGATTTCTAATTATTGCGGAGATCATCAGCATCTCAGATGATATTTTGAACTTCGAAATAGGCCCGGTTTTATCGAATATTTATTACTAGGGAGGGAATTTTAAAATCTGTTGAAGCATACTTTGTGGGGCCTTAAGGAACAATAGATGAACGCGTAATCTTGAAGTTCGCAGATTTCTTTCACTAAATAAATATTGTTTTGACTAGAAAGTGTAGTGGATGCGCCAAAACGTGTACAGAGGAACGACAATCCATACACTTTTTTGAAATTAATGTGCTGGGTTCAAATGTTTGGCTGTATCTACCGTGAATGTCTAGAAAGAAAATATGAAATTATGCTCAAATATGAGCGTTCCCTCGCGTAACAGTTGTCTTTTTGTTCTAGAATATTCTTACTTTTGAATCGTGGCGCGCGGGTAGCGCGCCGCTACTGCATCTGAGGTTAGGTGGTTAGTATTTATCGCAATAAATAATAAACCCACTTAAGTGTGCTTATTACATGATTAGTTTACATTTTTAAGTTTATAATGATGTCTACTAAGTAACTCAAGATGATAACTGCTATCGGATATCCATTTAAGTCGGACGGTTTAGCTGTACAGAATCGCGACCTCGATAGGCAGGTACCATTAAAAAGATGTGTGTGACCCGCTTAACCATGGGGCGTGGTTTAGATCACATGGCCAGGCATCTTTTTGTTTATTAGTCAATCAAACATAAATATGTCAAGTCTGTCAAAGAGCCTCGTGTATTCCTAACCCTACTTCATTGATGTCGGTTGTGGTGCTGGACGGTGGATCTTGGGCACTTTTTTGAAAAAATTGTGATTCTTTACCGCTAAAAGGCTTGACAAAAATACGGCATCATGAGCTACATTCCAGAGCAAGCTGCAATGCCACCAGAACAGAGAAAAGGCAAAATGTAAGTTAATTAACAACTCTCCTATACATTCCTCTAGAATCGCCTTTTTGCAGTTTGTGCTGCGAATGTGGCACTCCAATAGAGCCCAATCCAGTGAACATGTGTCCAGCATGTATTCGTCTCAATCACCGAGATGTAACAGATGGGATTCCCAAACAGGCAACATTACACTTCTGCAGTGGATGTGAAAGGTACTTTCAACCTCCTAGTGAATGGGTGCATTGTGCTTTGGAGTCCAGAGAGCTGTTATCCCTTTGTTTGAAGAAACTGAAGGGTTTGAATAGGGTAAAGTTGATAGATGCTGGATTCCTGTGGACAGAACCCCATTCAAAACGAATCAAGGTAAAAGCAACACAAGGATATTCACATATTTACATATCTTTAGTTTCCACTTAGGCATATCACAGTGTAGCATAAAAAATGTTAACAATCTATTATGGTTGTATAAAAGCAAGTAATTTAGGATAAACATGCCTTATGGCTCAGAAATAAAACTCGGATATTAGAAAACTGAATGCTTCTAGTCCTGCCTGCCAAAGTAAAATAGAATTCCTCTAATTTCAACAATTATCAAATATTGCAAAATACCGTTTAAATGTGCATTATTTATCAAAAGGATATTTATCACTCTAACAGTCTCAATATTTATTTATATCTTTTTATTTGATTTCCTAGATAAAACTGACGGTTCATGCAGAAATTGCTGGTGGGGCAGTGCTAGAGCAAGTGTTTGCTGTTGAATATACAGTTGCTCATCAGATGTGTGATGACTGTCACAGATCAGAAGCCAAGGATTACTGGAAAGCATCAGTGCAAGTCAGGCAAAAGGCTGAGAACAAGAAAACATTTTACTATTTAGAGCAAATGATTCTGAAACATAAGGCACATGAAAATACTTTGGGAATCAAACCAATTCATGGTAAGTAAGTAAGTAAAGTCAGTAAAAAGATGCACCACTATGAGGGAAAATGAAGCAAAACTCTTCTGCTGGGTTCCTGTCTTTCACTTAACTTTATCATTTATAGTTAGGAGTGTTAGGACATCATTACTGATCTTTAAAAAAAAGTAATGAAGTTGGTGTTCATTGATATTATCATCTATTCATCATGTATAGTATGTCAAATCTTTTCCCTTAAGTCAGTCAGTCAGTTTCTGTAATCTGTCAGGTGCCAATTAATTAGAAACCAGATATTATTGAACCACACTAAATATTTCAGATGTTTAAAATTATATTGTACTTCTTCATCTTTTCAGGTGGCCTGGATTTTTTTTATGCAACAGAGGCTCATGCCCGAAAAATGCTAGACTTTGTTCAATCTGTGCTGCCTTGCAAGTACCAGCACTCAAAAAAACTCATCTCACATGATATTCACAGTAACGTTTACAATTACAAATTCACTTACAGCATTGAAATAGTTCCGGTTTCTAAAGACAGCATTATTTGTCTTCCAAAAAAGCTTTCTCAGCAACTTGGAGGGATTTCACAAGTATGTTTGGTCTATAGGGTTACAAATACTGTTCATCTTATAGATCCAACAACTGGACAGAGTAAGTATTATACAACGCATCCCAGAATAAATTTCTACAAAAATGTCCTCCTGTGGGGCACTGCTATACCTATGCAGGTCCCTAAAGGGGCAATCTGCAAGTCACTTTTATAATTCAATGTGTTTATGCTGGCGAAGTAACTAGTTGATGTCTGTAGATTCAAAGAAGCATCACAAACAATGTATAAGAACTTGCTTTTCATACTTTTCGAAAATAGTTTTCACTAGATTCATATGTCAGGCATTTTTTTTAGTTGGTGAATTGAATAGCACAACATATTGGAGATATCCCTTTGGTAGTATATGCAACCCCAAACAATTGGTTGAGTATATAGTTATGGATATAGAACCTATAATGGAAAAAGACAAAAAGGTTAGTAGTTGTAGATCACTGATCTGAAATCTTGTTTTTTAAACAGTTGACTGTGAATGTGAACTAAATTGACTTGACATTCCAGATAGCTCCAGGCAAAGGTGCAGTTTCTAACAGACACGTTCTTGCAGACGTGTGGGTAGTACGAGCATCTGAGTTGGGTATAAATGATAATCCTATACATACCAGAACCCATTTAGGTCACATCCTAAAACCTGGAGATTCTGTCATGGGGTATGTTTATAAGTTGCCAACTGCACTTTCAGTCTCTTTGAGAGTATAAATAACAACACTGGTTATTTTTGAAAAGCTTAGATGGGCAGCATCAAGACAGTCTTGCCAATTTACATTGATTTACACTTGCTACAATGATAGATTTGTATATCAACATTTTTTCAGGTACAACATAGGCGATAGCAACGTCAACGACGCAAATTTTGAAAAACTGGATAGAAACATGATTCCAGACATTTTATTGGTCAAGAAATACTATGGTGATAGAGTATCTAGGAAAAAGCAAAGAATTTGGAAACTTAAACGTCTTGCTGAAGGAGATGCAGCTTTCGATTGTGACGCCAAGTATGTAGAAAATCTCAAGAATACTAATTTTCATCAACAACAGACTCATTTTTCTTTTTGGCTCCTACACTAAGAGACCTCTTATAAAACTAAAAAAGTCCAATTCCGATGTTTTACAGAAACAAATAAGCTATTTCAGCATAAAGCCTGAGTGTTATGATCAAATTTTCCATCTTATTTTTTTGACAACAAAATATCGAGCAGGTTTCGCTGTTTCTCTTTGCAAGGATCAAATATTTTGTTACAAATCTTGGACAAGAACATGCGCACTTCCACTATTCCCTTCCATAATTTCTACATGAGACATGCCATCTAGAAATCATTGTCTTCAGCAGTGCTTTATCGTTTTATGCTTAAATACTGTTCTGTAGCTGACTGTTGTAAATAGGAAATTAAGATGGGGCGGAGGCGAGTGGGGAAGAGGTTAACTTTGATCTATGTATTATCTACTTCCTTTTTAAACTTTAAACCATCTCGTTCAACTGTACCTGCGTTAAATATATCTTTGTAAACTTTTTTCGGGTGAAAGCTAGGATGCGCAATTAACCTTTGCGCATGTTTACATGCAATTTCTTATAAATATTTGAACACGTCCTAAATGCTGAAAGGAATAGGATGCAAAAGTATGCAGTACTAATACTGTACATTTCCAAAATATAAAGAAAAATTTATAACATCTAGTCTAATCATATTAGCAAATTTCCCAGAAATAATTGTAAAGTTATTTAAAACATGGACGCATAAAATAGGTACACCAATTTTTGTGAGAAAACTTTTTATTTGACAACAAAGAATGAGAAAACGTGCTTTTTCGGAATGAAAGTGTTGACAGGAACGAAAAAACTTTTCATATTAGATTTTTAGGTATTTATGAGACCTATAAAATGAGAGACATAAAAAGATCCGACTAATAGCAAAAATGTTATGGCCAAAAAACGAGGCAAAATGCAAGTTTTGTCACTTGGTAATGCGACGATAATTTCACGCACCCACTTGAAATTCTTCAAGTCCGTAGGATTCATACTTCTGAATAACAACAAAATTTGATTATATTGGTCAAGTAGTTTTTTGAGAATGTCTTATTGTTTATCCCAAAACACCTGTTTCAGGCCATCACTACTAGTTTATTGAGCAATATACAGGATTCGTTCAAAGATCATTTAATAGCAAATTACACGTGTTTACCTTGCCTATATGGATCAGATTCCATTCCAAAAGATAAATGTTATTTTAAAAACATAAGTTACTATGCACATTTTAAAGCAAAGCGGATGTGTCTATCGTCTTTTGTTGTGAATTACTCACAAATACGAAATGTTTGAATCCTTTTTTGCATAAAAATAACATTTATCTTCCGAAATGGTTTGGGATTCATATAGGCAAAGTAAACACGTGTAATTTGCTTTTAAATGCTCTTTGAAGAAACCCTGTATATTGCTTAGAAAACTAGTAGTGCTGACCGGAAAACAGGTGTTTTGGAATAAACAATTAGAAATACTCAAAAACTACTTGACCAATCTACTCCAATTTTGTTGTGGTTATTCCGAAGTACGAATCCTACGAATTTGAAGAATTTCAAATATCTGCGAGAAACCATCGTCGCATTACCGACAAGTGCCTAAACCTGCAGTTTGTCTCGGTTTTCGGCTATAACTTTTTTGCTATTAGTCGGATCTTTTTACGTGAGGTCTGATTTTGTAGGCATCGTAAATACCTAAAAATCTTATACTCGTATGAAGAGTGTTTTCATTATTAGAAACACTTTCGATTGAATCCCAAAAAACACGTTTTCTCATTATTTCTTGTCGAATAAAAAGTGTTCCCACAAAAAAATGGAGTACCCATTTTATGCGTTCATGTTTTGAATATCCCTCAAACAACTTGCATCAATAAAACCAGACTTTACAATTATTTCGCAAAAAGGCTTTAGAGCTATAAAAAAGTCCAATATACCGATATTTTATTGAACAAAAAATGCTATTTCAGTATAAGAAATTTGATGATATGGAATATTTTTTTCATTACAGTGACTTCCACGAGTTCTTAGACGACCTTGAAGAGGACCCTGCTCTCAGACAAAACGTCAATATATTCAAAGACGCCACCAAGCAAATTTCTGTGGACAATGACGACAAATGCGACGAGACGTTACCTCGAGTCACGCTGGCTGAAATGCTGGACGATTTGGTCATTGATGATGTGGAGATGGAAGAAGCAGATTAGCTTATTTTTTATGATGTATTGTAAAAATTACAACATATGTGATACATTTGTTAATTGCATTGTAAAATATAAAGCGTAATATTACTATAATGGGTTGGAAAAAATACAATATAAAATAGGAACAATTGTAAACATAAAAAGCAAAGATGCAACAATAAAGTAAATTGATCGAAAATTTCAATGTGTATGTCCACCTACTAAAGGGTGTTCAGATAGGGACGCTCGATGTTTGAACGGCGCGCGCGCCCAAACCGGTGGGGATACAGCTGTCAAATTTTGTGAGGTTATTAAGTTAGTCTTGACATTTAATCATGGAGCAGTACACGATTCAACAACGCGTGGAAATTGTGAAAATTTATCATCAAAACAGATGTTCGGTTCGTGAAACGTTCCACGCATTGCGTCCAATTTATGGTGCGCATGGCCGTCCTGCCGAGTCCACTATTCGACGTCTGCTCAATAAATTTGAGAGAACTGGCTCAGTGGCAGACCAAACAACACCCGTACGGCAACGAACAGTAAGAACAATCGAGAATATTGCTGCTGTGCGAGAGAGCGTGCGTCAAGACCCGAATCAGTCATTGCGGCGACGTGCACAAGAACTTGCCCTTCCAAAGACCTCAACATGGACAATTATGCGTCGAGACTTGAAATTGCACGCGTACAAAATTCAATTGACGCAAGAATTGAAACCGCAAGACCATGGACAGCGCCGTACATTTGCCGCATGGGCTCTAGAGCAGTTGCAAGTCGACCCTGCATTTGCACGAAAAGTCATCTTCAGCGACGAGGCGCATTTCTGGATGAATGGGTATGTCAATAAACAGAATTGCCGTATATGGGCTGACCAAAATCCTGAAGTGACTTGCTCAACTGCTATGCATCCTGCTAAAGTGACTGTATGGTGCGGTTTCTGGGCTGGCGGCGTAATCGGTCCATATTTTTTTGAGGACGCTATGGGCAACGCGCTTACGGTCAATGGAGATCGGTATCGCGCCATGATTAATGATTTCCTGTGGCCACAACTGGACGATATGGATCTAAGAGACATCTGGTTCCAGCAGGACGGCGCTGCGTGCCACACCGCACGCGCAACGCTGGATTTACTGCATGAAAAGTTCAACGGTTTCGGCGATGTGCACTGGCCACCAAGATCGTGCGATATAACGCCTTTAGACTTTTTCCTGTGGGGCTACGTGAAGTCTCAAGTGTATGCGGATAAGCCACAAACAATTGCAGCATTAAGGGCCAACATCATTCGCGTCCTCGGACAGGTAGACGCTGAAATGTGCGGAAAAGTGCTCGAAAATTGGACCATGCGAATGCACGCTGTACAGCGCAGTCGCGGTGGCCATTTAAACGATATAATCTTCCATACATAATGTCGTCGAATGCTATTTACGATCAATATAGACTTTTAGTGCTGACTTTGAATTTTTTTCCTTTTTTTCCATTTTAACTTTCGAGCGTCCTTATCTGAACACCCTTTACATCCAACATATTTTTAAAACATAATGTTTTATCTCGAACTCGTTACTTTCAAGATCTATTATAACCTACTTTTTTAATCTTCTTATTAAAAAAAACATTTTCGAGCTTGAAAGTCTATCAGGTTATTTTAAATATGCTTCGATTTAGAGATCTATTTAAACAAAATGGAAAGAACTCTTACCTTTTGAGGTGATTCCATTTTTTGTATATCATTTTAATCCAAATTCTTCATTGTCAATCAGCTGATGTGGTTTTGAGATGCCAAAATTGTTGGAGATATTGGCAGCAAAATGTTGAAACCTCCATGTAAAACACATACGAATTTCACGTTGCAATTCAAAAGAAATGTTGGAAACTGAAAAGTATCACACAGTTTGTGATTTGAACGATAGAAAATCTTAAAAGATCAGTTATAAAACGATGAACGTAAAATTTTTAGCACTCACAAGACAAACTAAAAATGCCTTAAATTCCAGTGAATTTTTCAAGACTGCAATATCTTTCCGAGAGAGGGAAAAAGTAGATAACGTTTATATTCTAGGATACATTCTAAAAAAATCTCACCAATTCTAGGTCAGTTTCTTCATCACCAACTACCACTACAATCTTGTCCAGGTTGTCTTTCAAGACATTGCTATGATGTCCGACATTTTCTATTTTGTTTTCACTGAAACATACACTTGAAAACGGAATATTGATACTGTCTCTCACACTACACCTATTGAACCTAAAAAAATGTATTTATATATTTAGGACATAGAGGAAAAGACCTAAAATAGAAAAAACAAACTTAAAACTAAACCTAAATGTAAAATTAATTAAAAAAGTACAAAACAGGGAACGTGAGTATGAATCAATGCCAGTAGATGAGCGACTACTCTCCCTTCACCACGGATCACTGGATCTAAAGGTGGGAGATTCAGCAGAGCTTTCATTGCACTAAATGGTATTGTTCGCAGTGCGCTTGTAATGCTAATGCAGGCCAAACGCTGAATTTTATTGAGTTTGGTCTTAGTTGTCTCAGTTTCAGTGCAAGGCCACCAAACCAGGAAGCCGTACAAGAGAGATGAACGTACCATCGTTGTGTAGAACCAGTGTACCACTTTGGGTTTAAGCCCCCACCTTACACCGCAACACGTCTACAGGTCCACATTGAATTGTGAGCCTTGTATGCAACATGCTCTCTCCAGTTCAGTTTGCAGTCCAGGATAATTCCTAGATATTTTACTGATTGGGATAGAACTAATCTAGCCCCAAAGAAGGTCAAGCCCGTCAACCCTTCTTCTCCTAGTGAATAGAATCGTATCGATCTTTCCAGCATTGACAGAAAGATCGACTTACCTACACCACGATTACACAGATCGTAGAGCGCCCTGCATAATTTCAGAGACTGTTCTACAAAAACGACCCCTAACTACTATGCTTAAATCATCAGCATAGGCTTGCACGTAGACACCCGCACTGCTGAACCTAACGAGGAGTTCGCTCACCACGAGACACCTCAGTAGGTGTGATAGAACTCCGCCCTGAGGGGCTAGCTATGCTGACGCTGCAGCTTACGTCATTCAGCATAGCTACTAAGGTTGATCCAACCCCGTGCCTAACCAAGGCATGTCTGGTAGAGTCGGTTGTAGTGCAATTAAAATGCACCTTCAGTGTCCAAAAAGTCCTCGAGTGCCACTTCTCGCTGATCTAGAGTGTTCTCCAGCATGCCGACCAGATTGTGTAAGCCCATATCAGTCGATTTCCAGCTTGGTATGCAAACTGATCGGAATGAATAACACATCTTTCCAGCGCACCATCCCTCAAGAATCTATCAACTATCCTTTCCAATGTCTTAAGCACAACAGATGGAAGGGTAATCGGACGAAAATCGAAAAACGTGAGTACAGTTAAGTATTGCACCGTAGTCACCCACAAAGACAAATTTCCAATTATACAGGGTGACTCAAGAAACAGTAGCAATATTTCGACACAGAATGTTCATATAAACATGGCCCCCAAAATTCCCCCGAGTTACAGGCTGGTGAAGTTATAATTTCAAAAATCAAAAAATGTATATCTTCGGTATGTATTAAAATATAGACTTAAAATTATGAATATGTAGTACTAGCAGCACATAGATACCAGAATTCTTATGACTCTACACAAGCTGCATAAAAATAGAGAAATTTTACCCCAAAAGGAAAAAGGAAATTATATTTGTATCTCAGACACAAACTGGGTTGAGTCCATTTTTGCCTAAAATGAGTTTTGTAAGTAAAGGTTACGATAATATTGTGAATTTGTATTTGTTACTTCATGTGTACACCTACATGTTGTAATTTAAGACTTTATAAATCATGTGACACACAATTAGTAGAATAAAAATATTTCAAACGCAATTATCTCGAAGACTAAACAGCCGAGCCTGGCTCTGAGGTACACATATTCAATTCAACAGCACTGAATTTTTCGAAGCATCAATTACATTTTCTTCAATAAGGTCTTCAATATAACACGAATCGCCTCTTTTGAGAAATGTTCGTCAGACTATTCCTTCTGGAGAAAAACTGGTTTGAATATATGAAGTAAAATAAAAAACAAACAATAAAACAATATTCGTGTTTTGTCCTTATTCAGTCTCAATAGTGGGGTAGAAATTTACAACACCCTGTATATTGATGGTAATGGGACATTTTAGGAATGTTTATATTTTTTCCTAAAAATCACAGGAAAAACTTACTGTGTAATATTCCTTATATCTACCACGATAGCTTTGTCCGGTGAATTTCTTATTAACTCCAATAGATCACTGACACTTATACGTGGACATCTTTCCTTTTTTAGATCTTGCAAGGTAACCCCTGATATATCCTGGAATATCAAAAAATATTGTGACTACGATCAAAATAATTGTTTTCTATCCCAAATAAAATAGATTTTTTCACTGTTCTGCAACTAGTGTCAACATATTTACAAGAACTCACCAACTCTCCAGTTTTTTTAAACTCCTCGTTTTCGTACTCCCTGTGCGTTATACTGCCCGGCGTCTTTTGGAATGTTTCAGCTGATAATATAACACACTTCTCGATATCAACCTCCGGCAAATCAGAGAACAGAAGAATACACTCGTTGAATCCTGAGTTTAAAAGTCTATCTCTCAGTTGTGTGAGAACAGACAAACCAATGTGTAGTGAAAACGACGAGTTCCCTAGGAGGACTTTATCCCACAGATGGAGGATTTTGTGTAGAGGAAAAACGTCTAGAAAAAATGGAAAACGATTTTGCTGGATAAAGAACCACGTCCTGACTGTAAAGGCTTCTGAGCTATACGCGAACAGTTATGATGTGTCTACGAGGTCGGTAATTTAAGTGATGTGACTGGCAACTAGCGTTAGATGTGGCAACGCTGGAGGCGCCACGCATGGAGGACAGACAGGGGAACATGTGATTCGCCTTCAGCACAGGTTTGAACCCGCTCGAGCCATTTGGCTGTCCGTAGTGATTTTTTTTGTAAAACAGTTTTTCCTATTTGTTCTAAAAATGAAATATATCAATTTCGAGAAACAGCGTGCTACCAGGTTTTGCTTCAGACTTGGGAACAATGCAATGGAAACTCTTGCTAAGCTTCAGCAGGCCTACGGATATAGTGTTTTGTCAAGAGCGCAGGTTTTTCGAAGGTTTACGCATTGTCAGAAGGGAGATAGTCGATTGAAAACGAACCACGAAACGGAAGGCCTTAATCTTCAAGAACCGATAAAAATATGGACAGAATTCGGGAACTTGTGCATTCAGATCGTCGATTGACAGTTAGGATGATCGGGGAAAAGTTAAATTTGACTCATACCACCTTCATCATATCAAGATAGTGTTGCATCACATTAATGCTCCTTGTCACACAGAAATGTCAATAAGCGGGTTTTTGGCCAGTAAACGCATTCCTGTGGCTCCTCAGCCTCCTTATTTACCTGACTTGAGTCCTGGTGACTTTATTCTCTTCCCGAAGTTGAAAAATTACCTCAAATTAACTCATTTTCGGACAGTCGAAAACATTCAATTGGCTGTAACCGACCAGCTGAAGGCTATTCCAGTATCGGAGTTCCAGCACTGCGATGAGGACTGGAAGAACCGTCTCCAGCACTCAGAAAGCAGTTCTATTGAGGGTGACAATATTAAATTGTAATTATACTTATATAAAAAAAATTAAAAAAATCACTCACACCACTTAATTCACAGACCTCGTATGTAATGGAAGGGGAAAGTGTCAGTATCAACAATTTACAGAGTTCATTTCCAATGGTTTTTGGTTTGAAAGTGATATGCTCCGAATTGCTCCAGAAACAATGCATGAGATATACTCAAGAGTAACTCAATTGGAAGCAGGTCAGGTTTCATTTCTCAATTTTGAACGTGAGTTTATATATTCCAAATCAGTCACATTTGGCCTGCCTTTGCATCACCCCAAGTTCTACTACCGCGTAATTCTATAATGACAACATTTCAGTCGAGCAAAAATAACGGTGGGTCTTTGGTTTATTTATCCAATGACATGCATGTCTTATAATCCCCCATGTTTGTCTGATAACTAATTGAAACCACAGCTGCTTGAAACGGTAACTTTTAATACGTACATTCATGACATAATGTTTTGAGTTATGAGATGAAATGCATATTTATTTACTTAAAATTCAGAAAATGAATGTAATCTCCCAATAGAGATATTGTGTTCGAGACTCTTAAATCATCCAGCAACCAGGACACCCCCGTGGTGACGGTGGTAGCGACTAAATCTGTATTTTTTTCGGCCAAGTCTTGGCTAAAAAAAAATAATAATGGAGTACAGTGGACCTCCGGTAATCCGACAAACATTATGCAGATCAGTGTCGGACTATCGAATTTGTCGGATTATAGAGCACTACCTAAGACCCCTATAGTCCGGATTTTTTTACAAAAGAGTTAAACCCCTCATCTGAACAAATAAACTGCATATATATATATATATAAAGATTTGACGGCTGTAATGATTGATCGATTGACAAATGAATGTGATATTAAAATATTATTTATATTTTAATGCATACAGCGAACAGGCTTAATTCTTTTTTATACAGAACCGATCAAGGTAAATCTGCAAATATATTTTTCATTACTGTTCGCCATACGGTCCAAAACATGCAAAAAAATAATCAAATTCATAATACTTACGAGAAAACAATGTCAGAAACCAAGGGATGGCAAATAACTGAGGATAAAAATTGATCTCGTAGAGATGATTGGCTAATACAGGATCGTGAAAGGCAATGAGTTGTGAGAATTTCGCCAGGTATTCTTCGATCACAGCAGAATTATCTTTTAGAAAAAAATTGTGGAGATACTTGGGAACGAACTTCGATAGACACGAAAACGCTTTAGCTGAAACGATAAAAATATAGTTAAAAGGTTGTGATAAAAAGTCTGCTACTCGCAAAGTAGTATTTCTTGCGAATCAACTAGATTCCAATAAGATATTCTATTTTTTCAAGCGACATTTATCTGACTTGACTAAAGCTGAACAGGCAGTAATAATTAAGCCAAAATTTAATAGTAATGACATGTACCTTCATCATTGAAATTGAGATACAGAAAAGGGGCAGTCAGAGAATCCAGTCCCTGCCAATAAACATATTGAGTATTCTGATTGACCCATGCTTTTAATATCCTTTTGAGCTTTTTATGGCCTTCCATGGATGACAACAATTCATTATATTGATGACATCTGGGGATATCTACTTCAATCTAAAACAAAATACGAAAAAAACTGGCTCAAATACTTTCACTCATTATACACTCTTTGTCACGAGTATCCATTACGGTATAACAGCTGATTATATATATCTTCCAAATCGACAAGTGAAACGTAATTCTAACGAATCCGTCAACGCCAGGTAGACAGAGCAGTACTTTTTATTGTTTTTGTACACTATGGATTGATTTTGTACTTGTTAACAACTACTTTATTAAGATAAGTTCCTTTGCATACAAAAAATGAATACGGCCCTGAGTTTCACCACACTTGCACCCAAAATTATTGCTAACGTTACAGATTAATACAAACCATGTCACTTGCTGATCAGCTGTTTACCTCAGTAAACGTCTAAATATAATGGTTGCTCGTGAAATAGGATGGCACACTAAGAGATCTTTATTACTCACTTGTCGATCTGTTGGCGTTGGGGTTGCTTTATCAATTTTTGCGTACTGTCTTTCATAATCGCCTCTAACATTTAACAATGCTGACCATATGTCCCCTCTAAACAATGGCGGTATATCTTTTTCTGCTTCTTTTACAATGAGATCTCTCGTAAATGGATAGCCCTAAAATTGTGTAGCATGAATAAAAATATACTCGTTCGATGTGGCTTTATCTCCTGATACAAACTTACATGCAACAATCTCCTTAACAGTATCACCCTGTGAAACTGATATTCGGGATCTTTCTCCTTGATAACAAGTGGCAACCCTGTAGCATCGTAAGGTTCTGGTTCGCTCTGAGCTATGATCTCCGACTTCGTTTGTATCAACGGATAGTAGCAAGAAAATGAAATATTCTTGAACCTCTCATAAAGTGTTTCCATGGGCATTTCAACTATTTTGGGGTCATACAGGGTGGCTGGGTTACGATCTTGACCAAGAATGGTACCTTCTATCAATACCAAACTAAAAATTGTAACATTTTACAAATTCAAATGCAGCTGAAACTACGAAACTTCATTGTGGAAAGTTGATCTCTCATTGAAAAATCATGAACTATAAGGGAGGCATTTATAGTATAAAATTATCATCATACAAAGGGTACAATAAAAGTTTTGCAGCAGGTCTTTTGATTTAGTTGTTCATTCGTATTGACAGTGTAAAGTGCGGACTATGGCATCCTGGTCACGTAGTGAGATAAGGGCAGTTTTACGGTATAACTTTACGCGTGGTTTAAGCATAGATGAGTGCTTAGAAGAAATGACGCTTGTATTAAAGAATGATTGTACTCATCGTACGACTATATTCAGGTGGTACAGAGAATTCTAAAGGGGCAATTTCACTCTGGAGGACGCTGAGAGAGAGGTAATGCCGCGAACTTCAGTAACGGAGGAAAACTGCTGTGAGCAAATGCTTGACGAAGAACGGAAAGTGATATACCAACAGATAGAGAAAACCTTACACCTTCATGCACCAGCAATTCATTTAATTCTGCATGACACATTTATACGTAAGAAAACTTTGTTCTCTCTGGGTACCGGATAGTCTAAAGGAAGAGCAGAAGACTCGTCGTAGGCGGGTAATAACAAATGAAGAAATAATAGCAGATCGAATGAATACTTATTTCATAGAAAGTTTCAACGACATTGTAAATACAATTATTGCCGGGTATCCCAACCAATGTCCCATTAGTTCAGATTATAATGCATCATTCAGTGAGTTTAGAACAATAAACATTAATCGTCTCAAGAAGATTATATCAAAAATTAAATCAAATCAAAATAAGAGTGAGATTTTGTCTAAAAGTGTGCTTAATGAATGTTTTGATATTGGAGCAAGAATATTAATCCTGATAAATTACTGTTTAAAATATGGCGAATTTCCAACAAAACTGAAGTGTTCTACCATAACTCCTGTTTCTAAAGTTAAGAATTCTGAGTTGTACACCAATATGCGGCCAATAAATGTTCTGCTAGAAAGTTTTTGAAGAAATTATTTACGAACAGATCATCGAATTTATTGAGGGAATTAACATTTTAACCAAATTTCAAGCTGGATTCAGAAAGAAACACTCAACTGAAACGGCAACACAAATGGTCTTAGAGGACTGGAGGAGATGTATGGACAATCGGAAACATACAGTAACAGTGTTTTTGGACTTCAAAAGGGCGTTTGAGACTATTGACAGGGACAAAATTGCATCACTATGGATTTAAAGGATCTGTATTCAAAATTCTACAAAACTATTTAATTGACAGAAGTCAAAAAAAACAAAATTGGATATACATTATTAGGATTAAAACATATTTCTGTCGGTATACCACAAGGTAGTAAACTAGGTTCACTACTATTTATTTTATACATTAATGACATTTGTAATATTTTACATTATTGTAAACTTCAGATATTTGCAGAGGATACATTAATATACATATCAGATGAAAATATAGACACTGCTTTAAAAATGCTAAATTCTGACTTAGCAAAAATCGTAAATTGGTTAAATGTAAATAAACTAAAATTGAATAATTCTAAAAGAAAATGTATGCTAATAGGGAAATACCTAAATGAAAATACTATCACAGTTAGGATAAATGGAGAATTAATTGAAAATGTTGAATCAATTAAATATTTAGGTATATATATATATACAGGGTGTACGCAAAGTTGGGGTTTTCCTTTTCAGAAACAACTACCCTTGAAATAACAAAGGTAATGTGTAGTGATACGAGGACGACCACGAAATAAAAATAAAGGAAAAAGTACTCACTCTCCAGTTGACGAGAAGGGCTAAGTACCTCTCTGCCCGAAATCATACCGCTCCAACAGAAAATGAAATCAGCTGATGCGCTACCGAGCAAACGCAGAAACCACATTGATTATCTTACACTTAATGGCACATCTTCTAACAAGGAAGGCAAAATGTTGCGTAAAAAGTCTAGGTATTGCATCCCGTCCAATCGATTTGGGAGAATAAATGGTCCAATGAGCATACCGCACCATGCCAGCCCAAACATTCACCGAAAATGTTTGTTGAAAATGTGCTCGACGGACAGCGTGCGGATTTTCTACTGACCAAACATGAGTGTTGCGTGAACGTAGATTCGTCTGTCACCAATATGCACTTCAAAAAGTCCGGATTATTGTCATGTTGATGCAACAACCACTCACAAAACCGCACTCTTGCTGGAAAATCGTCAGGTTGAAGGGCTTGTACACGTTGGACGTGAAACGGATACAGCCCCTCTTCACGCAGCGTTTGCCACACTTTAATTTTTGATACTTGCACTTCTCTAGCCACGTCTCGGTGATATCGCGGCTACAGGACGGTATTAAGATATTTTTGATGTTGCAAAGCCCTTTATCTCGGTTCCCTTAAGGCATTGGTGTATATGGTACTAAGAAAAATTGCTTATGTTTTCAAGATCTACACGTCGTGTAAAGGAAAACCCCAACATTGCGGACACCCTGTATATGTTGATAGTAAACTAAGGTTTGAGGATCACTATGAATACATTATTTCAAAAATTGCCAAAAAACAAATTACTTTTGTAGGGCTTCTCATAGTCTTGGTACCTATTCCGAGAAAATAGTTTATAATACAATTATTCTACCGCATTTACTATATTGTTCAACTATCTTGTTCACTGCCAATGAAGCTGTATTCTGCTATTATGTTACAAGAATTGCAGAGGTTGAATATAAAAAATTTCATATCATATTTGGTTTTTATTTTTATATTTAAATTAAAAAATCAGCTTTTGCCAGAACATTTAGAATACTACATAGAATTGAATAATAATTACCACAATTATTATACAAGAGGAAATATAGATTTTCATTTACAAAATTGCAATAGTAATATAACTAGCAAATCAATATTTCAGAAAGGATTACTTGTATTTAATAAACTAAATAATGATATAAAGTGTACTTGTAATTTAAAGATATTTAAAAGAAATTAAAGGAATATTTCATGAACAATGAAAATTCTTAGAGATGCAAATTTTGTTTTTTTTTTTCTGAATGTCTGTATGTTATGTAATTGTTTAGTTTTTCAGAAGAATGTAATTGTAGCAATCCTGCTGAATAAATCTTAAACAAACAAACAAGCAAACTTGGTGCCGGAAGATGCTGGAAATGTTAGTTAGGGAGCAATCTCGGTTTGTGAACAGCATCGTGACAGGTGAAGAGACATGGTTTTATTATTACGATGTGCCGACCAATGCTCAAAGCAAAGTTTGGGTATTTGATGATGAGGACACACCCGTAGCTCAGAACATCCCGATCTGTTAACAAAAAAATTACAGTCACAGCTAAGTGGTACACGGAACAGTAGCTGCCTAAAGGCACAGAGTCTATGAGAAACCTGCGGCCAAAGTCAAGTATGGACACTTGATACCATGACAACGCTGCAGCTCACCGCGCCAAAGCCTGCACCGAGTCGTTGGCCACTACTGGACTGAAACTTATTGAGCACCCTTTCTACAGTCCAGATCTTGCTCCCTGCGACTTTGCACTGTTTCCGCATATCAAAATGAAGTTAAAAGGAAAACGGTGAGGACTTTCTGAGGAATTGGGACGAGTGTGCCGCACTCCCGGGTGAAACTTGGCAGATCTGGTTTAAGGACTGGTTTTGGCGGATGGAAAAGTTTATTAGATGTGGTGGAAATTACTTTGAACGAAGTCAATAAATAAAGCTGTATTGCAAAACTTTTATAGTACCCTTTGTAGAGACGTCGCATCATGGCAAAGCAGGTTAAGTGCGACAACTTTGTATATAAGCGATCGAAATTTTAATTATCATTTCTTAATATGTACTTGTCTGACAGAAGCTATATTGTTTGATACTCGCGTTGAAAATCTTTTATATTGGTAATACTTACTGGGGTAATGAAAGTATTGGTGGACTAGACCGAATCAAACCTTGCCTCTTTAACTCTTGCAATACATCGCCTCCTGTCAACTGCCACCAATAATATAATTCACTGATCGTAAAAATCTCATACATCTTTAAAAGTGATAGCCAATCTGTCTTTTGGACCTGTTGTTAAAACAAAAAGTTATGTAGATGTCTTATGTTAATGCAGAACATTTTTCTTTTTTGCTACCTGAAACTCATCGAATATCCCTTTTTCCAACAATTCCGCAGCTGTCGGCCTATCTTCCGAATAAATATTCAAACACACCTCAATTATTTCTTTCAGATCTGCTGGTATCGCCTGATATCGATCATAACAATTATGTTCTCTTGCAATCCTTTCAAACACTGAAGTGGTTGACTGGACCAAGCTCAGAACCTTTCTTATACGTTGACCAAGTATCAGAGAACTCCAGAGCAATTTATTTAGTGTTAGCTCTGCCAGAATTATACCAAGAGACCATATATCCACTTTAGGATTCGCTATAATTTCCTTAAATTCTTCAAGGTATACTTCCGGTGCTGTATACAACAACTGTCTGAAAAAATCACAGGAAAACAGTGATTTTGTCTGCCACTGTTATTAGCGAATGAGACTTGGCACATTATTTACTACATTTCGGGCGTTAAGTTCGCGAAGTCTCTGGAAGCCGTATTTGAGAAAAGTATGGTATAGTACGACAAAATTTTGCCATGTAGTAGGTAATGACGTGACCTATTTTCAGTTGCACGATAATTTTTTAATTTCTGGACACCCTGTATCTTTCTTTCGAAAATGCTGTTCCTCCTGACTTTTGATGCGGTTATTCAAGAATTTTAATTAGAGAAATTGTTGCTATTTCAATCAAATACCTAAACTTTTCTGAAAAATAGGTGCACTTGTAGATAAGATCAATTCACATAAAATGGATAGAGTATTCATCGCCCTACCCTCGTACATCAAGACTATTGGTTTGTTCTTTCGTAAAAATATTTCTCCAATTAAACATATTACGATAAATATCATGAAGGCTGTACATATCAATATACCATATCATTCACTCATAATCATGTAGACAAAATGCATTATCAAGGATAAAGTAATTATTTTAACCAGTTCAATTAGGCAAGGTTAACTCATATACCACTTCAAGAATTATCTACCCAACTGACTCCGTGGCGCAACGGTAGCGCGTCTGACTCCAGATCAGAAGGTTGCGTGTTCAAATCACGTCGGGGTCAAACTTTTTTTCTTGTTTTTTGTTTCTTAATAAATCATTTATATTAGAAAATATAATAAAAATGAAACAAAAACGAAAATGACCTAAAATAAAACTTCAAGTCACGACACTGCTTGAGCACTACGAAGCATAAGGCTCATCTTATTTTCAGTGACAAGATACAAGATTTTGGAAAATATATCACCTCATTTATTAGCTTTGTAGCACTCAAACTCAATTATCGCCACCATGACGGCATTGATTCTATAGTTGTGACTCCCATGGTTTTTGGTATACATATATTTTGCTAGCCTAACTTTAAATCGATTTGGTCTATATTGTTAAATAATTCATACAAACTGTTCTAGATATAAGATAGTATTACTGAACTTGAAACAAAAGTCACAGTTATCAAGGTCAAATGAAATCTACTCATTTTCTGAATTAGGAAATGAGCCATGGTCATGATATGACAGAAAAAATGATCACAACTTTCACAGCATGTATTAATCAACAAAAACCTCCCAACATTTTAAAAATTAATGAGAATGTCCTTTTTAACATCCCATAATTCAATGAAATACAAAATAAGTTACAACACAATGACACAAATCTCAGATGCCATAGCTTGAATTATATTCTAACAGTGATTTGGTGAAGTTGATCATATTTATATATTCTTTTTTCTTTTGGCGAATTGTGTGAGACTTTTTATATTGCATAATACTTTTAGAAGTAAATTATAAATTTGGATTTTAACTGACTGGAACATTTTTTTTTTTTTGCTGAAAATAATGCTCCATAAAGTGGGCGGATTCTATCTTGAATATTTAAAAGCTGTAATTTTTGAGTTCTTTCTGGTTGTTACTACACAATGACACAAATCTCACAAGACACAGCTTGAATTATCTTCCAACAGTGATATGGTGCAGTGGCGGCTCGTGCCAATTCAGTGAGGTAGTGCCAGAATGGAAGCCATAATTTTGAATCGATTCAAAATTGTAAAGAATAACTTATAACTTACCCCTGATAGTTAGTGGTCAAAGTTCTTGAGGTTCAATAAATCTATATGTCCAAAAAAAAATCAAAAATAAAACTATTTACACACGCGCACCAAATTATAAAACAAGTGTGGAGAAGTACCTATAACTTCAAAGTTTTCTATACATGAAGTCCATTCTTCTTTCTTTTTTGGTAGCAAAGTTTTCGATTACCTTATTATTAAAATTTTCAATGCCACTAACAAAATGTTTTTCTGCAGACAGCATTCCTAAAGCACTAAGCCTTTCTTCCTTCATTGTGTTTCTGAGGAAAGTTTTAATCCGTTTCAGCATTGAAAAAGAGCGTTCTGCTTCAGATGTTGACATCGGTATAGTGATTAAAATACTTAAGAGCTTAAGAGTTTCTTGAAACGTACAATTTAATCCTTCCTCGTTCAATAAAATGGATAGTGGAACAGCTCCAGAAGTAGTACTCAATTCTTCTCTCTGATATAATACTTGTAACTCAGTTTTAAGCCTGTTTTTGTCTAAAAATGAAAATTGTGTGCATGTGTCATTTAAATGTGCTTCAGGAAACTGATGTTTATAAACAGAAAACTTTTCAGACACAAATAAATTAGAAGCAACTAAATGCCCAGAAAAGTTAAATCTTGTTCTTATTTGCGATAATACTGCATCGCATATTTCTAACGCTTCCCGTTTTTTGCTGCCTTCTTCAACTTGCCTTTTTTTTCTTGCCGGTTCATCAGTTTCTCTCTGCACTCGTTCAATCTCGTCAATAATGCTATCCATTTGTTCTCGTATAGTTTGAATTGCTGCTTCAAAATTCTCTAAATCATTTTTGACCTTAACAGAATCGGTGCATACTTTTTGTAATTGGTTAAAGACAATTTCAACATGTGGCATTATTTTATGGAATATACTTAGCCAAAATACAAAATTTGTATCTTGCAGCTTTAATTTGTACCCACTGGCTTGATTAATCGACGAAGAATCGCGTGAAGTACTTTCTATATTGTCCATAACTTCAATCAGGTCTTTCCTATTTTCATAAACTGTATGAACACCTCGTGACTGAAAATTCCAACGTGTTTGGGAAGATCTTGGCAATCTGCGATTAACTATTTCATCCAAAATTTTTGTTCTTTGAGGAGACGTCGAAAAAAAAGAGCACAATCCAGATAAATTATGGAAAAATATTCTATCCTGCTTATTGACAGAGCATGCGCTTGTCATAATTAGATTTAACTGGTGTGCATAGCAATGAACATAATTTGCAAGTGGATAAGTTTCCTTAATAATCTTTTGAACGCCATTCAATTCACCACTCATAACAGACGCACCATCATAGCTTTGAGCTATTAATTTGTTTGGATTTTGATCTATTAATGGATTTACAACATTTAAAACGCATGCAGCGATTGATTTGGCATCGTGTCCGTCGGGGACGTAAAATCTCCAAAATCTCTCAACTGGTTGTCCTTTACACAAATATCTGAAAATAATAACTAACTGAAATTCACAGGCTACGTCAGTCGTTTCATCGGCAATTACTGCAACAAAAGGAGAATTTGCAATCTCCTTCTTAACTTCTTCATGATAAACATCTAGCATGCACTCAAGAAGCTCGTTTTGAGTTGTTTTTGAGGTACCCTTGAAAAGTTTGGCACTTTGAATATGGACTTTCAATTCGTTGTCTAATTCGGCGCTAAAATTCACCAGCTCCTTAAATATGCCTCTGTTTTCCGAATTTTCCTTTTCATCGTGACCCCTTAAGGCTAACTCAAATGCTCCACAAAACCTTATACAATTAATAATTTTATTCAATACATATCGATTCTTATCCACTTGATTATTATGTTTAATTAGATCATTGCGATAAGCCGAATTGAGTTGAGTCCTTATATTTAATTTACCAAGAATAGAAAAGCTAAAAACATTATTCATATGGACTTTAGATTTTTCGTGGGTCTTCATTTTATCCCATATATGTATAAGATCATCTGTACCTTTTTTTGACCAAGTCTCGTCACCTCCAAATAGAACACATACAAAACAAAATAGTTTATTCGTTTCTTCACAACCACATATCCAGCTGTTTTTATCGTACACATTTTTATTAAATTTGCGACAGCGCGATTTTTGTCCGCTACCACTTTGTTTCTCAATTTTTAAATCGGGTATTGGCCGTCCTAATTCTTTAATTTGCAGTTTTTGATCCAGCGAAAACCACTAAATGAGTTTTTTAATATCCCGATTTTATTCATTTTCACTAGTTTTAATAAAACAGTAAAAAATATGATCACAAAACAGAGCAGTTCATTAACACTAGACGTACTAAAACAAAAACGTTATTTCTCACTTTTCAGGTAAAAAAAGACCGAAATCAGCACTAGACGTAATCATAACGAAACGACCGACCGAACAAAAACACCGCCGATATCATTTGATAACGAATTACGACTGATGATGTGCCTGGCACAAATTATACTTGTCTTTCGCTATTCACCTCATATAAAAATGTGTATTGTAGCGTTATCTCTGTCGCTCGTATGCGATGCTGGTAAAATTTCTCTCTTTTTATGTGGGCCGGCCCGACATTGGCACAAGTTGATGACGTCAAGGTCAAGGCATGCTTTATATCTCGTCGCGTGGTTCGGGTGCTTGCGGTGTTGTCACGTTGTCAGTGTTGTCACTTCATATAATTTATACCAAAAAAAATGAAAAAGCAAAAAATAAAGTAAAACATTGAAGATTGAAAAAAATATTCTTTTTGAAGAAGACAAGGTAGTGCCATGGCACCGTGGCACTACCTCACGAGCCGCCACTGATATGGTGAAGTTGATATTTTTTTTTTTTGTGAATTGAATTATACTTTTTATATTGCTTAAAATTTTTGGAAGTAAATTACAAATTAGGACTTTAAATGACAGATATATATGTATATATATACAGTAATGGACAAAAGTATATAGACAAAGTAATATTGTGCTGTATTTCTTTTTTAACCTGTTTTATTAATACACCAACCTCTATACATAAATTCGTTATAGCATAAATAGATTCATTAGACTCCCTTCAATAAAAAATTAATTGAAAAAAACTGGAACTATGAAGGACAAAAATATATAGTCAAAGCAAAACAATTATAGAAAAAATAAGCAAAGTTCATTGAATTATAGAAAACCAACCATGTTTGTGTTAATATTTTGTAGCATAACCATTATTATTAATCTCCGCCTGGCATCGTCTCAGCATAGATTGTAGAAGTTTCTTGATATAAGATTCATCAATCTGTCTCCACTTTTGCTCTAAAGCAGCAAAGAGTTCATCTTCGTTTGAATAATTTTTATCTCGTATTTGCTTATCTAAGTATTCCTATATATTTTCAATAGGGTGTATATCGGGAGACTGTGACGGCCATATTAGAACTGGTATTTTTTCATCCAGAATGAATTTCTTTGCGAGATTTGAAGTGTGCTTCGGGTCATTATCTTGCTGGAAGATTGATCTTAAGGGCATATTGTCTTCCATATAGGGTAACAAGACATGCTTTAGTATGTCTGTGTATACAAACTTATCCATAATGCCATCTATTCTATGTAAAGGTCCCATCCCAAACCCCAAAAACCACCCCAAAAACCACAACAGACCCGCCTCCATGTTTGACAGTGGGCAAAGTGTACTTGGGGTTAAATCTTTGTCCATTACGACGTCTAACATAATTAACACGATCTGATCCAAACATATTGAACTTGGATTCGTCACTGAAACATACCCTCTTCTAGTCACAGATGCTCCAATCAAGATGCAACCATGCAAATTGTAATCGGTCCTTACGGTATTTCCTCGAGAGTAGCGGCTTCTTACTCGGGCGACGTGCAAATAACTTCAATTCATTTAATCTTCTACTCATAGTTTTCGTAGAACACTGACAATTCGTTTTGTCTCGATTTCGGCTTTTATTTGTCTTGGGGTTTTAAACGGATGAAATTACTTTTATTAATCTAACTGTTCTAACACTTAGTTTTCTAGGCTGACCACTTGTCTTACAGGCTTCCAAGATACCTTTTTGTTTATATTTGTTCAATATTGCCCAAACTGCTTTAAGCTTCGGCTTTTTGGCAATGTCAACTTGACGTTGACCATCTTTGTATAACTCAATGATCTTAGTTTTCACATTGACAGAAATTTCTGGACCACGCAGCATGGTCTTAAAATCACTAAACTTATTCCACAATACTTGATGAACACAAACTAATCATCTTCTAATGTAAAAACAAGGAATTTAGTTTTTCTACTAACAACACATTTGTTTGAGGAGCAATGAAGTATGAATGCGTTTTCTAAAGGTATTTACGTAAATATTCATATTTGTCTAAATACTTTTTGTCCATTAATGTATATATATATATTGCTGAGAGTATGAATGATCCATAAAGTGGGTGGATTCTATCTTCAATATTTAAAATCTGTAATTTTTCTGAGATCTTCCATCTAGTTGTTCATTTTGAACATATAAATATTGCTTAAAACATACTTACACTATGGGAAAAGACACCAACTTTCCATTATCTGTCATATAATAAAGACCGTAGTTGAATAATTTAATATTTCCATTTTCATAAAGAATATTTTCACTACTCAAATTATGATGAACAATATTTCTACTATGTAACTCCTTCAAACCTTGTAACACCTGATATGCTATTCTTTTAATATCAGTAAAACTAAATACAGATTTTTCTATAAATGATGACAAAGGTTTGCCACAATACTGAGATACAGCTATAGTTCTCTCTGTAACAAAATTATTACATCAGCAAGTGTATGTCACATTCATTTGAGTTTTCTAAATCTTTGTGTTAATAACTTGATGATGCTCACCATGTTTTCCTCTAATTATATCAAGGTATCGACACAAGTATGGATTCACTATAGTCTTTAAAATTTGTGCTCTGCCATAGATAATTATCGAATTGGGGGTTAGAGGCAAGCCGTTGCTACCACAAACATCGTCTTTATGTTGCTTTGCAAAAAATGTAATTGCCCCAAAGTGCATTTGAGGCTTCTTTAGTAAGGAAACACTCATTTTTTATTAGTGCTTGTTTCACGTTTGAAAAGAGTTACTCATTTTTCTGTATATGTCGCTTTTAAAGATTGTTTTTTTTTTATTATTTTTCCTTATTCTTATTTATTTACAAAATAAATACATTTTGAAAGCAACTTATTTTGGGGTTATTTCAAATTTCAAGTAATAGGCAACCTGCATAGCACAGATTTCACTCTATCAATGAATAGTGATAGTAACTGCTACTAGATGGCAACAGTTGTAGGGAACAAATATGGCGGATGAGGAAACCAACCATAGATTACTTTCTGATCACGTGATACACTATTTTTGATCACGTGATACATTTTTTTGATCACGTGACCGTACCAACGGGACAAAGATGGCGCAAGTATATCCGTCTTTAAAAACGAGATAAAATTAGGAGGTGACACATCTCACCTCCATAAGTTTAAAAGAGGAAGATGAGTTGTCACTGACATGTCGAAAAAGTAAATATGTCAAGAATCACCATAACCTTCAAACCTTCTTGGAAGATATGGAAATATTAATTTATTAGGACTTTATTTTAATTTACTGTGATGTTGCCTCGATTATACAAAACGGACGCTGAAATTCGTAAATATCAAATTAATACACTCATGGTTTTTAATGACAAGTAAGTGAATTCATACAATAACTTTGTCCACCTAAAGAACTGTATCTTTCTACAGTGTTCGCGAAATATATGAAGGAGAGGAATACGAAATAGGTTTCACTTCAGGAGGCAACAGTTTCTCTTTGAAGGTACATCTAAGTAGGGATTTTCCTAATGATAAACCCAAGTTGAAAGTATATCCTGTGGTACACCATCATTGGGTAGACAGCGATGGAGTTATTCAGTCAGCCCCAGGCCTATTAAGTGTAAGAAATGTATTTAATTTGTTATTAACATAGTAGTTCATTTTTCCTCCACAAAGGATGCAGGACCGAATATGCCTCATGTTTTCTAATAATGAATGGTGTTTCTGTTTTTTGTCAGTTATCTTGAATATTATTCGACAGCATAAAACTAGAATAACTCAGTTTTTCTTAAATAATGCCATTTGTTCATCAAATAACTATTAATTGTGACTTCAAGGTTTGCAGTTTTTTCAATTCCAGCACATTACCTTTTAACTAAAATGTTCTAATTCTCTTGACTAATGCAAAAGTAGCAAGCAACATAGTTATTTTTTTATTTTTGTAAACTCAATATTTTCTCTTATTACAGTTCAACGTACATTCCTCAGACTTGGGTAGAGTAGTTCAAGCAATCATACGAGAATTTCAGCGGGATCCACCTCCTTTAGCATCATCTATTAGTTTCACAACTACCTCTACATCAATAAGTAAGAAAATGTCAATATATTATAATTTTAACATGAATTGAGGTTTCCAAAAACATCTGCATATTCAACATTGATGCTATGACTCGTGCGATCTCACATGCATACAATTTTGTACCCCAAATTCGGCCCCATAACATTTCAAGATTTTTTACTATCATATTGTATTAAGTGTTATTTACTTGTAGTAACAGGGAATGGACATTGAAATTTTTCACATCTCACGATTTTTTAAGGTCATATTCACCTTCTGGAAAGACCATGTTTCATTTGCATGTGACAAAAAAAAAACAAAAACATGTTTTGAGATTTCTTTATTGCCATGAGAAAATTCTCAAAAGCCAAGAGCTCATACATGTGTGGAGAATGTCTCCAGGATAAATCATATGTATAGACTATGAATTCAACCTAAATTTTATGCTAGCGCACACAGAGTTCCAGGCAAGAATCAATTTCCACCTCAAATTCGATTCTGCTGTATTTGACGATTTGTAGAACATTATATTCGTATTCAGCACAAATTTTATTTGCTTGTAACACATCCTAAGTAACCTGAGTGTATTTTTTTTTCACTGTTATATGTGTAACATTATAATGGCATCATAGAAAAGTGATGACTCTTTTATGCAATTTTTTCAGATAATGGAGAGGTACACCAGTCCAGTCCTCTAACATATCCCCTATTCACGTCACCCAATCCTGTATTCACATCTGCACACAGTCGTGTGTCCATTCCATCTTATGATCCATCATTTACATACTTAGCCCAACATGCACAACAGTCAAGTTATACCCAGAAAACTTACGCTTTTCCCGAACTCTCCCATATGTGCATAGAAGAACTGAAGTTCCTCAATGAAAATGTAGATAGGCAGAATGAATTTATAGATGAATTACCACTCATAAGAGAACAGAATAAAGCTATGGATAATCTTGCTGTGCAGATTGAAGAAATGGCAGGTAAGATCCCATGAAATCATCAAAATTGAAAAAAAAAACATTTGAATATCACATTTTGCATCTGAACTACATAGTCTGCCCCTAGTTTTGGGTAAAAGAAGTTTCTTGAATATTTATTTTTAATGAAATATTCAGGTTCGCATCCAACTATTCATAGTGTGTATTTCGTTTGATTGATATTCTTTTAAATGGATAGCTACATGATCACTTTTTTATTACTGTGTATTTTATTGATATATATTACGATTAGCCTATTTCTAACTACATAAATCTTCTTCCTCTTCTTCTACTATGATGATTTAGACTTTTTTGAGCAGTGCGTCCTCTGATGGGACTGACGGCACACATCTCAGGCCATTAGCGATCCGATAAGATTTTCTGAAAGGCAACTATTCTGATGCATATTGATGACAGAGAGAAAATTGAAGTACTCACTTCAAAATGTGTTAATTTATCCATTTAAAAATGAAGACTGTTAACTTGTTTCTCATTTTGCAATAATCAAGACTGATTTTGTCTTCAGATGTACTCACCTAGACGTCCCTACAAACAGCCTCAGTATGAAATAAACAAACCCACACAGCAGCAATATGCTCACCATAAACTAGCGTCAAATCAATCAGTGTGTTGTTACTATATGAGTTTGTCATTTTAGATTTTTTTAAATCTGATTTATGAACAAGCAGCTCGATTTACCTACGCAGCGCACAGCGCCCAATTTTTCAGCATGGCAAGACATCTGTCTATGAGTTGCTAAGAAAATTTTATAACAGCTATATATTGTAAAAGGTCCCAACTTTAGGAAGAATCTGTATAGTCGAATATTTTTTCAGCATCAAATTTATCAAAAAAGGGAGTTCTAGAACAGTTACGAAAAGATGTTGACCAGAAGGTAGATGAAGTGACAGAACTAGTCCTTGAAAATGAACAACTTCTTGCCAGTTATCAAAGTCTATCTGATAAATATGCTCCTAGGAATATACAGGTTTGTTACTATTCTACTTTGAAAGTTCTTTTGAATAGATGTCTTTTAAGTTTTGCATATGGACATAAAACAAAACGGTAGGTAGTTTTAAATGACTTTATTGCCTTTCGAAGTATTCTCCACGAAGATTAATACACATCTGCATGCGCTCGAACCAATTTGCGAAGCACTTATTCCACTCGTTTGCTGGCAGATCCAAAACGGCATTTTTGAATGCGTCAACTGCTTCTTCTGGTAGCTCTAACCTTTGACCTCGCAGTCTGTTTTTAATTTTCGGGAAAGTAAAGAAATCGTTAGGACTCAGATCGGGACTATATGGAGGATGGTCCAATAATTCCACGTTGTCTTCCGTTAAATACTGGCTTGTTTTTTGGGGTGTGTGCGAGCTTGCATTGTCTTGGTGGAGGATGATTCTTCTTTCAGGGTTGATTTTTCGAAGCTCGGTTATGACTTTTAGTAAACAAATGGTGGTATACCAATCTGCAGTAACAGTTCTTTGCTCATTAAGAGGAATTGTTGCAATATGACGGATAACTTTTGTTGGCTTTTCTTCACCTTGGAACACCCAAACAGCCGACTGTCGTTTATTTTCTGCTTCATAACAGTAAATCCACGATTCATCACCACTAACAATGCTGTACACATTTTTTGAGTTTCCGAATTTGAAACGGTCAAGCGTATTTTGACACCAATTAATCCTGGCTGCTGTCTGCTCTTCAGTCAACAGGTGGGGTATCCAACGAGAAACTAATTTTCTTACTCCTAATTCTTCATGTAAATTTTTTTGAATTGAGGTCTTTCAGATCTTCAAGGACGCCTCAATTCTCGCGATATGGCACATGTCTATCTGCAATGATGAGTTTGCGCACAGCATCGACGTTTTCCTGGGTGACTGCCGTTTTTGGTGCACCCACCCTGGGATCGTCGCTAAGACTCACCCGTCCACGTTTGAATTCTACCAACGTGAAATTGTCGACTGATGTGGCGCTTCGTTGCCGAAAACAGACAGTAACTCAGCAAGGCATTCTTGTTGCGATAATTGTTTCTGAAAGTTGTAATAAATTATGGCGCGAAAATGTTCTCGGTTGAGTTCCATTTTTCTATTGACTTGGTGACACTTAAAAATTCACTGTAGTGATAACACTGCACGTATCGTTGTGAAACTTTGAATTTAAGTTTACTAAAGAGTGAGGTTAAGATTCAGTACTGACGTTCGATCCGCGCGGCCTACTATGTTTCAATATGCAAACCTTAAAAGACATCCCTTGTAGTAAATAGTTTACTGGTTCAAAAAGCAGTTCATTAGCATCTGAATATAAAATTCTGAATTATATCATCTGTTGTAGGAAGAACTACGGAAAGCAGCAAGGAAAATGGAAGGAGAAAGCGAAAAGGTAGCGGAAAATTTCTTAAATGGCAGCATTGATGTTGACAACTTTGTGTCAAATTTTATCAGAACAAGAATGATCTCGCAAGCAAGAAAAACCAAAGAGGAAAAGTTGGGACAGCAACTGGACCAATTAGAAAGGGCAGGATTTTAACCACATGCTATTATTCAATAGCAAGCTGATGTGCTGGTACTGCGTTTTATTGGACCAATATAACTGTGAACTCTACACTGAACATTTATCCGACCTTATATCCAATGTTGATGCGGTGCATGCATTTCTCATTCAACATGTCAGTGCTTGTGTCAAAATTCTACAACCAGTTTCACGGGGAGTCAAAACAGAAGCATTGCTCGCGATTTGGTAGGAGGGAGCATCGGCGACAATGTTGCCATATTCATTCCCTATGATAATGACTGTATGATTTTGATAGTAAGGCTACTACTAACTAGACAAACGCCAATATGTATGTAGAGGCTATGCCGATGGGCAGTGGTCCATTGTAAAGGGAAGGCGTCATGTGAACCGTTTGTGATCTATAAATTATAAAAATACTCCTCAGTATTATTTCCGCTCGGTTCAAGCGAGAGTGGATACTGATACTGAAATGAACAAGAAATTGCTATAGAAAATAACTTTTTCTACTTTCAATGGAAATTAAAAGTTGTGAATGTTATTAGTTTTAATTATTGGCCGATGTATATTTATTTTTGCGGTATGGTAAAGAGTATATTGCCACAAGTATTATACGGACAGCATCATATGAAGTGTAAATGGCAACATTGGTTTGGTGTTACTAGTAAAATGTCATGTCTAGTCTCATTATTAAACAGCGTTAGTTTTGCTACTATACTGCCCATGATTTCTACGGCTGTGTAATACTCGCGGAAATATACTGCATAATTTGTGCAATGATTCCAACTAGTGGACTTGCAACATAGATTTGTATTGTGATTTTACTTCAGGTTTATAAGTACATACAATGTATGGTAATTCTGCTTTGATTGTGGGGTGAATGCTATTAAATGTATGTGAAGATCTACATGTTTTATATTTTCCTTTATAACTATCTTTTTTACTTTAGCAAAAAATATGTTATCGAATTTAATTGTAGTTGTAAAACATAAGAATAAAAAGACATATATATCAACAATAACTGTTTTAATAAAATCTAACTTCACAACAAACATAGATATACATAAAAAGTTCAACAAAAAAAAGAGGTCATGGCTAAAAAACTATAATACGAGAGCAAATTGTATTATGAGAAAAATAGTTCTGTGAAGGAATTTTTGACAACTATCACTTTACATGTATGCATTATAACAACAACCTGCTTAACCTGGCCAATAATATTAATACTGTATTGGTACACTTTGTGCGCATTATACAGAGAGAACATCGTACAAAATACAGGGTGGCCAATATATAACTAACCGATTAGAAATGCGAGCCATTTTTGATACACGCATTTCAGTAGGTGGCGCCATAGTAGTTGTTTAAAGCACATGTGTCCAATTCATCATGGAGCAACTTGTCACACAGCTAGGGAAACAACGAATCTTTTACGAACAATATTTCCGGGATGTTTAATTTCTCGATTTTGTGATGCCAACTGGACACCGGATTTAACGGCTCCTGAATTTTTTATGGGGATTTTTGGAAAATAGGGTATATGCCAACAAACCAAACACTGTAGAGCAGCTAAAGCACAATATTACGGAAGCGATTGACAATATTCCTCCCGAAACCTACCCAAAAAGTGATGGAAAATGTAATCAAGAGGGCACAGGTTTACGCGGCTTCTAGAGGCGGACATTTGTCTGATATTATTTTTCATACATAATTTCTAGTTAGAGTAAAATATTTAGATGAAAAAAATGGACGTGTTTTATTTCATTTCACAAATAATAATAGCGTTTATTTGCAGAGCAAAAAAATACAAAGAGAAAAAATTAAAAATGAAGAAACAACATGAATTCCCTGCAAAAGGGACTAGTAAACAGACGAGCTGATCAAAGTACTAGCCCAACAAACAAAATTACAACAGAGGAGTACTTAACCAAATTATATAAGTTAATATTAATAATTAATAAATAATAATTACAAACGTCAAGAAAAATATATGTATATAAAGAAATTATACGAATAATATAGTTTAACGAAAAATGTCAAATCATTTTAGGCAGATTTACCAAAAAAAACAACGTTTAAAATATAGAAAGGAAAAATATAAAGTAAACACTACAATTCATCTAACAGAAATTTTCTGTAACTTCTTTTAAAAGCTGACACATACATAGACTTAAGGTTTGTGGGGACGTGATTATACAAGTGGTAGATAAAGTGAGAAAAACATCTGTTAAACATAGATATACGATGACGAGGTTGGGAAATCAGCTTCCGATACCGAACATTAATATTGTGAACATCACTTCGAAATGTAATCTTATTAGTGCAGATTTGTCATTCATAATCTTTCCGTTAGTGGGCAGCACTGAGTCAGTATTCTGATGAGTGGTAAAATATCGTACACTGAAGAAGAGCAGTTGAAATTACTAAAGAAATAATTTAGAATTTTTATGTGGCAAACCATGAAATCAGTAAAGTTTTTAATATGTACGCTTCTAATAACATTATTGGCCAGGCCAACATTGTGGCGCCAGAAAGAGAATCAGAGAAGTTTAAGAAACTACATTATTTTCCGCAACCATAACAAACGGTTTTGAACAGATACAAAATAGCAGATAATGTGAATATAACCCACACCAATAAATGCATATAGTATTTAATTATGGGAAGGTAAGAAATAATTAAAAAACTGTTTGTACCTTACCATTTGGGCAATTTATGTCTATACCTTGTGATAAGTCCTTATATCCTACCTCAGCAATACCTTTACCTAAACAATATCCCAGATTTCTTACATCACTTTAACTTATAGCATTTTGAGCAACTGTTTCTCCATGTACTATCGCCTGCGCTTTAGACATTACTTCTAAAGCACCCTTTTCAATCAACTTCTTTGCCAAATCCTCACCTAATTTCCTAGCCAGTTCCATACTGTCAAGCCCTGCATTTTTATGCAACACCAAACCACAAAAAGAATTATTATTATCTTTACTAGTTCCGTCTATCTCATTTGTACTTGATCCGGTGGCGGTACTTTGTTTACTCATAAATGGGCATTGTTTGATGTCAACTTGGTCCAACAGATTGGTGTCATTCTGTTTGACTTCTAGATATGGGCATTTTCCCATAAACTCTGCCCCAACCGGTATCTGTATGGGGCATTTCTCATGGGGATCGTCTTTCAAAATTTCCACTGGCACGCTTTTGTCTACTTTGACTCTTTTATGAGCTGGTTCTCCATCAGATCTTCCGGAGCAATTTTCGATATCAATACACGCGGATTGTTTTTTATAAGGGCATGTACTACAACGTACGTATTTTTGTACAGCTAGTTCAGTGGTACAATCATCCAGTATTTCATATTTCCCGTCTAAAGACCAAACGGCGCCGTGTAAGCTTAACTGCACCTTATTGTCTTTCTTTGGTTTTAAGTTGGAAAATACGGCTACTGGAGCACTGCAACCTGAAAGAAAGTATGCAACCGCTTTAAAAAAATGTTCGAGTAGATTGGTTCAGTCTCACACATTCATACATCCCATACCTACGAATTTAAATCATGTACAAAGTTTCGCAATATGACAACAAACGGACGCGGGAGGCTGCATGTTACTGCTTGTTGAGACCTGTCCATGAGTGCATAGTAGGCGCCGGCAACACGTCTGTTGATTTAGTTGTTCATTCACACGAAGTGAGATAACGGCAGTTTTACAGTATAACTTTACGCGTGGTTTAAGCATAGACCAGTGCTTAGAAGAAATGACGCTCTTCGTACGACTATATTCAGGTGGTACAGAGAATTCCGAAGGGACAATTTCACTCTGGAAGACGCTGAGAGGGAAGGAAGGCCGCGAACGTCAGTAACAGAGGAAAACATTACTGATGTGAGGGCAATTCTTGACAAAGACTGGAGAGTGACATACCAACAGATAGAGACCTTACACCTTCATGCACCAGCAATTCATTGAATTCTACATGACCATTTAGACGTAAGGAAACATTGTTCTCTCTGGACACCGGGAGAGCAGAAGACTCATCGCACGACTTGGTGCCGAAAGATGTTGAAAATGTTTGATAATGGGCAATCTCGGTCTGTGAACAGCATCGTGATAGGTGACGAGACGGCTCTATTATTCCGAAGGCTCAAAACAAAGTTTGGGCCTTTAATGATGAGGACACACCATAGCTATCAGAAAATCTCAATCTTTAAGAAAAAAATGATAGCTGTATTTTTCAAATCGAGAGGGACTGTGGAGAGTGCCGTTTTGGACACACTGAAGACAGTCACAGCTAAGAGGTACACCACTACTGGACTGAAACTTATTGAGCACCCTCCTTACAGTCCAGATCTTGCTCCCTGCGACGTTGCACTGTTTCAGCATGTGAAAATGAAGCTAAAAGGAAAACGGTTTTCTAGCGCTGACGACCTTCTGAGTGCTTGGGACAACGAGTTTACCGCACTCCCAGGTGAAACTTGGTTTAAGGACTGGTTTCAAGTCAATAAATAAAGCTATATTGCAAAACTTTTATAGTACTCTTTGTATGAACGAACTGCCTTAGGCCGCGGTTATACCCCCAGATAGCGGCGGCGGTAGATGAAAGGTTTCAAGTGTCGGTTATCGGCAGGAGGTTGCATACTGAACAGAGAGCAAATCAAGATAGTATTCATAAGGATGTCGTTCGGAATATGTGCACTTAGATTTGTATGAAAGGAGAACGTGAAGCTGTTTAGCATTCACTCACTAAATGAATTACGTGTGAATTCTGACTAAATAATCATTGCTTTGTGGTTTGGATCGGCATCATTCCAGGACTTGCCTGAATTTCACTTATAAGACATCGTGGTCTAGCTATGTTGAAATGCGCGATCCGAACCCGCACCCAGCATCAATACTAGCGCGAACGAATACATGTTTTTTTTTATCAAGGAGTGAATACCATTTAAATATAGCATATAATCTATCGAAGTTGAAATTGTAGTTTGGTAATGGCCCCCGAATATTCCCCAAAAGGTGCAAAAACCCTCCCAAACCGGAGATAATTCACCCGAATTATACATTTTATTTATCATACCTCCACCCAAAGTTTTCAAAAAACTCCGTTCTGCTGTAACTCGTAATGCAGTTTCAAGGTCATACAATGAATCCAATAACTTGATAATGTCCAAATTATCCTCTCTACATTCCACAGCTAAAGCACCTTGACCAACAGCATACATAAGTTCTTTTTCTTCAAGAATCTGGAAAAAATTGATAGACCACCCTCAACCCATAGAAGAAAATTCGGGATCCTGTGTTGTTTTATGCAAGTTTCGGTACAGATTGTAAATAATCAGTTTACTTCAAATACCTGGAATATCATAAAGGCGGTGGTGTCACACAAGGGCGTACCCAGCTGCCCCCCCCCCTTTTCCCTAGCTCTGCAAAAAGTAAATGGAGAGAACATTTGTTACAAAAATTAAATTATTCATATACAGGGGTCCCCACAAACTGAATCAATATCTATTAGATGAAAAATTATTAGAATTAGTTGAAATCTATGTTAGATATGAAGTTAGTTTTGCAAACGTGTGTTTCAAATTCTAACCTCGCCTTTGGGATCTCGGAAACTGTAAAGTGAATGTGACACGATCAGTATTTATTGTGGTCCATTACCATTGTGCATCAAAAATTACTGACGTCCAAGTTATTCGGTGAATAAAGATCACATCTCATGATAAATATATTGTCGGATTGCAGAAAATATTGATCTTGTGACATTCGCCTAAACGACGTGGAGTATTTCATGTGGGCAAGTTGGTTAGGTAAATAAAAACATGGAACTTGGACAGTATAGAAATTCAAAGTACTTCCAAATTTAATCTAGGTCATTTTCATTTTATTCTGGCTTTAGTCCGAAACAAAACTTTTCATACATCCGCAATGTCTACAAATTTCAAACAAGTTACACAATAACATTACCACTCTTTCTCTTCTACATGGTGGAATAATTAAAATTTCGATCTGCTGTTGCAGCTATCACTTTTTAGAACTTACACCATTTACCAAGTCTTCATTATTACCCTTAAATAATATAAATGAGAGTTTATGTTGTTCTTCATTCAATGAGTTTAAACCAACTATATGGAGTTAGGCACTTGAAGTTTTATATCATCTTTAATATTCTATGAAATACATTACTATATGATGATTTCAAGGTTTACTCAAGAAAAACTTTTTTATAATGTATGACATGCGATAATATTTGAAATCAGAATTAAAAGCTATGCAAAAATGGCATACATAAGAAAAATCAAAGTTGAGACGGGGGATAAGAGACGAAAAATCATGTCCTATTCATGCCTTGCAGAGATCAAAAAGTGGCAATCTCAATGTGCAGTTTATTTTGAAATCCTGTCTCAAATGATTTCAAAAAAAATAGTAACGATTTTGGGAAAATTCGTTCCTCTTTCCATGTATCTCTGGGAAACTGGAAGCCTCAAAACTTTTCAAATGCATTTTGTAAAATATAAAAATACGCAACTTTGCCACCATTCAACCGATCCGTATCTCTTACCGTTCATATTCAATAAAACTTTCTGGCTACATGACGAAATTTCAAGTAATTGTAGAAAAACAACGAATAAATATCGACAAAGAGAAACTATTTCCGAAATCAGTATAATATTCTGTATCCCCAGCTATATCAAAACTTCCTCCTTTGAAATGGTATATCAGAATATACTAAAAGCTGTATGGTGTTCCATTTGAAAAAAAAACCGTTTATGTTGTCATGTCAGTAGAATTCACTCTCTAGGGAGCAATATCTTCCAAAGTAGGAAGCATATAGTCCACAATTTTTGTAATTAACATTTTTTATTGTTTCATAGTAAGATATTGTCCAGTTAGATACTAAAAACTCACTATATTGTTTAATTTGTTGCAGCAGTTATGCTGCTGGGTAGTTTGAGCATTTTTGAAGACTTTTTTGATGTTAGTCACTACAAAGGATTTACTATTTACTACTATTTAATATTTACTCTTATGCACTTCTTGGCAAAAAAAATGAACCATTGGACCAACTGGACATACCTATTTTGAAGGTGTTTTCATCCCCTTCCCAATTCTTCTATAGACTTATAACATTAAAGTTTGATAAAAAAAGTTACCTGGCATTTTTTATTTTGAGATGAACGCCACAAAAAATGTACCTATGTTATATCTGAGAATTATTCATCCATTTGAAGTTTTGTCATTATTACATAACTTCCCTGGCCTATTAAATTGACTGAAAAAATTCACCTTGTTTGAATTTTGAGGTATACCCAAAACAGATATATAAAATTTGTATTATCAAATATTATCTCAAGTCTTTCAAGTATTGCAAATGACTAAATTATTCCTTTAAAAAGTAATCCTAGTAGTTTTCCATATCTATATGAATTGTCAAATCATTGTGGAAGACTCTATATAAATGAAATTCATATAGAAAGAAAAATATCAAGCATAGCTATGTGGATATATTTAGTGGAACTTCCACCAGCAAAATTTTTTGAAGGTGCCCATTTTGTTTTGGCTGGGTATGTCCTTGGTGTAACAATAAGGCAAAATGATACACCCCCAGCCTTAGAGTGCTGTGACCACAGGAGGAGCCTAACATTTATTACTAAAATACATGCAGTAGCCAAAGTTGCTTCCTAAAGTCTAAAAGAAAAAAGGCTTGCAGGTTCAAATTTCCACCTTAGAATTTCATATCATGCAGAATAAATCAAATCATATTGGCAGAGGATATAAAAGATTTAAAGAGCTCTCTCAATGTACAAAATTTTGAATGTTTTTCCTCACAAGAGCAGAAAAACCCCTATTTTACTCACTTCACTTATCCTATGTTCCCATCCCATCCTTTTCAATCCTGATGCTGCCAAAATTATAGCTTGATAATTTCCTAACTCATCCAACTTCCTAAGCCTTGTGTTCAAATTTCCTCTGATATTTTCAATCTTCAAATGAGGATATTTCTTCAATAGTTGTGCAGTTCGTCTCAAGCTTGATGTCCCTATAATGCTATTTGGAGGTAGAGTGCTTAGATTGTATGAGGTTAAGTCTTTTTTGAGAACCAGGGCATCTCTGGGATCCTCCCTACATAGGCAAACAAATAATAGTCAGTATATTTGGCAGCACTCGCTTGGTTCTGATAAATGTTCTTATGTTATAAATAATCATACCTAGTTAGAACAGCACCTATTACCATATCATCAGGTAAAGTTGTCGGTAAATCTTTCAGTGAATGTACAACAAAGTCTATTGCTCCATTAGCTAGTGCAGTCTCTAGTTCTTTAGTAAATAAGGATTTTTCACCAATTTTTGGCAGTGGTATATCTAGGATTCTATCACCCATTGTGCTCATTGTAACTAAAAAACAACATTTACAATTAATCCTTCACAGAATTGACTGTGTTTCACTTGGGAAGGCTTGTCTAGAAGCTAGTGCCAGGGTGTCTATTCCTCTCTTAAAACATACTGATAAATGAGGAGCTGGTTGTAAGCATTCATGACCTAGTATACTACTCTATATCATTGTGCTATGTGAGGTGCTTTCCACCGGATATGATTTAAGAGTTCGACCCTATTTCACGAGTATCCATTATGGTAGAATGACAGCTGATTATCTACTAATATCTCAAAATTCCCCATATTGGCACAGGACACATAATTCTGTCAATATCAGGTAGTCACAGCCATATTTTGTTTTGGTTTTTTGTAGGCTTCAGATTCAGTTTGTACTTGCTAACAGCTCTTTTATTTAGAAAAGTTCATTTGCATACAAAAAACAAAACGCTACAAACAAATGGTTTCTAGATGAACACCCAATTCATGCTATCCACCTCAGTAGATGCCAAAGCATGATGGATACTCGTGAAATAGGGTATACACACTCCCATAGAGTGACACTTCCTATCAAACAGTTTTAGCTACTTATACATAACTCCTAGCTATATGAAATGATTGCAGTATGCTAAATTATGGTACATATATTTATTATGCCATATGTTTCCAGGAAGGAAATGCAAAATTACCTCACCTATTTCAAATTGCTTTTCCGGATACTTCTCTTTCAACAGCGATATTACATGGTTGGTTTGAATTAAAGCTAGCTGCAAACAATGATGATGTTATGTTATCATTTATATATTTTAAATACGAGTTTGGGATAGAATATGCTAATACTCACTTGACTCTTACGTGATCCTACTTTTATAACCTGATCACCGCTCATTTTGCAATTATTTATTGATCCTGCACAAACTGTTTCTATCTCAGTTAATTCGATGATTGTTGGACATATGATAATTCATCGCCTATACATCATTTTGGAAATTTTGAAAACATTCGCCGGAAAATGCGAAATTAAAATAAAAATTAACATAAAATACGATCATCATCCATCCACTTCAGATCAGCTGATTTTAGATTTTAATTTTATGCTGGGGCAGCGTTGCCAGATTCTTCGCAGGGAATTATCATACAAACACGTAAAAGTTATCGTACATTATCCTACACAGTGTCTTAGGTTCTCTCAGGATTGATGATAAAGGAAAATTTCCGTCTGGGGGGGGGCTCTTGTGTTTCCCACTCTTTTCTATAGGCTTGCTGTCTATAATCAAATTCAAGCGGATAACCAAACGGAAATGGTATTTACCATTTTGGGTTGGTATTTACCAATCCGTTCAAGCGAGTGTAGTTATCAGTTTGGTTATAAGATCCGTGACGTCACGAATCAGCTGTTATATGTCATATAGTGGATACCAAATAAAATCCGATGCACGTCATCGATCTGGAGCTGTGCGCTGTTGCCAGAATTGATATGAGCTCTTTACACCGACTGTTAAGTTGTTTTGGCATTTTGGATACTTTATACCACTTCACAGTAACTTTTGTTCTGAAAAGAACAACTTTTAATTGGCAAGGCAACGATTCAAAGCTCAAATAGCGCAAAACTCACAAACTAAACAATAAAGAACTAATAGTACGACAAAAGGACAATGGCAACTGATGTCAACAAATGAGAAGTGGCAACCTCACATTTCTCTGCACGGCACTACCAACCGAATCGAGACGGGGAAATTTAAACTTCAAGTAGAAATATCACATTGAATGTAGTCAACTGTTGGTAACCATGATTTTTATGAATGACATCACCTATGACGTGCATCGGATTTTATTTGGTATCCACTATAGTTATCACCGCAAAATTGTGGTATTTACCCAACTCCGGAGTAGTTTTATATTTCTGGTTATTATTTGACATGTGACAAGTTAGAATTTTGCCGGGTATTGGATATTTTTATTGTACTTCAGCTTCATTTTTGGGAAACTTGATACAGGCTGACTTCAGTTTTAGCATAAGAGAGCACCTTATTATTTATAATCATCACTGTTGTCGGGGACACTTTAAATCTAGTTCCTACACTTAAAAAAGTATCCTGTATAGCCATATACCACAAAAATATTAAAATATGGCCGTATAAACTCGCTGGATGATGTCCACTTGTATACGGTTTTGTTAAAATCTTTTTTCATCGCTTTTTCATCATTTCCGCTAAATCAAAAAATATTTTCTTTGACATGCGGAAAAGTTTAGATAATTGAAAGTTATCATAGCTACAAAGCCATGGTTCCATCAGTAAAAATTTTTTTCTGAAAAAAAAACATTCCTCCCATTAATATTATGAAAGTTTTCTTCTTTTTCAACTTTTCATGCCCCGTTGTAGACGAAAAAGCACCGATTATTAAGTGATAATAAAAATAATCAGAAATTATATACGCGCTTTTCTAAAATAAACAACTTGCAACAAACCGCGGTTAAAACCAACGCGTTCAAGCGATTCGAGTAACTGACGTCACCATCCTGTGTGTCATCTTGAACCATATTATAACCGCGGTACATAATACGGAAATTTTGGTTATCCGCTTGGATTTGATTTATGTTTGGGTTTCTTCAAACATTCCGCTCCTTTCTTGTTGTTTTCTGTATGCGAGAATATCGCATCTTTTGTTGTGCTTCTCTCTTCCAGAGCAACTTGATTCGAAATCCGACATATTATCGTTATTGAATTGAAACCGGTTAAATATGGGAAATAACTGAAAACAATCTTTTGATTTTTAAATTTCAAAAGTCATAAAAACGGGAGACGTCGCATTCATATGCGCGTCATGTCAATACCAATACATAGAACGTGAGAACTGATTGACGCCAATTTTTCCCGTTGATGTTTGCCGAGATAGTCCGCGTAATGCTAGGCAGCCCATTATACACAGTGGGGTACGCGCGCTAGTCTATCAAGCGGCAACCCTGACAGCTGCTTGCTGGTGTTAATTGACCGTAGTTGTTAGATTGATTCAACATCTGTGAGTAAAAAAGCTCATTCGCAAAATTATCGTACATTCAGCTATTATCCTACACATAAATCAAATTCAAGCGGATAACCAAATGGAAATGGTATTTACCATTTTGGGTTGGTATTTACCGATCCGTTCAAGCGAGTGTAGTTATCAGTTTGGTTATAAGATCCGTGACGTCACGAATCAGCTATTATATGTCACAGTTATCACCGCAAAATTGTGGTATTTACCCAACTCAAGAGTAGTTTTATATTTCTGGTTATTATTTGAAATGTGACAAGTCAGAATTTTGCCGGTTATTGGATATTGTTATTGTACTTCAGCTTCATTTTTGAGAAAATTGATACAGGCTGACTTCAGTTTTACCATAAAGTGGAGCACCTTATTAGTTATACTCATTACGGTTGTTGGGGACACTTTTAATGTAGTTCCTATCCTTAACAAAGTATCCTGTGTAGCCATATACCACAAAAATATTAAAATATGGCCATATAAACTCACTAGATGATTATTGTACAGAAACGATAATTATCGTACGTCTGGCAACGGTGTAGCAGTTCACTACCGGAAACCGATACTAAAAAGATTTTTTCGCGAATCCACTGGGAACCGATACCAACTAACGAGCCATGAAGAGAAAAAGGCAACACCGCATCATGGCATTTTGGAGTCCGGCGTCCAGCTGGTGTGTGCCGTTATTAAGGCGCGTTTTCACGGGTCGATCTGAGTCGAACAATTTGTGTCGAACATTGAATCGAAAGCAAAGTGGTGTCGTTTTTATTTTTGGTCAACATACATCGCCTATCGTGTAAACCTTTTTGCTTTCAACTCAGATCGAACCATGGTCGAATAACCCAGGTGGTTCAACTTAGATCGACCCGTGAAAACGCGCTTTTACAGAAACTTCGATTCGAGCATTTTTTTGATGAATCTCAAATATACGAGTACAAAGTACAAAACAATTTCACTAAACATAAGTTCAAAATCGAAATTACAGAATGTGAATACTCTATGCGAACCCTAGAGAGGGAAATTCACAAGAATACTAATTATGTAGTGCTTCTTATAACTAAGTTGTTTGCTGGCAGACGTATACAGGAGTAGAATCGTACTTGAGATGTATAAATGAGGTATTGCATTACCACACCAAGTTACCAATTTATATCGGGAGGTTTTGCCAAGAGCCATATATCTGTGGTACTAAAGCAAAACCCAATATGTCAAAAAATATTGATTTTTTGTTTTTAATGTCAATATGTACACCAAATGACGAAGTATTCTATGGCAAGACCCGATATAATTTATAAAATTTCCGTAACACTCTAAATTAATGTTATTTTTTTAAGGAGGAGCTTAAAATTTAAAAAAAATTGGAATTACTAAAAAAATTATATTCAGAATAAAGATAAGAAATAAATAAAATACATAACTGGAAACAAAACAAAAAACAGTGTACAAACTAAAAACAACGATAACTGAAAATTAAATAATAAGAGAAAATAAAATAATTGTAACAAAATAATAACTAAAAGGATATTAAAAAAGATATTGCACATTTTATATATCATTCACACATTGAAGGTGCTCAGCTTTCTCCGCTTTTGCAAATCAAAGCTTGTGACTGGGGATTCAGTTACAGTATTACGGTTGGCCCGAGAAGTAGATACATTTTGTTTAAGGTTTGCTTTGTCAATTAACTTTGTATTATTTTTAAATTTAACATAATCATTTAAAACAATATTTGAAAAAAATGATAGGAGGTTTAATAGGATATCTCTATAATTATTCCCACATAAGCAAGTTTGAGAAAATTCCTCATAAACAAGATCTGATTCTATACTTTGCAAGGTTAGATGACATAAAATATTTTTCTGCTGAGTACTATGTAAAAACTCATTTTCTAGTCTATCTATGTTTATTATAAATTCGAAAATGGCATACATGTGGTAAAAAATAATATTGACATATTCAGTTGGAATAGACAGTCCTCCTCTTTGCAAATAATTAAAATATTCACCTCCAAAATTTGTTCCTTTTTCCTTTACAATGAGTGAAATGCATATGGGACAATCAAGTTTTTTAGAAATACTATGTGAGGCATAACCAGAAATGTACATCTTAGTATCGTCTTCTAATTTACAATTTGATAAATAATTGCTACAAAAGATTTCTGAGAATATATCAAAACTTTTGTCAGGATCTAAATTTTCACTACTTCCTGGTGTACATGATAGATTTTGAAATTTGTTCTTGATTTCTGTGAATGAAAATGATTGTGATGGTGATTTAATAATGTGTTTGAGTCTGATCTTCTTCTCAGAATGGATGACATCATCACAGGAAACATTATAATTGCAACCACTTAAAAGACGATAATTATTACACAACAAACAACAGAATCTTTAGAAGGCGACCAGTCCTTTCTTGGTATTGAAGCTAGCCACTTACTTTTCAACTCCTCATTTTTTGGAAATCGAAACACTGACCTGTAGGGTGTCGATCTCAATTCTGCCTCGTAGTTTCCCTTGCAGCCTGGTACACAGCAACGCTTAGGCATATTAATTAAAAGAAAAGATGTACCCACTCGAATCTACACACTATACAGACGTTTCTAACAAGCACCGATTCACACACATTTTAAACACATCAAAGCACGATTTTATACTACCTAAAATAAATACTTTCTGCACGGTTTGAAGAGCAAAACTAAGTAGATTACTCTGGTTTGTATGAATTGCACTGTTCCCAGAGATTTACAACAAAATTGCACCAAAAAGTCGGAGGTTAGGAATATAAACAAACGAAAAGCCCGGCAAACACCTGTCTGTGGAAGACCCCAAAGCTGCGTTGCCATATCTACTGTTCGTGGCTGTTAGTTGAAGGTGGCGCTGCCGAGACGGATGTGACGTCTTCCGAATGTCAAAAAATCACGTGGTACGGGTACCCGCCTAACGTCTGTGAGGTACTAGCGGGTGACAGGCTTTATGTCAATGTCATTTAAAAAACAGATGTCAATCAAAAATTTGTCTTCGCAGTGCCGAAAAATGAGTTAAATTATTAAATCATAAATGGAGAAACACGTCCACCTGATTTTACATGACGAGGGAGGTCATCCAAGATATAAGAACCGCATTTGTCATATGAAATGCTTGATTTTTATTGCACAAAAACGATGGGTATTTTTAATTCAGAGGCCCGAGTAAAGATAACATGGCCACGCAAGACAACTATTGAAATATACTCTACTAGACTATCCGTAGCTAAATTTTTCTCGAAATCGTTGCACAATACTTAAAAATATGCAAATGATTATTGGAAAACTCTCGTTACCCCGGAATAGATGTACGTTTTGTTAGTTGATCTTGTCATAGGATGTCAACCCGTACACACAAGTAGATGAGTATTCAAGGATCACCTAACTTCCTGCACAGATATCCTGTTTCCCTCAGAAGAGTTAGAAGTAGACCTAATTTCCACTTTGGAGACACTTGACACCCACATCACAACACCAAGGCACCACTGAGAGACAATCGAGAACCCTATAGTCAACGCCACTACTAAAAAAAAGTAGCTAAACCGAATTGAGCTCTGAACGCGTAGTCATTCCGCTGCGCCAACGGTTGTCGATAGACTGAAGCGTGCGAGTGCTGTAAGCTGTACCTCGCTGCGGCGATACGGTACGGCCGGGTCGTACAGCCATGCCCTTTCCAGCACCCACTCCGCGCGTCTGCTCCGGAAGCGACTCGAGCTTTATGTTGACCGGTATCACCCTCACGCTTCAGTCTCTCGGCAACCGTCGGCGCAGCGGAATGTTTAGGCGTTCATAGCTCCGAGCAGAACTCTATTCGGTTTAGCTACTTTTTTTCAGTAGTGGTGTTCACTATGGGGTTCTCGATTGTCTCTCAGTATTGCTTTGGTGTTTTAGTGTTGTGACGTGGGTGTCAAGTGACTCCAAAGTGGAAATTAGGTCTACCTCCAACTCTTCTGAGGGAAACAGGATATCTGCGAAGCAAACTAGGTAAGCCTTGCATGCCCATTTAGTTGTCCGTTAGGGTTGACATCCTATGTTGTTTTTAAATAAATTGCGCACATTGCATACGCTGAGAGATTAGTCATATACTGAGGTATATCTCAATCGCCAGATCAATATTAGTCAAAGAATCACTTCCAAAGCGACTCATTTTCACTACATAAGCTGACTAGCACTGTTTAAAAACAATATTACAAAATTTAGCTTAGCGGCGTTTCCTGCTTTCCTAAGAGGCCATAATTACTTGTGTAACTGGAAACTTGGAGAGGAAGGGGAAATTCTATCTGTTCCCCACAAAACGCATAAGAGTGTTCCCGCTCCTGTTCACAACGGAATCTCTCGAAAAAATCTTTATATGACAGTGAAAAAGAAATGAAGTCAGGTGGATCAACTGAATTCATTAAACATGTTATCACTTTCTCCATATTGACCTTAACAAAAGCAGTATAATAGTACAATAATGCTATTGGTCACCTCTATCCTCATCTTGCAGATCCATCTGTCATTTATCAAGGTTGATATTCAACTCTCACCACTTCCATGCTTTCTGAACTATATAATGTTCTATGGTTTGAAGCGCAGAACACAGAGTTTTAAATAAAACCTAAAGGCTATTTTGCACTGGAATCGTGTATTATACTGGGTGGCTGATGTGTAACTGACTGGTTTGTATCTTGAATATTGTGAATTGAAATACGTTAATTTTTTTCGTCTTAATTTTTTATTGAAACTTAGAAATTATGTATGAAAAATAATATCAGACAAATTTCCGCCTCTAGAAGCCGCGCAAACCTGAGCCCTCTTGATTACATTTTCAATCACTTTTTGGTAGCTTTCGGGAATATTTTCACTTCCGTAATATTATTCTTCAGTATCTGGTTTGTTGGCAAAAACCCTATTCTTCAAAAAGCCCCATAAAAAAGTCTGGAGCCGTTAAATCCGGTGACCTTGGTGGCCAGTTGACATCACCAAATCGAGAAATTAAACGTCCCAGAAATAATGTTCGCAAAAGATGCATTGTTGGCCTTGCTGCTTGACAAGTTGCTCCGTCCTGCTGGAACCACATGTTTCGCAGGTTAAATTGTTGGAATTGAGGAGCCAGAAAGTTTTGCACCATATCACACTAGCGGTCGCCAGTGACAGTAAAGAGAATTACCTGCAGTGTCTTTAAAGTAAGGTCCAATTACACCTCCATACCAAACTGCGACTCGACGAGGATGTAGTGGTCGTTGATGGATGAAACGATGGTTCTCTAATGCCCGGATACGACAATTCTGCTTATTAACAAATCCGTTCATATCGAAGTGGGCTTCATCACTCATCAGTTGTCTGTCTAATCGTTATTTTGGGTATTAAGCTGTAATATTGCATGACTGTATTGTCGACGACTTTCATGGTCGCTAGGCAAGTCTTTTTCATAATAGTGCATAATGACGTGCGACGAATAACCATTTCTTGAGAACGATGTCTGGTAGACGTCTCAGGGCGCTCCACTACACTTTCACAAACTATCTCGATATTTTCCGGAGTACAAACAGTCCGAATACGGCAAGTTTTTAACTTCACCTGTTGGTTCAAATTTCCGCACCAACTGACAAATGGTGTTGACACTGGGCACATTATTTCGACCGAAATCTTGTCGTAGCTTCCGAACCGTTGCAACAATCTACTCATTATTCAAGTAAAACGTTCCAACAACACGGATCCGTTGTGGGCTCGAGTAGCGCCCCATGATGAATTGGACACATGTGCTTCAAACAACTACTACGGCACCACCTACTAAGAAGCGTGTATCAAAAATGGCGCGCAATTTAAATCAGTCAGTTATATATTGGCCACCCTGTATTTTCTAACTGGAATGATTTGGAGTTAAAGAGAAGAAATTAAATTTATTCAGCTTATTTAAACATATAATCACAAAATAATTAATCTTTTTCATGCGCGTTCCAAAGCTGGTTTAGGTTCATCGGCCAAGTGAGAGTCCAAAATCTGTCGAAGCACTGCTTTTTCGCACGTATCATTATCGTCAATGATGATTGCGGTGTGAACCTTGATGCTTTCGCCTTCTTCTAGGTCGTAAATGGCTGCATACACGTTCTTGGTCATCTTGTACATGCTGAATCCGAGTTTGTTCAATTCTACAAGTTTCGTCATTAATAACAACGATATAATTATTATTTTAAAAACAGGAAGCGTACGACCAGAGATTATTAAAACTGACCACCTTAATGCAAAATTGTTTCATAAGAACTGGATTGTACAAAGGGTACTATAAAAGTTTCGCAATGTGACTTACTAAACGGACGCACAAGGCTGCATGTTACTGCATGTTGAGACACATCCATGAGTGGATAGTAGCCGCCAGCAGCATGTCTGTTGATTTAGTTGTTCATTTGTATTGGCAGTGTAAAGAGCGGACTATGGCATCGTGGTCACGTAGCGAGACAGGGCAGTATTACGGTATAACTTTACACGTGGTTTAAGCATAGACCAGTGCTTAGAAGAAATTACGCTTGCATTAAAGAATGAATGTCTTCATCATACGACTATATTCAGGTGGTACCGAGCATATTAAAGCGACAATTTCACTCTGGAGGACGGTGAGAGGGAAGGAAGGCCGCGAACGTAAGTAACAGAGGAAAACATTACTGCTGTGAGGAAAATGCTTGACGAAGAGTGACATACCAACAAATAGAGGAGACCTTACAACACTTTCATGTATCAGCAATTTATTCAATTCTGCATGACGATTTACACGCAAGGAAACTTTGTTCTCTCTACCGCATAGTCTGTCGTAACAGCAGAAGACTCGTCGTACGATTTGGGGCCGAAAGATGCTGGAAATGTTTGATAAGGGGCAATCTCGGTATGAGAACTGCACCCTGACATGTGACGAGACTTGGCTCTATTATTACGTTGTGCCGACCAAGACTCAAAACAAAGTTTGGGTTTTTGCTGATGAGGACACACCCGTAGCTGTCAGAAAATCCCGATCCGTTAAGAAAAAAAATGATAGCTGTATTTTTCAAATTGAACGGAACAGTGACTGCCTTAAGTCATAGAGCCAAAGTTAAAAATGGACACTTGGTACCTTCACCATGACAAAGCTCCAGCTCACAGAGCCAAAGCTTGCACCGAGTATTTGACCACTGAGCACCCTCCTTACAGTCCAGATCTTGCTCCCTGCGACTTTGCCATGTTTCCGCATGTGAAAATGAAGCTAAAAGGGACCGGTTTTCTAGCGATGAGGACCTTCCGAGGGCTTGGAATGAGTGTGCCGCACTCCCGAATGAAACTTGGCAGAGCTGGTTTAAGGACTGGTTTTGGCGGATGAAGAAGTGTAATGAATGTGGTGGAAATTACTTTGAACGAAGTCAATACATAGAGCTGTATTGCAAACCTTTGTATTTTAGGGCTCGTATTCATTGTCGCCACTCAAGTGCGAACGTTGGACGAACAACGCACAATCAAGTGGAGTTTTGGTAGATTGTCTTATCAAGTTCCACAAACCTCGCAAGATTTTTTAGAGTCCACAAAAATGTAGTTTGAGAGACGCTTAGTAATTTGAGTGCCGATTATAAATATGAGCCTCAAGAGGACATGGTCATTTTGAGAAAGTCTTTTCGTTTTTCCTATGAGAGACCTAAAATTTAACAAGGAGATATTTTATAGGCAGTAGATGAAATTTGAGAAAGTATTTTGTGACAGGGTCGGATTAGGATGGGGATTATAGACATTCATCAGTTTGTATGAAAGTTCTGGTTTTGTAGCCTAGAAACCAAAAACTTCGCAAGGAGGTATTTTATAAGCTGTAGATATCAGTTAATAAAGAATTTTGCGACTGATCTATATTAAGGGAGCAAAGGGCATCGGCTATGATCATGGAGGTGGAAACCTTGCCTTTGGAATGTACAAGATGCGGTATTGTCAAATGAACCAATGAAGCAATGTTGCAGAATTTGTAGCTATCCCGACCTTAAATGAAGCGCCCTTAGGACCGATACGGAGTTGATCCTAAACAGAATCGACACAATTCACAGTCCAAAAATGTGTACGCTCAAAATAAAACCTTTAGATGAGCGCAAAGAATAAACTAATGCATATTTTCTGCATGCATCTTAATTCAAGGAACTGGTGTAACATATTGGCAGCGCGGCAGATTGCCGCATCAGCGTTGCTAGGCAACGTGGTGATGAGCTTCGCTATCCAGCCGGCTTCTATCTCTTTCTAACATATGTTCTTATACACACTTCTCGCGCTTCTCTCTCGTACATACTGAACTCGAGCCCGTCAGCCAAATTTGTCATTTTAACCTAGGTAGGTGGATAAACTAAAAAAATATCCCAATATCTCAAGCAAGGAAATTAGCTGTCAATTTACGACGGTCATCAAAATTACAAAATAGGATCCGAATTATAGAATCACTTAAGGACAATGTTTTATGTTAATATCAACTTCAAGCACAGCAAGTCGTGGGTGCATAACAGCTAGTTTATGTCCAACTCCAACTTATCACTTTAAAATAATACAGGAATATTTACCGTGTTTTGTGAACTTCAAGCAGCTACCCATACCAAGGAAGTTGAGTCTATCTTTCTCCAGGACACATACCGTCTTTAAGTTTTCTGCAAACATCAAAAAGTTAAAAACAAAATACAAAGTAATCTTTATTTGAATGAAAATACCTTCCAAGCTCACTTCTTCTGATTCGGCCAACTCTACAGTGACTTTTCCTGCAATAGAGAAATGTCAAATGAACTGCAGCCACATCTACAATCAAAGCAAGACTACTTTACTTGGATAACTATTGCGATATTACACCACATTGGAGTAGGTGAGTAGGAGTATCCTCCTCTTCATTCCAATATACGCAATTCGCTTACTCTCTTTCCTACCCTCTTCAGGTAGCTGTCAAAACAACCATGTCCTGTGACGAACTGGGAGGTATAGTAATATATCCGCATCGCTCCCTTGTCAATTCAAGTTTTAATAAATGGGATCAGCCAGTTGCATCCATTATAGAATGAATATGTATGTATGAACGTTCGGGACGTCCAAAAAGTACCGACGAAAACACCGCCTAAGTTTACCAAATGCTGCTAGACGACGAATTAAGGTGAGAGAGATATCAGATGTTATGAACATGTCAAAATAACGTGTCTGTCACAACATATTAATAAAAAATTCAGGCATGAGAAAGCTGTCCGCGCGTTTGCTCACATTAGACCAAAAACGTGTTCGAATGAATATTTCCAACGCTCTGTCAGCGCAGTTTAGGCGCTAATTAATTACTGCAGATGAAACTTGGATACACCATTATACGCCCGAAACAAAAATGCAGTCCAAACAGTGGTCTGCAAAGTGGAACTGGATACGAAAAAAGCAAAAACTGTTTTTTCGGCTGGGAAATTGATGTCGACTTTTTTTGGGATAGCCAAGGAGTTAGTTTAATCGATTATCTTCAAAAAGGAAAAACCATTACAGGATCATACTACGCTTCATTACTTGACAAGCTGAAGGCCGATTGCGGAAAAACGGCCACATTTGCAGAAAAAAATGCTGTTTCATCAAGACAACGTACCGTCTCACACCTCAGCAGTTGCATTGGCGAAAATCCTCGAATTACGGTTTGAACTGTTTGAACATCCGCCTTATTCACCAGATCTAGCCCCAAGCAACTTATTTTGGTTCACTGATCTAAAAATTGCACTCGGAGGACAGAGATTTTCGTCAAATGAAGAGGCAATCACCTTCGTGAACAATTATTTTGAAGAGAAAAACGCCGAGTACTATTTGGACTGGTTACAGAGATGGGAGCATCGCCCGAAGAAATGTGTAGAGTTACAAGGAGGCTATGTTGAAAAATATATTTTTTTTTGAAAAATGTCTTGTATCTTTATTAGTACGGAAACTTTTCAGACCACCCTCGTACGTTTCTTCTCTAGATATTCGTAATACTTAAAACTACAAAATTATACTGGAGGAGTGTATTATCATTCATCAAATGTTCTGACGAGCTTACCTATATCTTTAAGGTATGGTTCCACTGTCTTCTTGTAATAATCTAAAATTTTAAGTGATCGCTTTCCTGAAAACAAGAAAATACAATTTTTCTCATTAAGAGCTCGTATACCAGATATACAAACAATCCAATTACATACCAGGGACCATCCAAGTAGGAATTGCTATGTCACATAGCCCTTGCGACTTTTCTCCATTTTTGAAGTATATTTTTTCAAAATGTCTCTCACACACGACGAATTCTTCGTAGAGCACTTGGTGACTGTACCTCAGAGTTGGGTGAGATACCAACTCGTACCATGCTCGGAATCTAATGGAAATAAATACCCGGTGTTACAAAACGTTAGAAAAATTGAAGGGCAAATGTGGATAGAAGTTCATATAAAGATATGTCCGAAAATGCTTCGTTTACCATGAAATTTTATCCGTCTTTGATACTTCACCTTCTTTTTGGTACACGCAAATGTATTATCAAAGATGCTCAAATTTGTTTTCTAGAGCGCTTACATCAGTGGCCTTCGTGCGGCAAGTCTCTATGTTTAGCAGAAACTGCCTTTTGGAGTTTGTGGTTCAGGTGCGTCGTTTTAGAATCTGTTCATCGTCATACAGGGAAAACCAAATTTGTCTGACGGCTCTGAGTACAATGTGTACGAGAAAGAAGGGCGATAACTGTGTATCAACACATATTGGAAAACGTTAAAAGCCGGCTGAATAGCGAAGGTCATCACCACAGTGCCTAGCGACGGTGACGCAATCTGCCGCGTTGCCAATATGTTACACTCGAAAATGTTCGCACAGGCTTCGACAATAGGTTAGGTTACTGTCAAATCCAAGGAGGTCTGTTCGAACATATAATATTTTGTTTTCATTTTGATTAGAATTATTTATTTCAATGTTGATGCGACTTAGTGTTTTAATTTATTTTAGAATTATCTTTGATTTCCACCGATGGTGATACAATCAACACAGCGAGCGGTCGGAAAATGTAACAAATACCATTACGTAATGCAAACTATAACTGCCTGCATATACGCAGGCGAAAACTATTTCGAAGCAGCACGACGCTCCCCAATAATCGCTAGATGGATACTGACCAAAATCGTTCATTTATGATCATGGAGTTGGAAACCTTGCCTTGGAATGCACGAGATCCGGTGTTGCCAAGCGAATCTATGCTGCAATGTTGCAGAATTTGTGTCGATCCTGATCTTTCATTCCGACCTAAAATAAAGCGCCGTTAGGACCGATCCAGAATCAATCCTAAACAGATTCGACATAATTCACAATTCAAAGATGTATACGCTAAAAATAAAACCATTACTTGGGCGTACAGAATAAACTAGGTAACGCATATTTTCACCAAGCATCTTAATTCAAGAAACTGGTTTAACATATCTGAAACGCGGCAGAGTGCCGCGTCAGCTTTGCTATTCAGCTATCTCCTTCTGACATTTGGTTTTCAGTGTATATTGGAGCTGACGCTTTTCGGAGCACACCGAAAAAAAACGACTTTTATTTTGTTAAAGACTGGTCAGATCATTTTTTCGAATATCACGCCTAAATATGGAACTTCCGTTACATTATAATATTTTGGTACTCTGTTATATTAGGGTTACTAGTGCTATTACATTCTCTTCTTTTTCTGTACCTTTTTTAACAAGTGTCTTTTATTTTATTTTTTTCATTTGCTGATACTTTCTACTGCATAAGATTTGCAAAACTGCAGATTCATCGTTTTTTTGTTTGTTTTTGTTTTCCTTTTTATTGTTTTTTTTATTTGTTTATTTTTCGTCTCAAGAAACACTTCAAACAGATTCAGTATAGCTCTGAAAAAAACGACCAGAGTTTAAATGCCTTTATCATGGAAATGGGTTATTACCGGACCCATCTTTATATGAACCTTTGTCATTTCTATACATGCTAAACCTATCCTTAAAGTAACAGTACTCGTACTGCCATTGGAAGCTCGAGAAAAACGTCGATTTTCGTACTTTAGAACTGTTGAAAAATATTTTCTCTTTAGACCATTTAGACTCCTCTTACTTTCCACGCATTATTGGCACAGAAAGTTTTGTAATCGCTACAAAATTCGAAACTGAGATATGTACACCATTAAAATCGCTCATTTTTGTCAGTCATTTTGTCGGGCTGTTCGCTAATCCTTGGCCCACGTATAACTTGGAAAGAACTGCTTGGATATGGATGAAGTTTTTACGCAAAATTACTACTAAGTACTAAGGATGAAAAAGCTTTGTAGTTTCTGAACACTGGTTCAAGGGCGGGGATATTCATAAATATTTCATCTTTGATTCTCGATACGAGTGATTTACCAGCAAGCGGCGCGGCGACATACGAAATACGCCGAGACACGTCAAAAGATTTGTCAAGGGGGACAACTTTTTAACCAAAAATTACTTCACCCCCTTTCACCCTCTGCCCCCAGGGTCATCCCATTAAAAATTTTAAATGACAAGGGGTATCGAGTAATAGCTTGTTTGAAAGGTCTTTCGAAGTCCTTTATTTTGAAGTTTGATTTTTAAAATCGGTCGATTCGTTTTCAAGAAAATTAGAAAAACCTTTTTTCATCTTAACTGGTTCAGATAGAAAACAGAAACAGACGAAAACATCACTTTTTATTTCAATAAGTGCTCAAAATTGTCATTTAAAATTTCTAAGGGAATGACCCTGGGTTGGGGCGAGGATGAAAGGGGGTGACATAGATTTTGGTTAGAAAGTTATCTCCTTGTCAAATCGTTTGACGTGTCTCGGCTTCCGATGCTGTAATCTAAAGAAATTTTTTTCATGAAAACCCAAATAGTGCATTGCTGGTTCTGAGTAACCTTTGTTTTTTTTATCATTGTACTACATGGAAACTTGTACTAAAAGTTTCTTCGAATGAGTGGGAAGCACTGCGTCAATCTACTTGATGCAATTTTTTTAACAGGATACAATAAAAAGGACAAAGGATGTGATTTTTGTTTATGAAGCCTACCTATCTGGTTCGTCTTCAGGATTCGGGAATCGATACATCTTGTATTCATCGCTATCTTTATGATAGCAGCTGTGACATTTCAGAACAGCGCATGGAAACATGCCATCTTCTCGCCGTTTAGGACATGTCTGAAAATTCATAATGATGATTTGCATAATCACGAACCATATACCGCGTGTCCCTAATTCAGCTCTCACTAATGGAATCTCGGAAACGGTAAGAGATACGAAGTTGATTAAATAGTGACAAAGTTGCGTATTCATCAATATCCTCAAGTATCTCAAACATTATTTTAGTTTTTATAGTGTTTATCGAATGAATATCAGGTAGAAAGTTACCATTGCCTTGTTTTTGCTATCCTGTAGAATTATAGAAGTGACAGATGCGTAATTTTGTGTCTTTGGGGACCTCTCATATAAATGAAATTCGTTTACAATCAACATAAATGTTTATCATATATTCGACTATTGGTTTCCTTACCAACTCAATTTCAGTATAACGCTGACCATGTTTGTTCTGAAGAAGGTACACTTTAGCTGAAAAAAATTGTCCATTTTAGCTACGTCAAGCAGCATCCACATTCGTTAACACTTGAGACCATGATTATACATATATTATACAATGCGCTACCCATTTTGAGTAATGATAATAATAATAATAACTTTTATTCAAATTACTTTGCGGATATGAAATGTCAACAGTTAAAGGTCAGGTTTACATAAGCAAAAGAAAAATATGCATGACTAAATTCGGATAAAATAGGTGATAGCAAGTTATAAAATAAGTAGCAAAAAAGTATGTTTGTTAATAGTTAAATAGAAGGATAGGAAAAGTATGCAGCATAAATGTATATTAAGTAAAATAATCAATAAAATAAATATGTAAATATTAAGAATTATAAGACTCTTGCAGATAGCAAAAGCACTTAGGGTACAAGTATGTTAAAAGTTGTTTTTTTGAAAACCCAAAGGATGATCCCCAATATAGCACTAAATATTTGAAGTGCGAATATACAATAGAGTAGTAGTAGTCCTTTACTAAGGTTTTTTCATTCATTACGTATTTTAAGTTCATTAGAGCAAAGAATGCTGAATTCATTTTTTTCACTTTTGAACATTTTGCATTATGATTTTAGTCTTACTTTCTAGACCATCTAGTGACTTTGTTGATACTGTTATATTTATGTCACCAAATGTTACCAAGAGGCAATTATTATCAATTATGTATTCATATAAATCGTTCACAAATAACAAAAACAGTGAACAGAAAACAGCTCAGCTACTTTCAAAAAATCCGGAAAGGTACAAGTTGTCATTGATAAGTTGAATAAATATTACAGTGGATATATTAAATATTGGGAAATGAACTTTAGTACTTTTATTGGCAATCCATCAGATCCACACGCATCCTTATTTTTCAGTTCATTTAGAGATTGCATTATCTCTTCTGGGGATCTCATGAAATGCCATTGAGTAAAGTACTGTTTTGCCTTTAGTATAGTTGGCTTCTTTAATATTGCGTATTCTGTGGTAATTATCTTTTCAGCTATGGTTGCAAAGTATTCACAAAAGCAATTTGCACGATTTTGGTAAGCTATTGAGCAGATCTGGCAACCTATTTTCTATTTATCTGTGACTTACTTGGTGCTTTCAATGGATTTTGGTGCGGTACAGCATTTGGCAACATATAACCCATTTCGTGGAAACTTTCGTCCGAAAAATGACTTTTGCAAATCTGAAGCCATTCTCTACCCAAAGACTCATCACGACCACAGGCCCGCAGCCATGCCTTGCGCCTGAAAAAAAAAATACTGAGATTTATAAATGAACGACATCGGTCTATTTTCCACGATACTTTAACATGTCAAAACGTACTCCTCGTACTATTTCGTACTTCCTAGCTACGCCGTCGCACAGTGGTCCATTTAGGAGAAAACCTGACAAAATTTGAAAAACAAAGTATCAAAAATGAATGACAATTAATACCTATGTTAAAGTTAATACCTTGGACATAGAATCATGCTTACTCTACTTTTACTATGGCAAATTATTAAACATCAAATTTGTGATATATAATTCGACACTATTTTTTAACGGCAAAGTTGGAGAGTTTCTGTATCATCTATTGCGTTTTGTGTTGAAAATATTTGAACATCTGAATTATGAATCATGATCGAGTATGAACTTTCAGTTGATGTTTACATGTACATCGTAAACTGGATTAATTAATATTTTTAGTTTCTCTTCTTTATACTAGTATCATTCCGAGAAGTTTTAAATAATGTTTTATTCTAATTGACCCAATTGGGATAAATGATAGTTGTGAACCTTGCAGAACAGCCAGATAAAATCTATTCCCAGTATTTGCAAAATTTTGCAGACTATTGAGAAATATAACATAATATCATGGCATATGGTCGGAAACAGGGCTTTTAAAACTTTTTTGGATGTGTCCTATGAGTGGCATTAAAATACTATTCAAATGCCTTAGTGGAGACAAACTGATCTCTGATTTGGACTCAATGAACCCAATCAGACTACACACAATTTTACATTTCAGACTTCGAAACAGCGAATTTTCACAGCCGAATGGGTTGACGTTTCTTATATAAATTTTATTTCAAATATTCAAACAACTATTTTTCCAAAAAAAAGTAGTTTGGTAAAATTAGAAGGTAGAAAATAATTTTTTCTACTTTGGGAGTTAAAATTTCCCTATTTATACGCCATTGATGTACTCTTAGTTACGAAAATGTTTGTCTGTATTAAATATACTGTACTCACAAAATATAAAAGTTGTACCAACATATTTTATTTCGAAATTATAACTCCAAGATTCTGTATCAAGATACACTAAGGCAAAGGGATATTTTAAGAAGAGGGTTTATAGATACCACTGACTACGCTGATAGGTCAAATAGGCAATATGAGTTTAGACATTTTTTTTAATCGCAAGCATACTTTTCTGTTTCGTTCAAAACAAATTGCATGTTGTCGTTGTTACTTATTTTCCTCTACAAAAAGACCAACTGAATGATGAATGAATAAAGTGCAATTGGTGGCAGCTGTATGCTTAAACACTTAGGCAGCTCTTCAGAGACAAAATGACCTTGCAACAATTGAAGAGCGGAGGGTGGCATACGTCTAGGGAAGATGACCCGTCTCAAAATTCAGGCCTAGCAAGGTAAATGTTATACGAAGATTCAACAATATATACCATTTGGTTGGAAAAACAAGGCAGACTTGACCGTCTAAGGGGGGCACCTCGCTCCCCTATAAATCCGCCCTTGCCGATAATCGTTGTCAGTAGTATCTATACAGCCTCCCCTTAAGGCCTCTGCTCATTTGAACTTTACGTGTTATTTTTTGATATACTTTGTGCCCTAAAAATTTGGACACTGTTTTATGAATCGTCCTGTATATCTGTTAAGTATCATAATTAGATTTCAACTCATCTGAAAATTAAATACTCAATCAATATTTTAGGAAAATAACGTATATCCTAAAAGTTTTGGCACAAAATATCTATCGGAATTTTTTTAATGAAGAAATTTATTTAACCCTTTAACGCCCTCTGGGGTATTATTTTACCACCGGGTCTCTTAAATCACAGTGGGACAGTATCTCCCCACTTATTATATGATTTGAATTGCGCGCGCCCTCACTTGTTGTCCGCAATCTGGCGTCCCCCTTTGTAGTTCCTACAAGGTGCTGTCCACAGAGTGGTGCTAAAGTGGGACGATAATATCCCAGTGTGCGTAGGAAACATCATACAAAGCAGTGAACACCTGTCAAGCTGTTATTTTCCGTTTGAAGTTAGATTGAAGTGCTTTAAGCTGGAATAAAGGTATGTATCTAAATATAGTAGTATTGCTGCGTCTGTTAGCGTTTTATTTTGTGATGATTTTTTGAAAAGATAGCGTATATAAGCTTTTGCTGATTACGTCATTGCCATTCGGCTAAGCTTCTACGAAAATGGCAAATTATTTCTTCGCTTACCCAAGGTGCTTATTCTAATCGCATATAGCTACAGATTGTCTAAGCGGTCTAACTTATGATAATTTGCCATTGTAATCGAATGTTGTGTGTGCACACAGATGTTCTACTCTGTGAAATATGGCATTATAACCTAACAAGTCATGGTTTTGTTTACATTTTCAGAAATGCGACTTCTACCTTCAAATTTAGCTTGTTATTGTTATTTATAATTTTATTTTCACTATCACTCATTTATTTTTATTTTTCAGGACAGTAATTATGTCAAGAAGCGATACTGAAATAGCCAGATTTCTAGGAGAAATCACAGATCATCAAGCTGAGGATTCAGAGCTGGATGGTGATTCTGACGCAGAAGATCTTATTCCTAGACAACCACTGAATGATAGCAATGAACCTGGCTTGCGAGGTTCATTACGTCGGCGGTCTACGCGGTCGCGTAACGCAGCTCAACAGAATTTGGCGGAGTATTCTGATGACGATTTTGAAGAAAATACTGACGATCCCGATTATTCAAACTCTTCTAAGCCTAGCCGAAAAGTCCACAATACTTCGTCTGGGGAGGATTCTGGTGGCGGCGGGGATCCTGGGGGTGCCGGGAACTCTGAAGATGGTGGTGACGGTAATGGTAGAGCTGGAGGTGACACTGTTGGTGGAGGTGACGATAATCATACGGCTACGAGTCAATCTCCTATTACTTGGACAAAATCTGGCACGGATCCTAAGTTATACAGCACCTTCCACTTTTCAGAACCTGGTACCGGGGCTAAAAATGACGTACACATGAGCTCTTCTTTCAAAGTTCTTCAAACTTTCTTGACCCTTGACATTTTGACTTTTATTGTGACCAAGTCGAACCTGTATGCTACTCAAAAAGGTGTAGATCTCAGCATGACTGTTGATGAATTGCGGGCTATGCTTGCATGCTCATATTTATGGTATTCCATGTTCTATCGACCTTCCGATCTTATTGGAGTAAAGACGATAACTTTCACGTGGAGAGAATAGCTAGAGTAATGAGTCAAAAACGATTTTTGTAATTACTCCGTTATCTACATCTAAATGACAACCTCGAGATGTTACCGAGAACGGACCCTAATTACGACCGCCTGTTCAAAATACGGCCCCTAATCACGCATTTTCAGAACGCATTCCACCATTCGCGATTTCTTTCAATAGACGAAAGTATGATCGGTTTCAAAGTCTCAAACAATACATGCCCATGAAACCCATAAAACGAGGGTTCAAAGTCTGGGTTATGGCGTGTTCAGTTACCGGTTTCGTAATGTACTTCCAGGTATATACAGGTCGCTCTACGGAAACAACCGATCTTGGGCTCGGAGAGAGGATTATTCTCGAATTAGCTACGATATTTTTTTCGAGCTTACCACTGTTGAAGCTCCTACTATAGCGATTTTGTTCAATCGGGGGACATAAGCATTGCAAAGTGGCGAGATCGCGGCAAAAAGTCGGTTGTCGTTGTCAGCTCTATGCACAACCCTAGTAAGCAGAGATCAGTTCTTCGAACAAACAAGTGCGGTGAGAGGGAATCAGTGAATTCTCCCGAGTCTATCGCTGACTACAACACCTTCATGAGTGGAGTTGACAAATTCGATCAGCTTATGTCGACTTACTCGATTGCCCAGAAATCTCGTCGGTGGTGGTTGAAACTATTTTATTATTTCATCGATATGGCGGAAGTAAGTAGTTACGTCATGTACAAGGACTCGGCCAAAAAACAGCGTCGCCGTTATTTGTGTCATCTCGAGTTTCGCTCTCAATTGGTCAACGAAATGATCGGTAATTTCTGCAGCAGAAAACGCAAGGGCTATAGTCCCGGAGCGGGAGTAGGCAGAAAAACACATCAACCAGGTGGTTACCCTACCGTCCAAAATGCAATTCGTTTGTCAAACGTCGGAGACCATATGCCCAAGCAGCAAGAGAAATATCGTAGATGCGCGCACTGCAGTACGAAGGCGAAAGAAAAGAGAAGCAACATGATTTGAACTGCTTGCAATGTTGCATTGTGCAACGCATGTTTTGAACCTTTTCATTCTTAAAATGCAATTTAGTCGTGGTACTGAAGTTTCTGTTTTGTAAAGGTAGACCTTTGTTTAGAAAAAATTATATACAATTTCGTGAAATAAAGTATTTTTTACTTATGTGTTTTTAATTCTACATGCGTTCAGCGACAAATTAGGGGGTGGGAAAATAATCACCCACTGCCCGCAGCCAGATGTTCGTTTCGCTACATGGGCAGTGGGATACTATTTTCCCGCCCCTAAAACAGAACTTTTCCATTAGATATTTTTTTTGTGATTTTTGTGCGTGAAAGGGTCCCGATTTTTGCGAAGTTTTGAAGTTATACGGTTTACTGCGCGTTAAAGCGTTAAACACTAACTAGTTATCATAAAATACAACTCAATACTTAACTAAACTATACTATCAAATTATGTGGAGTGGCCCATTTTGCTCTATCAGACGCAACTTTATTCCAATGTCTCTCAGGTCCTGGGAGGAATTCAGATCAATTTCTCTCAGTTTTCAATAAATTCGCCGTCTTAATTGTTCTTCGTCTTGGGCTTCCCAGCCTCATGATAAACGTTCCTAGACAATAAAGTCCTCTATTGGGCGAGCCTGCGCCAAGTTTGGAGGATTATCGTTTTATGGGAACAAAAGGTATGTTGAGTTATCGAAGCCAGTTTTGGGTATCCCTTGAGTAACGGCATGATGCTAGGTCTGGCCAAAATATGATACGGTCATTAGGATGATGTTCGTGGACAAACTGAAGCAATTTGGAAAGGCAATTATCAATATAGCTCCGACTACTCAAAGCCTTCTTCCCACACAAGGTTGGATACACCCCTGTTAGAAATTGCGCACCAGACAAGGATTATATCTGCAAATTTCGCTTTATGTTTGTATCCAATATTGTCAGAGCATTCCTCTACGTTGTCCTTATAAAATCGGTTGTTTCTTTCATTTCAGAATTACTCAAAGTGAAATACTTTTCGTCATCTAAAATAATGATTTTTTTATTAGCAAAGTTCCACTTTAGAGTATTTGGGGCACTGAAGTGTCTTTCGATATTTAAGACCTTTTCTCCTCAATTCCAACCATATCGTACTCTGTATTGACGAGTTTCCTTGTTGACATTCAAACCTGTTTTTTTGCTCTTCTCACCAATCTCTCTGACCTCTGTGCATTCAGACATGGTGTTCCCTGCTCACACTCCGCTATTGTTCGATAAATGATTCTGCGTGAAATGTTTTTATTCTTGAATATTCGACAAATTTCAGCTTTGGGTACCCGCCCAACCCACTTGTAGATACTTTTTCTTATTTCTAATTGATACGACATCTTAAAGCGAAAACTTCAAAATAAATGAATGTAAACTGACAGTAAAATAAGTAAACAAACTTTTGTTTCCAAAGGCAATTTGATATTATTTCGTTTTTGTTAAAATTAAAGCCAATGCATTTTGTGTCAAAACTTTTAAGACATACATACGTTAGTTCTGACGCACTACTGAATGCCAAGAGATTTATTATTGTCAACAGTACCGGATTAACACAAACCCAATTGTGTTGAAGTATTGTGGTAAATAGAGTTTAAGGAGACTTTTTTCTTCCATTTGGGACAGAAAGTCAAAATTAGTCGTAAAACACGCATAGTCAGCCTACCGTTCTGGATCAACTGGGAATGTGTACAATGGATTTTGAGGAGATGGTTCAGCCTTGCATCCAACGTAGCAGCAACCCCTTCTCTAAAAAAGAAAGATCATATAACTATTAAAATGCTTTTCTTAAACGAAAGAAATCATGCATTATTTAATTTTGTCAATTTGAAATGAGACATGTTCTACGATATAATAATATACCTACCATACCAAGGGAATAGGGATCAAAAAAGCCATCAGTTGATACTATAGCTTCTTTCTGTAACAACAACATATTGTTAATATGCAGAATTATAATAAACAAAGTTCCCAACTTGAATTACAGATCCGTCAGGATATTTTTTGACAAATTACTCGCTCTATGCCACGCGCTTTTCGATCCATGTCGAGTTTATACAACATCTTAATATATGATGGTATATAATTCTTAATTCCAATATGCTGGGTATTCTTTAATTATATGCGAATATTTAAGGGTGTGAATCTACATGAAAAATTAATGATAGTTTGCTTTATAAACTACGGTCCAAAAATGTTTCCTTACAAAAACTCGGGGTGTTGAAGTTTTAGGAAGAAAATGGAATTTAATTAATATTTTCAGAACCGCTTCAGATATTTCACTGATATTTCGTAAGTAGTGGAAGTTAATAAAGTTGCATATTTTTCAATGCAAAAATAATTTTTAGCTTTAACAGTGGCGTGCGTACGGGTATTGACTTCGATATTTTTCAAGAAAAAAATGGTACGCCAATGGTTTTTTGCCAAATAAAAATTAGTTTTGAAATCCCCGTTCAATTTAAAACAAATGATCTCTCTTGAATTGGTTTCCATCGATGCGCCCTCTTTGAGTAAAAAAATAAAAACCGTTCTATTGTCCGAGAAAATTAATGTAATAATTGAAGAATGCAATTTAGCAATAAATATCTAGTTGCTCTGGAATATGTCACTGGCTTTTGATATCTGACAAGTCTTTGTTATTCAAATCTGTTCGCTGTGACATCTTTTTCATTATTTAGTTTTTACAATCTTGTTAATAATGGTGAATTATTCAAATGCAGAAATGGCGGAAATGCATTACGTATATGGCCTTACCGACGGTAATGGTGAGCAAGCCAGACGGATTTATCACCAGAGATATACCGATCGTGCTTTGCCAGATAGTCGAACCTTTTCTAATATTCATCGCCGTCTAGTTGAAACTGGTTCTCTCCGAAAAGGAACATCTGAAGGTAGACCTCTAAGTGTGAGAACACCTGAAATTGAGGAAGAAGTGCTGCACGAAGTCGAAGAACATCCTGAAACGAGTACGAGGAAGATCGCTAGACACTTAAATATTTGCCATCAAATTGCTTGGAGAATTTTAGTGGATTTTTTGTTATATCCTTAACGTATTTTAAGAGTACAGGCATTACTTCCCATTGATTTTCCAAGGCGTGTGACCTTTTGTCAGTTGTATCTTCAAAAAATTACACAAAATCCGCAATTTGAATCAATGATTCTGTTCACGGACGAAGCTAATTTTTCTCGAAATGCCATTCAGAATTTCCACAATAATCATTTGTGGGCAGAAGAAAATCCCTATGCCGTAACCGAAACTCATTTCCAACACCAATTTTCGGTTAGACTATGGGCAGGAATTATTGGCAACCATTTTATTGGCCTATTCTTCTTGCCGGGACGACTTGACGGACAGACTTACCTCAATTTTCTTCAACAACAGTTGCCTTTGGTGGTATGTGGTACATGCATGATGGTGCACCAGCGTATTTCAGTGTAGCGGTTCGTAATTATTTACAAACTGTTTATCCAAATCGTTGGATTGGCCACGGTGGGCCCCAAGAATGGCCACCAAGGTCCCCAGACCTCAATAGTTTAGATTTCTTTTTGTGGGGCTATCTTAAGACACTAGTGTACACAAGTCCCATTAACAGTATAGAATAATTAAAAGAAAGAATAGTTGCAGCTTGTGATAGAATGAAAAACAATCCAGGGATATTTCAACGAGTGCCCAATTCCACGAGAAGGAGGGCGAAAGCATGCATACTAAGTGAAGAAGGCCGTTTTCAACAATTTTTGTAATCATTTCGTTGGTTTTAATGTTATGTTTATGTTGTCAGTTGTTGTTGTTCATTACCCCTAATTTGTTTAATTTTTCCAATTAAATTAATAATAATTTTGCAAGTTACACAATAGAACGGATTTATCTTTTTACTCAAAAATGGCGCATCGAAGGAAAACAATTCAAGAGAGATCATTTATTTTAAATTGAACGGGGAATTCAAAAATAATTTTTATTTGACAAAAAATCATTGGCGTATCATTTTTTCTTAAAAAAAATATCGAAGTCAATACCGGTAAGCACGCCACTGTTAAAGCTAAAAATTATTTTTATTGAAAAATATGCAACTTTATTAACTTTCACTACGTACTAAATATTAGTGAAATATCTGAAGCGGTTTTGAAAATATTAATTAATTTCCATTTTTTTTCCTAAAACTTCAACACCTCGAGTTTTTATAAGGAACCATTTTTGGACCATAGTTTATAAAGCAAACTAACATTAATTTTTCATGTAGATTCACACCCTTAAATATTCGCATATCATTAAGGAACACCCTGCATATATACAATTTGCCATAATTATAGTCATAAGCATAAGCCCTTGAGATAAGCATAACTTGGTTGGCATTGAGCTTCATAAAGAAATAATTTAACTCTTTTGATTATGACTACGATTATGCTTATAAAAATATTGTAAAAACGATCCTCCATATATTTCCCGGAGCATTGTTCACGAGTCTCCATTACGTCAAACTTGACAGCCACGTGATAGCAAAAACAGCTAATTAATCAAATCCAAGCGAATAACCAAATGAAAATAGTATTTACTATTTTGGATTCGTATTTACCGATGTTCAAGCGAGTTTAGTTAAGGTTCGTGAAATCAGCAATCAGCTGTTATATGTCATAGTTATCTCCGTAAAATTATGGTATTTACCCAACTCCGAAGTAGTTTTATATTTCTGGTTATTATTTGAAATGTGACAAGTTAGAATTTTGGCGGGTATTGAATAGTTTTGTTGTACTTCAGCTTAATTTTTGGGAAACTTGATACAGGCTGACATCAGTTTTAGTATAAATTAGAGCACCTTATTAGTTATACTCACTACTGGACACTTTAAATCTAGTTCCTATGCTTAACTTTTTCCTATAATTTCTGCTAAATCAATAAATGTTTTCTTTTTCATGCGGAAAAGTTTAAAGAATTGAAAGTTATCATAGCTGTCACTAAAATCTTGGGCGTCCGTCCTATCTTTTATTTTCACGACAAACTCGTTTAAAAATAAGAGAAATTTTTCAAGTGATTTAACACCTGAACAATATTTTCTACCGCCCAGACAAACAAATGATTGGAAAAAATATTTCTCCCATTAATATTATGAATGTTTTTTAAGTTTTCCATATTTGTAGACAAAAAACTATCAGAAATCATATACGCACTTTTCTAAAATAAACAACTTCCAACAAACCCGCGGTTAAAACCAACGCGTTCAACGATTCGAGTAAATGACGTCATCAACTCGTATGTCATCTTAAAACCACATTATAACCGCGGTAAATAACACAGAAATTTTGGTTGTTGGCTTCGGTTTGATTATTTTATTTATTTATAAATATCCCATATCGACAAGTGACATACAATTCTGACGGATATGTCAACGCCAGATCTGTAGGCAGAGCCGTATTTTGTTGTGGTTTTTTGTACGCTACGAATTAATACTTAATATAATAATAGCAGGGCTTTCATTTTGAAAAGTTCCTTCGCACAGAAGAAAAAACGCTATAAACAAAATGGCTGCTAATAACCATGACTATATTATCAAATGAGGCATAATATTTTTTTGTATGCCAGAAAAGTGCTAACGAAATATATTAGATGAAAAACTTCATATAAGACCCTACAACTTTTATATACAACTTTTTCTTCTGAAAGGTCATGTAGCTCAGGAAATGTATTTCAGGTTCTGGGTAACTGGCAGCTCTCTCGTATCATGTATTATCTTATATATGTATATCTCTGTTGCTGTTACCATGAACGTAAACAACAGTTGGTATTTCTGACATTTGTGACGTAAGTCTGTATAAATGCGCAGATGCTAGATTTCCGAGAGCACTTCGAGAGCCACGCCCTCGTTAGCGATAGTACTGGCTTCACATGAATATGTGTCTTTCAGTTTAACCTCCTATCTCTAGTCTTCGTGGTTTTACCCGATTCACAGCCAATACATTACTGCCAACACTACAGGCTTTAATACAAAATGTCTCTTGCTGATCAGCGGTTTACCTCAGTAAACGTCAAAACATAATGGAGAAAGACCGTATCTCTCATTTGAACTCTCTGGATTCCAGAAAAAGAAATACCGTCACAGCAATTGTTGTAGTCCCATAGGATATCACAGCAATAACAAATAAAATAAAATGTTTGTTACATATGAAACATAATTTCTTACTTACATGCAATGTTTCGGTCAAATCAGTCGATGATTCGGTTCCTTTGTCCTGTTAAAACAACGATTTTATTATCTTCAGTTAATACTTTTTCTCACATACACCCTCTCAAGGATCAAATCCATGCAAAGCAAAGAAGCGAAAGATAAGTTGAATGTACTCTGGAGGATATTGTTGCTATAGACGAAAATATTTCTCTAAGCTCACTTACATGTAGTATTGAGTATTAAAAGCAAATAGAAATGTTTGTAGTATAGTGCAAATCAAGAAAGATTCTGCGTTATTCTGAATCATCGAACTTTCTGTACTTACATCTGTTTCTTGTGATTCAGTCAAATCAATGGTAGAACTTGGTAATAAACCAGCTGCGGCGGCTCTGCGCATGGCAGGCGTGATCTTCGGCATGGGTATTTTAGGCGACTTCTTAATCGCTTTAGGCGTAGTATTGATCGGTTTCGGCAAAATATTTACTTTAGCACCACTAGGGGTCGATGTCGCCTGTGGCTGGGATTGAACGCTAGTTGCAGCTATCACCATTTTTTGCAGGGTGGTAGGATCTTTGTTTTTCATCACTTCTTGGGGCACTAGCATCAACTACAAATCAAGAATTTTTCATTCACTCATTGATTTCGTTTTTGGAATGCTTGGCATCTAATAAAACCATAGTTTCTAATGTATGTAACCACTGAGTGTAGAAACTCAGTATAGCCCAGTTTTGTTGCTACTAAGCGGGTTGTGTGTGGACACGCTGTGTATTTTCAAATCCCACTATTTCTGAGTAGTTATTAGATACCTAGTAAGTGTGTTTATGTGACGAATTTAGGGCAATCCGTTTAAAAGTGCAAGCTTTTTACTCTATCTATAAAGCGGTTGAGATACTGATTGAATTACAGCTCGACAAAACAAAAGGTATATCAATGATGTAATACAAAATATGGATATATAAAAAAAACTTTGATAGTCAGCTTACTAGATGTTACTAGTATAATCTTGGACATTTTTGAAACCAGGAGAACAGTACAGGATAGTCTTGAACAGTTTTTGAAAAATTTTGTGTCTCGGAGCTACACCCCATCCCTGTAAGTTTTGGCCAGACAGGAATGCAGTGTAATTTTTGTAAAATGAAAATTTTGTTAGATGCTACTGAGTTTCCCCAGAGCATTGTGACATATGTAATGTGACTATGGAACATACTCAAGTATACCAAATATTTATGTAGAAAGTCTAGAATGTAAATAATCAATGAGTGGGATGTTCAGGTTAGCCTGGTATCTAGCACTATTCCTAGAATTTTTACTGGTTCAGATCTCACAGCCCACCTGTCAGAGGAAAATGTAATATATGTCTTGTTTTCATTTAGCGATAACTCGTTGGCTAAAAACCATCTTTTACCTTGTTCCAGTCGATCCACACCCGTGTTTTGGTTAGGTCTAGACAACAAGGTGGTATCGCCTGCAAATAGGATGCAGGCTCCGTTATCAATACCCGATGGCAGGGAATTGATATATATTAGAAATGGCAAGGGGGCCAAGTACTGATCCTTGCGGTATCCCGTTACAAATAGGCAGAACGTCAGAAGCGGTGTCCTCACCGCTTACAAACCGCTTCCTATTTGATAAATATGAACAATGGTAGTATTGGAGTTTTTTTTATATATTATCCAGTACATCAATAGGAATGATGATAAAAATATAAATAAATATCGAACAGCTATTACATATCGTGTATCGAATCCACATTACACTATAATTGGGTACAAATTGCTTGGAGGCCCTATGTTAGAAACTACCTGTGGGCAAACTTAGGACCAATGAAAATTTTTGTTGTATATGTTGAGATCTACAAAATACTAAATTTGAATAAACAGAAAAATCATCTGAAAGCCATTCCCCATAAGATTTCTGCGGGTATTTTGTGACATCCAAGATTGTCTTACCTTTGTATCTCCTTGAGTTGACACTAACAATGGAACCATGTTGCCGGGAGCAGCAGGCATTTGCGGCGGCACAGGAAGTACTAGTTGCGGTGCTAATGGTACTGTTGGTGGAAGTAGCAGCGGTGGTGCAGTGGTTCCTGTAGTCTGAAGTGGTAGTGCAGCAGTCATTGGGGCTTGGACAGTTGATACTGGTACCGCTTGCCCGGTAGGCTGAAAACGTATGTGAAGGTAATCTAAGACAAATTATCTTCAAATAAATGTTTAGTAGAACTCTCAGAATAAACTACTAAGGTTTTTGTCCACTGTCATATTATATTAGGATTGTATAATGGTTATTTCATGAACGTCACGTAATTTGGTTGATGGCGCCTATATATAGTCGAAATCACGAAAGATGATGATTACGTCATCATTTTAGTCTGTAGTAAAGACAAACGACAGCGATTTGTGAATATGTTTAATGAAGTTTCAGATATGCTAGACAGAGACAAACAGAATTTTATTGTCTAAACAAACTGTATTGCTAATATGCATGTATCCGACAAAGATAGACGATGTTTTCATGTTGCATGATCGATCATATTTGAAAGAGGAATAGTTAGGTTATGTTAAAGCAGCTTATGTGGTTGTCGAATAATACTTTGGTGTTGCTGTCTTAAGGTATTCTAATCATAACTGTTTTTTCAAAACAAAAACCCCGCACTAAGATTATTATAACTCAAAACCATGAAATAAAATAAAAACAAAAATAATCAGTGTAATAACCTATCTTCCCAAATCAACACATACATTTGTTGTCATTATTCCTGATATCGTGATTTTATCGTCGACGTACGTCCAATGATTACTTCAGTACAATTTATGGTATGACGTAATAGTCATCTTTCGTGATTCTGACTATACAAACGTGTTTGGACGAAGGTGGCACAGTGGAAATAAGGTTCTAATTATTGTCGGTTTTCACACATCATTTAAAAGCAATCATCGCTCTTCTAATTGTAGAAAAATACGATGTACAAGATTTACCATGTTTATTCATGTACTTTTTATATGCTGATGGGACCGCTAGGACAGAAACCTAAATTCCGATTCACCGCGACTGCTGTAAGGAACTTAAAGCTGCCTTCCTAATCCGATTTTTGAACAGGCTAAGGATAGTAGAACTGGATCATTGATCAGTCGCACAGCCCTCCTCTGAACAGCGCCGAGAATCTGGGATCGGCCGCACCTTAAACATGAGAGCAGTACTCACGGCTGAGCGTTGTATGTGAAGAAAAGTACTGAGCAAATAACCTAAAATTTTCCAACCACTTGTACCTAGTCAATTCAAGGTGATCTGGACTCCGACTAAGTGAAATCGATGATTCCTTGCCAAGTTTTGGCCATACATCATAACCGTGATTGTTTTTAGTCAAGATACAGCACTAGTTTGAAAGCATTAGACAGCACAATAATGTTACGTCTCCAAGAAGTGGTAGCTTATGGATCTGACGTCAGGGAGAAAGCCACTACTAGTATTGAATCAAACCGGGTACCATACGCACTTCACTACACACATGATTTATACTAATAGGTACTGTAGGCAAGATGTTCTTTTACATATTTCCCTAATGAGACACTTGCTACAGAAGACATAAATTCATCGTCACTATAGCTTAGCAGCAATCTCTCATCAAGAGGCGTTTACATATGTAAAGTTTTGTTGGAACCAACTTACAGCACTGCTCGGAAGTAGAATAACCATACTGTTAGCAGATGGAACTGTCGGAACCATCGATGCAGGAGATGACAGAGGGACCACGTTCTTCACCTCCACTGCATAATCTAAAACAAAATTCTTAGTCAGTTGAGCATCATGAAATAATAAAATATTGTACTTTCTATCCATAACTAAAAAAGATAAATCCTTTCCTCGAAGCCCTATGGAGTACAGCACAGTACCTTTAGTAGAGATATTGATTACTGTATTTTCCAAGAAGATACCCAGCTATATGCTGTAATGGGACGTTCACATAGTCTGTCATCACAACCATACTGACAAGAAGGATAGTAGTGATCCCAAAAGAATAAAAACAGACTTTCCATTAGAAAATTGCTTATTCTTAAACACAAAATCAACCTTTCAAGAAAATATCACCCATCAACATCAACCTAATTCTAAGATTTCGTATTATCAGAATTTATCAACGACGAAAAAGGAAATCTCATATACAATGTGTCATGAAAGCTGGGACTGTCCTTTTCAGAAACAACTACATTTCAAATAACAAAGTTAATTTGAGGTAAAAGATCATCAAAGAAATTGAAGAAAAGTACTGACTAGTAATTTGGTGCTGCATTTCAAGTAATGCACGAGTTTGTTTACTTCTTACTAAATTTGCAACATTTGCAGCTGTCTAGGTCTTCTACTGTGTCCATGATAAAAACAAACCCACGCAGCTCTGGCGAAAAGATCGAGGACGACGGCGACGTTCTGAATACTCTAATACACTGGCTGAAGTTTGAAGACGCTCACTGTACCCCTAATAACCCTGCACAACGGCAGATCGATCAATTGCACGGTTTCTCCGGACCAGATGGTCAAAATTTGAAATGAATCAAAAGAGCAAAATTTTTGTATCAAAACACCCTGTAATCTGATTGAAAATGGAAAGATCATTTTTCTTTTGTTGTCACTATTGGATCTTTGTAACACATTCAATTTTAAAAAAGCAATTGAAAAAATGTATTCATGGAATATTCCCAAAAAAAAAATACTGACAAGTGTGGATCCAGAAAATATTTTTTGAGGGTCTCAAAGGCGAATTTAGGAATTTGTTGACCAGAAGAAACAATACAATGGATCGATCTGCAGTCCGGCAGGGTTATTAGGGGTACATCCAAGTTTAAAAAAAATACAGCCTTCATTAGCAGTTCAAAAAGCGGTCAATTTTCCACAATACTTTTCTAAAATCAATTCTGACGAAAAAAATTACCTCAAAGATTGCCATCAAATCTTATACGAGATTTGTGTGATCACTGGTTATCGAGATATCAGTGATCGATGACACAATAGTCCTTTTTTATTCAGTCTTAATATCTCCGCACCAAATGATCGTATCGAGATATTAAAAAAAGTTATTGAAGCTGGACAAACGGGCTATCTGATCCATACGATGGCCTAATAGAAAAAAAAAATGTTTCGGGCCCGTAGACTAAGAAAAAAGGAACATTTTTTAAAAAAAATGTTTCTTGCGCTATCTCTTAGAATTGCATAAAAACCGTTGCTCCTAAAAACTAGGATCTTAAAGCTAAAATGTTTTTTTAAGTCTAGATACGACCATTTTTCACCAAAATACAGCCTAGTTTGTTTTAGTAGTGTCTGTGTGACTGTACCCCGCCAAAAACAAAAAGAACTATACGTTTGACGTACCCATGCAGTATCTGATTTTTGTTGTGTTTGTCTATGTTACCGGCAATCTGTATAATTCGATATTCTGTACAATTACTAGGCAATGTATAGAACACCTAAAATGTGTAGGTCATGTATGGACATTCAATACACTACCAAATGCGTAGCCGGTAATGTGTGTAAGATAACAGAAAAAATATGACATAAGGCTATGGTTCTAAAGTTATTTGCCCTTTATATGCGAAAAACGCCATAGCTGTAGAGAACCGCATCAGTTCCAAGGATAATTCAAAAACAAGTTTTAGTAGGTAACTACTTACATAACGTTGACAAATTCAGACCCCAATGCCTGGGAATTGTATACATTGCCTAGGTAAAGTATGTAATGGACATTAACTGAACGTTCTAGATATTCTATACATTGGCTGGGAATTGTATAGAATACCTGACATATACAAATCGCCGGTAACATCTATACTAAACTTACTGATCAGGATTTCTCGATCTCCTTTCCTGGTTGGCACAGCAGTGTTTATAAGCTGACTTAGCGACGCGTCGATATAGTCGTAGGCAGTGAAGTGATCGGGGCAAACTCCAAATTTTTGTTTCGATACTATTTCAAGCGTCTTTTCCAACGAGGTACTTATCCAGTTCGGATGTCCAGAAGATGCCAACCATTTCACCACACTTTCAAGAAAAACATATTTATATTATATACGCTCTTTGTGGCACGCGCTCCACTAGCAATTGGATAACAACGCTTTGATATAAACTAAACCTAAAATACACTTCAGGGTATTGTAGGGGCATGATTGAATTTTATATCCTGATTTAGAGACTTGGCAAACTCAAATACAATTTTCAACAGTTTTCAATCAATTAAAATGGCGATTTTGAAGGTTTCCAGACTTTAAATATATAATTTGAAAAAGATTTTATTTAGAGAAAGATCACAAAGCACCTTTTTTGTTCATAATGATTAGAAAAACCTAAAAGAACATGACAGGTCCACAGGGGAAAACTTGTAATTTGTTTAAAAAGAATTTGCACCGAGTTACTGCCTGGTCTGATTTATTTTAAGGAGCGTTCAACAAACTTGATTATAAGAAAAGAAGATAAGTTGTACATTTTTGCATCTTCCCTCAGAAAATACATTTTGACTCACCTTTCGAAGCTGCTTGGTAGCGGATAAACATTCTGTTTCTTCCTCGCCTTGTCGGCGCATCTGTCAAAAAGACATCTGGCTGTCAACAATGGAGGGGGCAATGTCACGAGATCGCAGATAGCCAGGGTTGACAGGAAGACTCTCGTACGGAACTCCGGGATGTCTAAAGACGGAACTGATCCTGGTTTCAGCTCGTGGTTTTTGTCGAAACAATCGAGTTCGAAGTGACTGTTGCACACTCTATACCTGTTACGAATTTTATCACGGCAACAGAAGAAAAATGGTCAATCCCTCAGGTGCATATAGAATACAAAAATAGTTTCACGTATTTCTATAAATAGATATCCTAGGGCTCCCCTCCGGAAATACAGGCCCCCCTAGAACAGGCGCCACTGGAAGCCGGTCATTCTTAACTATTTTCTGAACGACACTGGCATAGCTTCACCATTGATTAACCTATTCTTTAAGAAAATCCTTAACCCAAAGCTGTATCTTTACGTTTACGTATAACTTTCATCATCACAATCATGTTGCCAAGTATGATAGTAGGAATTCCCTTAAAAGTAATAAAAATAGACTGCATTTTGCTTTTAAAGAACATTGATTGTTTTCATCTCTCCAATGCCCATAGCTCAGCAAATATTTATTTGAATGATTTTTTTTGTTATTATGAGTTCTATGAGGCTGATTAGATAAAATATAATGAATGTTTTTTCATTTTCACACATATACAGGATATAAAATATTCTGTGGACATAGAAGTACCCCGTTTTTTGAGACTCAAAATAGGTCGATTGGACATGATTTACCTCTACGCAAAAGTACTTCGTTTGTCCATTATAGGGCTTCAAACTTTCCTTTTTAAAATACATTTTTTTAGGTATTTTGCTAGACGTCCTAATATTTGACTATTATAAAAAAGCCCGAAAGGGTGAAAAGTACCCCCACCATTTCATTAATTATAGCAGAATTTTTCACAACACTCCCAACGACTCTGAATTTTTTGTTTAAACCTTTTATTTACTTCATTTTTTGTCCCTCATAAAAACATCTCCGATAGTTTTAGAGAAAAAAACTTTTTTCTGAGCTGGTTTCTAACAAAATGTCTTATTAGATCAAGTGTTAAAATATTTTGCGCCATATTGTTATGTACAGGAAAGAGAATGGTGACCATATTGAACACCTTTTATGAAAGATCCGCACCATTGCCTGTATTAAATAAAATTGTAATAAGTAATATCATACATACTTGTTCATTCTCGCTAACTACAGATAAATAATTAATAAGACGCTTGGAGAGCCTCTTGTGCAACTAATTTGTTTTTCTCTAAAACTATCCGAGATGGCCTGTTTCTGTTGGAGTTAAAAAGAAATTGAATAAACAGATATGCTAAATAAAAAACGTCAGAGTCGTCGGGAAAGTTGACAAAAAATTCTGCCATAATTTATGTAGAGGTGGGCACAATTTTCACCCTTTTCGAGATCCTCGTAAAAATCAAATGACCAACGTCGGGCAAAACAGGTATGTGTTCCAAATTTTATTCAAATCGGACTATCGGTACTTAAAATATCTGAGAAAATGGGTTTTAAAAAGACAACTTGACGCGCTTTGAGGGACAAACGAAGCATTTTTGCATAGAGGTAATCATGTTCCATCGACTTACTCTGAGTCTAAAAAATACGTGGTACTTCTATGTACACGAAATATTGGGACACCCTGTATATGAAACAACATATGGTTCCATGGGGACCTTGGTGATGGGAGGTGAATGAAGTATGAAAGTGGCGTACAATTTTGAGATAAATTATGGACTTTATACAGGGTGTTTCAGTTTATTGTTGCATAACTTTAACATTCGATAGAACTTTTAAAATTAATGCATAAAGTCTATATAAACATGGGTCGAAAAATGCGTGGTTTCCGAAATACAGGGTGTTTAAATTTACTTTCTAAAATAGTTTTTTTTAAATATTTCGAACAATATTTGATGTATAACAGTGAAAATTGGTATACAAGGGTATTTTGGTACGACAAAACGAACCATGGGCATAGTTTTACTGTAGCCGCTAGAGGGCGCTCTCCACTGTTCCTGTAGTGTATTAAAATGACCGACAAATTTTTCATAGTACAATTTTTTGCTTTTTGAATAAAAAACTGATTCTTCGCACTTTTCAACATAAAAAAGCTCTCCTGTGAGTTTTCGTTATAGTTAGCCGTTTTTGAGATATTTCGATTTTTAAGGTTCGATGCATTTTTAATTATTTATGAGAAAATAATGTTTTTTTTACATTTTCGATTTGGGCATTCCAAGTAATTAAGATGATCGTTTAGATTGTGCTTTTAAACACAGCAGTAATTCCTAACTCCAAATAAACACAAAAAAAAACAGAATATTAATTTGTTTAATTTTCCAATATTATTTTTAACAAATTAAATTAATTAGTTACAACTAAAATGCTATTGGCTAGTTAGGACAACCATACAAAATCTAAAGTAGTTGCTCGAAATGTAAACCCAATTGTTTAATACACAATTCATATCTACGAATGATCGAACGTGGTATAGCATTGTTCAAATAAGGCCTTATTTCATCACATGTATTCCTGATTCTGTCTATTAGCATATCTCTTGTGGTTACGGGAGTCTGGTACACTTTTTCTTTTAGAAATCCTCACACAAAGAAATCTAATGGATTTAGATCAGGGGATCGTGGAGGCCAGGCGACTGGTCCTCCACGGCCGATCCATCTTTCTGGATAATTTTCGTCCAGCCAGTTTCTAACTATTCTCGAATAATGAGCTGGACAACCATCAAGCTGGAACCAGGCCAAGCTTCTTAAATCTAACATAACATCATCCCACATATTTGCATGTTCAGCCTTTAAAAATTCCAAGAAGGTCGCAACATTTAACCTTGCAGGCAAAGGTAGGGTCCAAATAGTCGATTACGGTAGATACCAATCCACACTTTCACACTAAATTCATGCTGAAAATTTCTTTCCCGACCCGCTTGTGGATTTTCATGCGACCAAATATGTTGATTATGAAAATTTACCACTCCACGTCTAGTGAAGCATGACTCATCGGTCCATAAAACGTTACTTAAAAACTCCCTATTATTATCAGTTCTATCAAGAATCCACTGACAAAATGTGATTCTTCGTTCTCCTGGCTGTAGTCCTTGCACAGGTTGCAAATGGTAAGGACGTCTATGGTCTAAGAACACGGTGAACATGGCTTGCTGAAATTCCCAAGGCACCAGAAACTCTCCCAACGCTTGTGGTCGGATCTCTATCAAACTCACGCAGAATCATACGGGTAAATATGCGCTGACGAATATTTATGTTTTGATCCCTTTGGAGATTTCCAAAACCATTTTCAATTATTTGGCGATGCACTCTTACAAATAGTGAGCGAGTTGGATGTCGTCTGTATTCTCTGGCTGCTTCTGCTGCGTTTCCATTTACAAAACCATACACAAAATGAATATCCGCTAACTCTTGATTGGAGAATAAAAATGGCATTTTTATAAAACTTACAAAAAAAACAGGTAAAAGAAACTAAATTTCATGCATTCACAATTGCAAAAAAACGTTTCAGGTTTCAACAGACAACAAAACTAACTGTCAACTAAATGACGTTTAACCTTATTCTGCTTTCAATTTCAAAAATATTTGCAGGCACAGCCTACTTCTAAAAATTATCGAGATACTGACTTTTTAACGTTATTTTATCATAAATAATTAAAAATGCAACGAACCTTAAAAATCGAAATATCTCAAAAACGGCTAACTATATCGAAAATTCACAAGAGAGCTTTTTTATGTTGAAAAATGCGAAGAATCAGTTTTTATTCAAAAAGCAAAAAATTGCTCTAAGAAAAAATTTTCGGTCATTTTAATACACTACAGGTACAGTAGAGAGCGTCCTCTAGCGGCTACAGTAAAACTATGCCCATGGTTCGTTTTGTCGTACCAAAAAACCCTTGTATACCAATTTTAACTGTTCGAAATATTTAAAAAAAAAACTATTTTAGAAAGTAAATTTAAACACCATGTATTTCGAAAGCCACGCATTTTTCGACCCATGTTTATATAGACTTTATGCATTAATTTTAAAAGTTCTATCGAATCTCAAAGTTATGCAACAATAAACTGAAACACCCTGTATAATACATTCTATTATGAATTTAAAAAATAAAAACTTTTGCACTTGGTTTTAGATTTTTGTTTTTGAGTTTATAGTAAAATTTATAACAAAATGTAAAATATAGTAAAATTTATTATAAAATGTAAAATATTTCAAGGGTATCAGGGAATAAAGACAATAGTCCATCCGGACTGATTTTGAGAAAATCGGTAATTAAGATTTACTTACTTGTTGGAAAGTTAAATTGATGAAAAAATAAGTCGTACAGAATATCTTTGCTAAACAGTGTGTTTATTGGTAAAATAGATTTTACAAAATGAACTTTTACTCAAAACTAGTAACGTAACTAACAAAAGATTATGTTCAACTCTGGACTCGTGCCACTTTTCCTCTGCTTTAAGCGTCTATTGGCGGGTCATCGACATATTCATCACTGCTGTCTTCTGGATGATCAAGAGATACTAACTGTTGATAAAATGCCCTGGAATCTGCTCTCTCTTCTTACTTTTAATCAGGATTAGGCCTGGGTAAAGTTTTCTCAATGTTTCCACTTCTTTTTGCGTCTTTTTTAGATTCTTCCGAATTGCCTTATCAAATTTAGAACTAGCATATAGACCCATGTATGTCGATTTGTGAAAAACTACGCGAGGGTTCTGTTTACAAAACTTGAGCATCCTGACTGGTCGGGTTGGAAAGAGGCACCTCGTTGGATAAAACTGCGATTAAAACGTACTCCAATCTTGAAAATCACCATTTTTGACAAATCAATGACTTCAAATGGTGTAGGTTTCACACGGCAATTTTTCAATGCATCTCTCCAGTCATCCGGTACCTTAGTGTATGCTCTTTGGTTCACGAGACTCATATCTCTATCACAATCGAGGAATATTACTTTCACAGTAGTAAAACGATGTTTCTTGGTAACCAAGTAATGCAAAAACCGAATAACTGTAGTTTTTATTTTGCCCTGCACAGGAGTCACAGAAAATGGCAAGTTCTTTTACTTCCAGGCAGGATGTTATATAAAAAAGTGTTACAGCATAGAAGAGACATTGTCAGCTCCTTTCTTAGCAGTAGATTCATCGTAGGTATAAAAGGCAGAATTTGAGTTTGACAAAATGTGGATGTTAAAACTGATGAAATTAATTTACTTGCCGCTTATAGTAAACATCATTTGTCGTGATATTTGGACAGAGCAAGTTTTTCTGGTAATCCATCGTGATACTTTCGATAGCGGGGAACTTCCAGGCATGTTTGCGGTAAGTTCTCTTTAGACTGTAAAATCGCTCACTCCTTTTTTGATGTAGTGTCTTCTCAAGTATATTTTTCTCCAAATTATTAGTTGCTGACTGTCTAGTTTGTTCCGTGTGGGAATTTAAGGTAGCGGTAAGTGAAGATATATCAGCTTTTAAGGAATCACACGTACTACAAGTATCTTTTCGTGGATAACCGAACGATATATTGAAGTTGTTTTCAGAGATTTCTCGGAAGGATTCATAGGAAATCTTGTTTTCAACATTGCCAATATATTACATTTTGTGTAATTTTGCGATATTTAGATTTTCAGGTAGGTAAACTTTTTGCGAATCTGCCAAAGAATGAGATTTGCGGCATTTGAGGCTCTTAATAAACTCGGTCACTTTCTGTTCTGTGTTTTCTGAAAGTTTGTGAAGTGGTGTGTTGTGTTTTCCACGCATGTCGATGGGCGATTTCCCAGTTGCAACTAATGAGTGTCTTATGTACCGAACTCGACGAACTGTAAATCCGTGTAAAGACAAAAAACCCTTAAGACAAACTGGAACATCACGTATAATTCCATTTTCAACCAATCGGACACGAAAACTACATGAAGCATTATTAAGCCTTGACTCTGCTTCATTTTTTCGAAGGCGTCTACGCATGACAGGAAGAACAGTGATAAGACCACTAAAATAAGCGTTTTGTGCATCAGTGTTTCCTAGTTCATTAAATTCACGAAGAAGTCTACAGCGTTCAGGTTCAGGAACAGTAGTAAAACAGCGGAAACGCTCACAAAAACAATTAGATCCAAGTTCGTGGGTAGTGGCGCGCAACGTTTTCATTATGTCTCTTTGTCTTCCTGTTTTTTGCGTTTTTTCGTTTCTCTGTTTGATGGGCCTGGTTCATTTTCACTTGAAACTTAATAGTCACTATCTATTATACACAAAACCCGTATTATAAACAT